GTACCTCCTGAAATTGTTTCACGACCCCAATTTCTGGAATGAACTGGGTCTTTTGGGATTGGAAAATATCCAGACAAGACAGAGTTACCTACAACCCCGCCAATGTAATCAAAAGCACTATTAGAGACACTGGGCAGTGTAAATCGTCTGCCAGTTTGTTTGTTTTTTTGTTTCATCTCTCCTCCTTCGTCTGTCCCATCTTGAGTCCGTCTCCTGACACCAGCTGTAACCACGGACACTCTCCTCGCATGCGACCAGTTTATTTGCATTTCCCCTTGACTTTTTATGTTTGTCTCCTAATCAGAGGGCTTAAGAAATGAGCTCAGAGTCTGCCTGTAATCCACGTGCGTTCATTTGCTCACAGTCTCATATTAACCTCCTGATCAAATGTCTCGAAAGGAAAGCCGTAAACCAACGTCTTATCTGTAATTCAGTTTAAATCACCACCTTCTCACAGACAGCAGGGGGAGGGCAGGGGGAGGGCGTATCTACTGCAATAAATCACAATTACTGGATAAACACATCAACAGTTGGACTACCACAGTGGAAAAAGATGTTCTATCATTTCAGCACCTCAAGTCACACAGACACCATCACACGAGGAATGAAAAGCCAAAATACTTCTCAAATTAGTAGGAACGGGGCAAGATCACATTCCACAAAATCTCAGGAGATAAAACTGCAAACAAGAGTGTACACACATGAGGAAATCTTTCAAGCATAGACATAAATTTCAAGCATAGAATGTACAGATGGACATAGCTAACCTGCCAATGCGTTCCAAATCGGAAGTGAGCATGGGGGGCGCTTCCAGCTCCATCGATTTTGACTCCAATTCACTTTACATTCTCACGCTTCTCTCTGTAACAGCTGCTGTGAGCCTCATCATTTTAAATGTAAATGTTCGAATTAACCCACTCTACATGATCCTGGTGTTTTTATTTCAGTAATTTGTCTGTAAATAAATATGGAACTCAGCTCCAAATATGCTGCAAGCCTCATGAACTTCATTTGACTGATGCTGAATGCTATATTGATTGACTGTCACAGGTATATTCTGACATTATTTCACAGACAATCATGTTTATCATACACAGACCAAAAAGGAGTAGGCTGAAGCTTGAGCTTGTTATGCCTTTGCCCTTTATTCTTTTGTCAGAGCATCATCTTTGACACCAGTTCATCTTCATAAATACAGCAAGAGGAAACCAACAAATCAGTAACAGTACAGCAAAATACTACAGCACAAACTTAAGTATCATAATTAATGTATCTGCCCAGAGTTAAACATTTAAACTTCTTTATAAAATGGAAGAGAGTGGTGGACAATTTTAGGTTTTCTGTACAGTTGTTGCAGAGGTCCACCCCTTTAACAGATATACACAATTTCATAATGTTTGTTTTGATTTTCTTTTTGATAAACATGGCCGTACCCCTGAGCGCATATTGGCTATTTCGGATTTTGAACATATTCTGTAATGATCTTCCAAGTGGTAAAGGTCGACTAAATTGTAAAATTTGGAGTTGTAAGGTTTATAAATAATCCATTGGTTGGTTCATTGTAAGTTGATAATGTGATTGCGATTTTTGCTTTTTTTTGCAAAGTAAAGATTGGATTTGTATTAGTCTTATATGTATTGCCCCAGATCTCAGTACAGTAGGTTATGTAGGGCAATGCTATGGGTGACGTCACACTCACTTTATAGAGTCTATGGTTTAAAGCTACCATTTGTTCATTGTTTCACACTAGTAGATGGCAGATGTGAAACCTGTCACCCCTCTCTTCCCACCTGGCTTTTGTTCAGACTCACCTGTGGTCCCTGGTCTTCTTCTGTCAGACCAAAGTGCGCACATTATCAGACTGCAGTAACATAGACAGAATCTAGTGGTGATATGTGAGATACAACAGGGGCCGGTTTGCCAGTCTAATTACAGATGGAAGCTTTAAATGTGGATTGGGCAAAAATGATGAGTCATATTTCTTGAGAAGCTGGTGTTCCGAGGCAAGGCAAGTTTATTTGTACAGCACAATTCTTACACAAAGTAATTCAAAGTACTTTACAGAATAAGAAATACATTAAAATCACAATACAAACAGATCAAAACATAATTAATCATCATAAATTTAAAAAGAGAAAATGTCACGGTAGCATTCAAATTGTAATGTAATAAAAAAAAATAAATACAAATTGTGTTGCAACTGAGTATTATAAATTGGGTTAAAATGTGTCTTCGCAGCATTGAAGGTTGAGTCAAATGCAGAGGTCAAATAAGGGAACTACTAAACCTTTAAAAACCTTTATGATGTTATTTGATGTAATTCTGACTAAACTAAAATACCAAATGCTTCCCAGAAAATCCCTTTTAATGTCACAAAAGGTTGCTTTTGTCATAGTCCTTCATTTTAATAGCCGATATTTCCTCCCACTGGATTTTTTGGAGTTTTTCTTTGCCAAGAAAGAGAGTCTAAGGACAAGGAAATGCTCAGTTATACATTCAGCTTATTTCATTTGAATGATTAACCTGCTGGTCTTTTATTGATCAATGAAGACTGTTTCTGTTTCTGTTGGTTCAAGGTGCCCTCTGTAACTTTAAAGGTAGAGGGATGTTGTTTCTCTCGTAGACTGTACAAAAGAAGTGGACTAAGCGAGTGTGACGTCGCTCATAGTGTTTCTGCTCAACTGAAATGAAGCTCACGAGGTTCACAGTTATAGGAGCGAATTTGGATTTCCATATTAGGAATAGGAAATTATTAAGGGAAAAAAGAGTAAGGTATAGAGACCCTGCATGTGACGTCACGGCCTTGCCCTGATCCACTTTCGCCAATAGACCGCCATTGTAAAGTCAGCACATTTTCGAGTCGTTCCATTAATTTTCACTTTAAGACACATGCTGGAAAAGTGTTGCGCACAGAGCTGTAGTTAGCAGAGAGATAAAGACACAGAGGTTCAGTTGTGTCAGATCCGGGTCGAAGCTGACAGACGAGACAAGTGGAGCTGCCATCAGTTTGCGAAATACCCGTCAATATTTAGGGAGTTCCTATCTCCAAATTGTTGAGCAATACAAACTCAAATGTGAAAAAAGAAAAAGACACCGCAGACAGCCTAAACTGAAAAGGCCCTAATCAGTTTATTCAACTTATAAAATTAAATGCATTTAGCCTAGTGTGAGAAACGCTACAGTCAGACTAGATCCAAACCAGAGTCCTGACCCAGTGGGAGCAGCTCTTGTTCAGGGGGTGTGATGGGTTCATCCGGGGGGCACCCATATTTCGCACACTGACTGCCATAAATCTGGGAATTTATGACCCGACCCCAGACAAGCCAAGTTACTAGAATGCTATCTACCGTCGTCAGGACCGTCAATATGGTGGCCAAAACAAAAACGGTCACATGATTACAGGGTTTTTATTCTTACTATGTGCAGGCTTTTTCTCCAAAGATCTAACCAAGTTTATTTACTTACTGTATAACATTCAAGGCAAAGCAATTACATCTCCATGGAGACAAGAAGGTGGCGGACCCTCTACCAGAAAATTTACACAGTGCATCTTTAAAGCGATGAGTCTGTGAAGCCCTGCGTGATGACTGCTGTTGATTCTGGCCTATACAAAACTATATTTTTGATTTGAAATTATTGTCGATTTCACTAAGTCATTACAGACTCAGATACTCGACCCCCCTGCTGTAGATTCCTGTTTCCAGACACTCCATTTTACCCAATGCCAGAGAATCCTCCTAATGGGTTTGCCATTTAGAGATGCTTATTTGTAGACTTTGTAGACTTTAAATTTGAGATAGATTTTATGTCCAACATCAACATAAGTGATGGTGGGAGACTAAACTTGAGCAGCAGAAGTTTACAAAAGCCAAAAGAGGAGCCTAGTCTGTGGGTGTAAAGAACATGCCCAGAAATACTCTTGAAACACTGTAGACAGATCAAGGCCTAAAATATTACGATCCTATTTGGCTCATAGCTCGCTTTACAAATCCTTTCGTGAGGACAGAGTGGCGGTGGTTAATATGGCAAATAAATGCTTGTATGTTGTTTTTCTTTGAAGGTTCTGTCACAGTTTTATTATACAAAGTTATAAGGGAATCTATGAAGAAACTGAAGCGATATTTGCTTCTTCTGAGAGTTCACGCTTCACTGTGATTTGTTAATCTGCCTGTCACTCAATCACATAACGGGGTCTGGCCAGTAGACGGAGTTGGATGGGGAAAGTAGAATGTTCATGTTTCTGTGTTTGAGCAACAGAAAGTACTGCACAACTATTAAAACATCTTTTAAAATCAGTCTAACCCCTGTGTTATATATACAGTATAAAACAGCAACTTTTAAAACAAGATATTGTAATATTTTGTGACATTTTAATTAAATACTCAGAGTTATAACACTTCTTTTTTTTTTTTTGGCCATGGATCCTCCTACCTGGACAACTGAGGGATTACACAGACAGTGAAAATATAGTTATTCAGTATTTTTCAGTATCTTTTTTTTTGTTTGTTTTTACATAACTTATCTTTCACTAGCATTTTACAACTTTTTTTTTTTTTATTGTTGTTGGACAAAAGTTTAACCGCTTTGACTACTCTGAAAGTATACATTTTTATGTTGTCATATAATATAAATAAACGATTAAGCAAGTGGCAAGGATATTTTTATTGTCCATCTATAACAGACAATAGAAGAATAACAAAAAATCTATTAAAAAGCCAAGATTCTTAACCTAATAGCCGGAATAATCAGAATAATATTTATCACATTATCTTTTGCTGCTCCTCTAATAGTTTTGAATCTGGTTATTTCATTTTCATTTCATTTATTTTCATTTATTTATTTACTGGATCCCTATTTTTCTTCCTGGGATCCAAGTTGGCATAATTTACAATAAAATATTCCATTATAATAACAAAAAAGTTGACACATAAGTTTCAGTCGCAGATGTAAATGTTCTTTTGCTGTTCCTCTAATAATGTTGAATTCTGTTAATTTCACAGATGTAAATGAATGTGAGATTGGCGCTCATAACTGCGATCGACACGCCACCTGCACCAACACAGCGGGCAGCTTCAAGTGCCAGTGTGCCCCGGGATGGGTGGGCAACGGCTTCAAGTGCTCAGGTAAAGACTTCTGAAACTTAAACTTTGCTGATCTATAAAGGAAATGACTTCTTCACTGCAGCTCAAATGTTGTGTCCTTTGGCAAGACATTCATGAATCTGGAAATGGGCTAAGAAGCAGTTGGCACAGACTCGATGCTACATTTCAGTCAGTCAGTCTCGAGCATTAACTTATAATAGTACAATTAAGAAATATTTATTGAGAATTAAGAAAGTAATGAAGCCTTATTTGACACCAGTCTCTTGCTATTTTGTAGAATTGATTATTACACTTTATATTTTTTACTCTTTGTTATTAAATGATATTGTGATGTGTGAGATACTGTGTCCAAATAATTTCTGGATCAATAAAATGTATCTAAGTCTTAGTTTAAAACCGCTAGTGAAAGAAAATCAAAACATCACAGATTCAAAATACTTTTCATAATATATATATTTATTCTTACATGTGTGTTAAAATATATAAAACAGATTAATAATGATATAAAATTATTAAAAAAGATTAAGAGTAAAATCCCCTTATTACTATATTTCTTACAAGACTAGCCTGTGTAATCCTTATTTTATTTACAATCATCTCATACCATACCATATTAGAGCATTTTTATCAAACTGATATTTCCACTGTTTAGCATCTGGCTTTATTTTGGTGTATATTTGTCCTTATTATACTTTTATTATGCAGAGCAGTGGAAAGTATAGATTGGGTTTGGTTGTCATTTCAAACTATAGATCTATTAAAATAACTGGATAGGGTATTGCTGCTTGTAGCTGCCTCCAGTTGACGTAGTGGCCACTCACTGGTACTACAGCGAAAAAAATCCCACCAGCCGAGAAAGGATTTTTCTTAAAGAGCACAACGTAATCAGAAACTGCTCGTGTTCAGCTAACAGGGCGCCTACAGCTTTCAAAAACGTTGGATTTTGTGGCGATTTTTACACATTTTTAGATCATAAATTTTTCTCAGCTCAAAATCCTTTAGTTGTCTTTAAAAACATTTTATAATCATTAACTCTGGCACTGAGCTCGGCCCATCTTCAGATAACCCCAAACCCAAAAACATCACTTTGTCTTACCAACCATCGGCTGCTCTGGATTTGAATTGATCAGTATCGACATAGAAAAAAACATATTCTCTCTGTTTCTCTTTCATTGTATACAATTTCTGAATATTCTTTGTGTATTTTGTCCTTTAGATCTGGACGAGTGCTCAAACGGGACTCACATGTGCAACAACAACGCAGACTGTATCAACACTTTGGGCTCGTACCGCTGTGCCTGTAAAGAGGGCTTCTCCGGAGACGGCTTCTTCTGCTCAGGTCTGAACTCACTCACTACTGTATTTGTGTCTAACCCGTTATTCGTCGTATTTTTGTGTATTTATGATGTTTTGTTGTTTATGTTGAACAGACAGCGATGAGTGTGCGGAGAATGGAAACCTGTGTGAGAACGGGCACTGTCTGAACATGCCCGGAGGGTTCAGGTGTGAGTGTGACATGGGCTTCATCACCACTGAGGATGGGAAAGCTTGTGAAGGTAAGAGTTTTAAGAGCATGAACCGCACAGACAGCAGCGCTTTCTGCACTCAGGCTGCACGTATTCACTGTGCTGCCAAACCATAGACCGTATATATGAATGGACAATGTGCCAAACAAATAATCCGTCCATATATTATCCTCATTGTTGTATAAGACGCAGGGTTCAAAGTGTGAGAAAAAAGTAGTGGCTTATAGTCCAGAAATTACGGTAAACATGCATGGATGACACATGTTTCTTATAAGAGCACAAAGTTATAAAATGCTAGAAAGCTCAATCTCTTCTTTAGGGATGTTAAACAAATTAGATAAATGCAACATCAACGTGTTAAGTTAGAGTACAGTATTTTCCGGGCTGGTAGACACGCTCTTAAGCCTCTAACCGCATCAAAAAACGACCGCGCGCCCCACAATCCAGACCGCCCTATACACGAATCCACTCGGGTGTCCCAGCATGACTTCAGTAAACTACAAAACCCCACCACCCGCAGCACACACAAACACACACGGAGCAGACAGCGACTGCGCATCAAAACACACCCACAGCCACAGTCATCACTCCACACGGACGAGGAACGGAACGAAGGAACAAACCACAAAAGCGAGTCCAATGTGCCACTCTGAGCCACGACTGAACAACTGTGTCACTGCGAACACGCCAACAATCCAGCGGTCCCAGACAGCACCCTCCCTACGCGTCACAATTGAACAAAGCCCAGAGTCACCGTGAAGGCGCCAAACAAAGTTCGACTGACCCATCGTTTGTTGTTGTGTTTCATTTAAAGTCTAGTGCAGTTTATTAGTGAAGAAAGTTCAAAAATAGACCATTTAATGACAGTGCGTCTTATAATCCAGAGTCCCTAATAGCCCAGAAAATACAGTAAACAAAGACTCGAAATCATAAAACAACAGAACATAAAATTATATTAAATTATTATAAAATGTATTAGAACCAAAATGTATCATAATATTTATAAAAGCCCTACTTAAATAAATGTTTCCAAACATATCTAAAACAACAACAAAACAGAACACAAAACAAACAGTGACAAATGGTAAAGAATCAACCCTCAGACTAAGTTAAAGCCAAGGAGAAAAAGTGAATGAAATAAATGAATGAAAATGACAGAAACTGTAAAAAATACTTTCTGAAGAAATTCCACTTCCCATAAAAAAGTATATCTGAATAGTCAGTTTAGCATAATGTATTTGTTCTGTTGCATTTCTTCAGTTTGCAGATAATTATCAAATGTAAATGTAAGTACAAATGTAAAAAAAGTACTGTATGTAGTAGTCCCAATTCCCCCAAAATAACTGATATAAAATGCTATATATTATTATTATTATTATTTAGGGAGTATTTGTCTATTTATAAAATACAATAAATAAAAAATAATAATAATACAAGAATTTGATTGCTAATGAACACATGTTTTATTTGAATACGTTTGCAGTGGCACCTTTAGTGCCTCCTGGAGTTGGTAACCCCCACCCACTGCCTTATCCATGGGAGATGCTGAATGCGTTTGGGACTTTGTTGTGATGATGTTTACAGTGATGTCGACCCATTGGGCACTGCAGTTTCTTACATTATAATGTTTTTTTCCTCATCAAAAAGATACCTGGAGATGTGCTTTGTCTAATTCCCACATGTTTAACTGCTTAACACACATCCTGCATATTTAGGTTTATTCTCAGAAAAAAAAAAAGAAAAACAGAAAACACTCTGGATAATTTATCACAGGAACATAGAGAAAAATCCCGCACACCGTCTTACTTGCAAAATGTGAGATTTATTAGGACCTACTACAACGTTTCAGCACTAGGCTTTCATCAGGCCTTTTTCTCTACGTACTTGGGCTGCTCCCTCTCCTCTCCAACACACCCGTATTCAGAAATTCTCATTTAGTAATATTTATCCCAAAACCCTCCAACAGATACATTCATAAAGATGTAAATTATGTATAATATATATGTCTGTATGTATAAGTCCAGTAACTGTTTCCCTTTTACCCTATGAGGCCCCAGTTGCCCTGATTGGGAAACACTGATGTAGTGTACGAAAACATCGCTGTTATTGTTTGGCATTTATTGTACAAAACATAACTCCAGGTATATTTTTGATGAAGAAACATTATAACAGATCAGAATATTGTTTAATATCAGCCCTTTAAGTAATTATTTGGTGTCACTATTTCTTACTTGTGTAATATTTTAAAGTAGTTTAGTTTACTACAGTAGATATATAAGACTGCTTCACAACCTCATTTGCCCTCTTTGTTTTGTTTCAGTATTTTTCCCCAGACTTGTCATAGTTTATAAAAGGTGAGCGACTTCACCTCTGCAGCTCAAAGCCAAATTTCCACTGTGATCCCATGATCCAATAATCCTCCACAGCTGGACCCCTCCTCTCCCCTGTCACATCCGCTCCTGTCTCTCCTGTTCTTATTTTAGATTTTTCTCCTTTTCAGATATCGATGAATGCACCTTCGCTGACATCTGTGTGAACGGGCGCTGTAGAAACATCCCGGGGCTCTTCAGATGTGAATGTAACGTTGGATATGAGCTGGACCGGAGTGGAGGAAACTGCACAGGTAACGTCATAATAATGTGACTGTTCAAAGCACGTTAAGCAATAAGATTAATAAGGAGAGTTTGTGGAGCCAATCCCAAACAAATGTTAAGTTTCAAGTTTTCTGGATCATACATTTTGATACAAAAAACAAACAAACAAACAAACAAACAAAACAACAATAAATCTCCCATAGAGTTATTTTGAAACTGTAGAAGGTGAACGGAAAACAATCTGTGAAATTAGTCAAACAGTATTAATATATTGTTTTACATCCATCTAGATAATGCAATACGTGACATAGCAACACTCTTTCTGTTCTGGACATATTAATAAAGATAAAATCTCATCTTATTTAGCTCAGAGATTGTTAATATAATTGAATCAACTAAATATGGGTGTCAGCTTCCTGTTTATAGGTGCCATTTTGAGTACTGTTGACTAGAGATGACTAGAGTCCCACTTCCACCCGCGTCCGCATTGTGCAGTCCTGCTCCCGCCCGCCAAGAATTGTAATTTTTATTCCCACTCCAGCCCACATCTGCGACATTTTGTCCCGCTTCCTCCTGCAAAACCCACAAGGATGTTCGCTTTCTTAAACTCTGTCAAACATGGAGAAGCGGAAAGCAATTGTCTAAAATGTGCGCAAGACTAGACCACGTCCGCAAGTTTAGGCTGCTTAAAATGTTTTATTAATGCCAAATAAAATATCCAGCACAAATTATGTATGATAGGTATACATTAATCATTTGTATATTTTATGTTACACTGATATATAGTTTGCGGGACTGCAGTTTATCATCCAACCTGCCCACTCCCACATTGTGCAGTCCTGCTCCCTCCCGCGCCCACAATATGTCCCGCAACGCACTGTTTTGCGGCGTTTTCAGCGTACAGGTTTCTACTGTTGACCACTCGAAAACTATAATATTTTTGTCTAAATAGTTAACTGCTATGGAAAGAATACTACTTTTGATCGCTCTGAAACCCATGAATACAAACACACATTAGTGTTAATTAAGCATTTACTTCTAATTTAAAAAATGTACAAATAGGCTTACATTTCACTTCTGGTTGTTTTTGTGTAAGTGTAAGGATTTACTGTAATTATTTGTATTTTACAGATCCATCCGCCAAATTGCTCAAAAAATAAGCCATTATGTTTGTATTTTGTCTATTTCCACAGATATAAACGAGTGTGCCGACCCGACCATCTGTATAAATGGAGTCTGTGTGAACATCCCTGGAAACTACCACTGTAACTGTCCCCCGGACTTCGAGCTTAACCCCACCCGGGTCGGCTGTGTGGGTGAGTATCAGCATTCACCTCCTATAAAATCACATTCAGATTAAGATTTATTAGAGTTAAATTGTGATATAGTTACTGATGTAATTAATGATAAAAATTGTAATAATCAATAATTACCTTTTATTCTAAATGCACGAATCCAATGTAGGTTTAAAACATTGAATCACAAATGTCCAAAATCGATCAATAATGTTGAATTCTCTCATCTATTTACATACTGTTACGACCCAGCTCGTTTGGGGTGAGGGAAGTAACAAAAATAAAACCAAGATGTAAAATGGAATAAATTAAGTAATGTTTAATTAACAGGAATGTAAAGGTAAATTAACACAAGACTAAAAATATACAGAAAACAACCTAAACTAAGAAACAGAACAACAGAATAAACAGAGTTTTATGCCAGAAAAGGGGTCACGCAGGCTTACACAAAAACGAGTGGTAAAACTTAGGGACACACACTAAACTAAACACAAGTTCCCCAAAATTAAACCACATAAGCCCACAAACAGAATCGAGTGACCAAATCAAAAAAGGCACAAAACAGAACTAGACTAACACACAAACACAAAACCAAAATGGCAAACTGGCCACCAAGGCCAGCAGCCCCGAACAGGTGCTGGCAATCTCCTTAAATAGGGGGAGGTGGCTGCAGGTGAGGTGGGCGTCAACTTGCCCCACCAATAACGGACCAGGGCTCGTGCAGCAGGAATCAAGAGAACTCTGCAGAAATATTAGAACTAAGGCCTGGGGCCGTAACAATACATAAGGTGCACCAGATTATAGGGCACATTAAGCAAAACAAACAGACGACATGAGATTGATCCCTTAGTCCAGCCATCCACGATCCATTGGCAGATCATGGCGTAACTCGCCTGGCGTTTCCTCCCTGTCTTTGTAAATGTGTATTATGAATGTGTATTATGTGTGTGGATAATTTAAGTTTGGACTTTTATTTCCTGCGAGGAGGACTCAAATATACATTGAGTAATAATATGTTTAATGCAGTTTTGTGCACATTTGTTTACGTTTTACAGAAATGAAACAAAAAAACCACATGGCTAATTTGCATAAACTATAAGCACAGAAAAAAAACAGCTCACTCTGCAACATTCTGCTGATGGGGTCAGTTTCTGTCAGACTAACTGACTCTGTGAGGCTCCTGACTATGGTAGCTGCAATGCCCCGACAATCCATAAAGCAGTGTATCTTACCAAAGTCGTACTAAAATATTTTAACAGATTTTTGAGCGCTGTGTACCACATAAAATTGGTTCAAGGTCAGTAAACACAACCAAAATTAATACATAAGGTGCACCGGATGATAAGGCGCACTGTTGATTTTTGAGAAAATGAAAGGATTTTAAGTGCATCTTATAGTCCGAAAAATACGGTAGTTTATAATAAGTAGCACTAATTAATATATTTTTTTAAAAAGATTTAAATCCAAAATCCTGTCTTTACGCCACCTTCCCTGACCTGTCTCACAGATACTCGGTCGGGCAGCTGTTTCCTGGACATCCGTTCCCGTGGTGATGGTTCCGATAACTTCGCCTGCTCCAATGAGATCGGCGTGGGCGTGGCCAAGGCCTCCTGCTGCTGCTCTCATGGCCGAGGCTGGGGAAACCCGTGTGAATCCTGCCCCTCCGTCAACTCCAGTAAGACCACTGGACTCTTCACATTTCAGTCATTCAGTAAAGCTGCACTATGTAACTTTTCAGGAAAGGGGGTCTGTCCAAATGTTTAAACTTAGATCTATCTTTTTTCAATTACATACCTAGAAAACACATACATTATAGCTGTTAGCAGTGTCATCTCTCCACATATATGAATTGCAACTTGACCTGGTGGCGTTCCTTGCTTGTTTCCATGGAAATACAGACGTTTAATGATCAGACGAAGTATTAACATCTCCATGGAGACAAGCAGGTGGCAAAACCCTCTACTAGAAAAATTACATAGTGCACCTTTATAGTTAAATGGGTTATATCAGCATAATTTCAGGTTGGGATAGCGTTCCGTTGTAACTTTTTTACTATAGTCAACACATGGAAAAAGCCAGAACCTTATGAAAGATATTTACCGGTACTCAATAATAATAATTATCATAATTTTGCCGTAACTTAAAGACACGTCACAATAGTGTAACACAAAACGGACGGACAGACAAAACAGGTAAAGTCAATCCAGACCTGAGTTCAGAGAAAATCAACTTTAAAACTCAGAATCCTCCTCAGTAGTTCGTCAAATATGGCATGTCAGTACAGCTTCAGTATTTGTCTAGAAACTTATTTTACACCTTTTTAGAAACATTTAAATGAGAACATGTTGACACTCAAATATCTATACTTGTCAAAATGTTAAAGAGCCCATATCACGCTATAATATTCAGATCAGTTAATAATGTTATTTTCTTATCAAAAACATCCCCATAGTTGTGCTTTGTTTCATTCACAAATGTTTGACATGCAATTCCTGCATATTTAGGTTGATATACAAGTACATCACTTTGTTTTTAAGTTACATACACTTTCACTAGACTCATTTGAATTACTTCAGATGTGGAATTACCAATCTCTACTGAACAAAAAGTAAAAGGTAGCTGTTAACTTCAAAACTACTTCTACACATCATACCATAACTGCATGTTTTCGTTCAGTAATACAACAAAATGGCCTCGCTATGTGGATATGCAGAGCCTGGTTTTATCCTACACCAACAGTTTTTTCTATTGTTCGTAATAACAAGAACGTTTTTGCAAACTGTTCAGTAATTTTCCCCAGATGGAGCAGGACAGTGCAGACTGACTCATCCCAGTCTGGGCAGGATGCTCTCTCTCTATGACATGATCCAAACCTTTTTATCTTGGCACTTCTTGGAAACTGCAGTAACATCCGGTTTAGAGAGCTGCTTTTAAACATCAGAAATCTGGATTACATCTGACCATATGAGGAAAACAAAAATAAGTCATTAATCAGCAATGTTTAATTTGCGAAAAAAGTTTTACAAACCTTAGTCTAATAGCAAATAATAGCTGATTTCATGTAAACAATTTTGGGCTGTTTGTTTTACCCAAAAGGTCCTATCTTACACTCAATTGACTCTCGTGAGCTTTAAAACATGTTATAATGTTTTACCTCCTCAAAAACATATCTGTGTTTTTTTTTCATTCACACATGTTTATTATTAGTCGACTACATCTCCAAAGCTCAAAATGCTCTGTTCCACCTTGTGATGTCATGAAGCTGAAGTTTTCAAGTTAACAAATATCATTTAATTTTGGTTCAGCAGAAATTGGCAATTCCAGGGCTGAAATTATCCCAGTTATTATCTTGTGAAGATGTATGGACTTTAAAAACACAGTGGAGCACTTTCTGTATTACCACATGACATCATAAGGTGGAACAAAGTTTTTGTTTTTCACTTTGAGAAAATAACTAAGATAAAACTCAGCCTAAATATGCAGGGTTTGTGTGTTAAACTTGTGTGAATGAAACAAAACACAACTCCAGATATGTTTTTGATGAGAAACAACATTATAACATAGATCAGAAAATACTGTATACCTTTTATTTTGTTGAAATTATGTCTTTTTTTTTATATTTCAGTCAATTAGACAATTCATCATACCAGAAGCAATGCATAACAGATTTGGGGGTAGATGCAATTGTACAGAAACACCACAGTGGAAGAATGTTGTAAAATACATTTGTCATTGTATGCATTTAAAGGGCCCAAATTACACTTTTTTCTCTTTTCGATAATGTTGTTTCTTCATCAAAAACAGACCCGGACTTGTGTTTTGTTTCATTCACTTGTTTAACACAGACTCTATATCTGTGGAGTTCTCCTCTCAAACAGGAAACACTCTGTTCCAACTTCTAATGTCATGTAGTAATACAGGAAGTGCTCCACTATGTCTTTAAACTCCATGCACCTTCATTAGAATTCATTTGGATAATTTCAGCCCTGGAAATGCCAATCTGAACTACTGCTTCATGACATCACAAGGTGGAACAGAGCATTTTGAGCTTTGGAGATGCACACAGATTAATCATAAATGGTTACTCAAACATGAAATATGTGAATGAAACAAAACACAACTCCAGGTATGTTTTTGAGGAGGTAACAACATTCTAAGATAACTAAAAATTCAGGAGTCAATTTTTTGTATTATAGGACCTTTAAAGTTGGGGTTTCTGATTTCCAAACCATGAAAGGAGGAAGTAGACATTTAAGTGTACCTAAACTGTTTCCAAGCGCTCACAAACCCTTTGGCAGTCGCTAGAACCACACAGTTGTGAAGCAGGTGTGGTCCGCCAACGCACGGCCAACAGTTTCTCACCCCACAGCGCTCACATGTGGCTCTTTCTTCCGATATTTGTTTGTGATCAGTTACAAGCTTTACAAGAAGATTCAGATAGCACGATTGTGTCAGTGAGTGGTGCTTTTCAAAGTTCAGGATTTTACCGCATAGTCTAAGAGAAAACAGGAAATTTACAAGAATAAAAACATTGGGTACCTCAGCCTCTAACAGTTATAGCTTTAGATTAGATATTAATATGGCTGTAGTCAATTATTTGATCAATGGAGTCTTAATCAAGCAAATCTTGTATTATTTGACTAATTATTATTTAGATTTAAGGATTTATATGGGACAACAGCAGATAGGAGAATGTATACGCTGTGAGTTAGGTGAAGATTTGGGAGTAAATCATAAGCTGAATCTGCTTTTTTACATTTAAATACACCATTTTCTATTACATTTCTGTTCAAATGTGGTTCAGCATGAACTTCCGTACAGTTGTAGTTTTGAAAGTGCATTTTGGGTCTGATACATAGTTTTGATTGCTTTTACCAGGCTTAATTATTTATTTATATGATAGGGAAAGTGCATGGGTATTAATAAGAAGTTGCCAGTATGATACATATCTCAATACAGTGAGCTTTCGACTCGATATGATGTATTTCAAATCGATTCAATACGAGTTCTATAAAAATAATGGCAAAATTATGCCTGTGATAATAAAAGTCTGTTAAATTACTTTTTGTGCAAAGTGAAAATGAATTTTAGCCCTCAAAACAGTGAAAATGTCAAATGTGTTGCATCAATAAGTTTCCTTCCTCTAAACAAGCAACAAAACTGTAGCGCTGTAACAAAATAATTTAGTAAAATATACCAAAAAATACTCTTGGCGATATATCGATACAGCAGCCCATGATATCGATACTGTATCATCACATTAAGCGATATGATATAGCGATATTTCCATATTTTGCACGCCCCTAATGAACATCTGTGACGGATTATAGCAAAGATCCAAATTTCCATCTGTTGTCCCTGGACAGGTGACACAGAAAACAAAAGCATTTACAAAGAGACATAACATAGAACAGTTTCTTTTAGTCAATTAATTGATTGACAGGGCCGATCTTTAGTCGACTACACTCTTTTAAATAACCATCATGTGTGTTTCAGCTGAGTACAAGACTCTATGCCCGGGAGGAGAGGGCTTCCGGCCGAACCCCATCACGGTGATCCTGGAGGACATAAACGAGTGCCAGGAGCTGCCCGGGCTGTGCCAGGGCGGGCAGTGCATCAACACCTTTGGGAGCTTCCAGTGCGAGTGCCCACGAGGCTACGCCCTCAACCCCGATACCAGGGTCTGTGAAGGTAAGGGGCCAAACACACAAGAGAGCAAGTCTTTAATACAGGGATATGAGGGAGGAAATACAGGTTACTTTTTTGGCATTTGTAGTTTAAAAAAACACTTTGGAAAAACATGTGCAAAAAGCTCAAAGTGCACCACGAGACAATAAAAACAACCACATGAACAAACAATAGACAGTCATTACAGATGACATGTGACACTGTGAAATAAACAAGATACGGAGATTAAGTAAATAAAATATTAAGGTGCTACATCAAAGTTCAAAGCTCATAACAGCTTGTCGTTTATGCTAAATAAAGAGCGGGTATCCATTTTCCAAAATGGTAAACACGACTTGACCAATGGCCTTCCCTGTCTGAAGGTTACCTCTAGAACAATACACAAGTTGTTTTTTGTTTTTTTTTGTTTTTTTGCAATCAGACATTTTAAAACCTCCTTGTCCAAAACTCTGGCTTTGGTTATACTTTGCCAAAATGCCATTATTGTGAATTAGGCTGAATTACATTGGACCAAGAAGCCGAGTTGACATCACCATTACCCTTTTTACAATCTGATTATTATAACTAATGAAGAATCAGCAAATAAAGTGTTGACCTCCCTGCATTCACAAAACAAAAAGAAAGATGAACAAAAACACACAATTTTGCCTAACTTGCTAGATTTTTGTTAGATATTGTGATAACTTTGCTATTTTGGCTGTAGTTAATTATGTTTGCATAGTCTACATATTTATCAGAGTTATCTCATTGTGTTTTGTTTATGGCTACCACTTGTTTATTGTTGTTCTATTGTTTTGACGTGGACTTGTCAGTGTGTTAGTAGAGAGCATACGAAAACACATGTTAAACCTAAAATATGTTTGTGATAATGTTTTGTATTATGAAAATGCAGAGGCAGGAACACTGTGATGACTTATTACCCTCCTCCTTTTGCCCCGGGGCATTTAGAGAAGAGGAAATTGAATCCAGTCACCAAGGAAGCACAGCAAACAAAAACAATGCAACAAAATATTACACCCCTGTGTCCCATATAAACAGTTAACAAATTCAAACTATGCACTTGGGGTGATCCAAATGTGAATGTTTTAGACTACAGCTAAGGACGCCCTGCAGGAGGCCAGAATGAAAAAAATTTAGGAAGTTAAGTTGCTGCCACCTACTTCTCTTCATGAAGATGTTATTGCTTTGTCTAAAATGTTACATGGTGTGACATTAAACATACGCAGGTAGAATTTGTTCATTACGAGTGTGTCTGTTTGTCAAAAATACAGTAATTCTTTGTGTGTATAGGGTCGATTCTCCACAGATCTGAATTGTAATGTGGCGTCGTGCTGTAAACTGCTTGTCTCCCTCATGATAGATAGATTTAATCGATACAGTGGAACAATCTACAAATGGACAAAGCAATTTCATTTCCATGGAGACGAGCAAGTATTGGACCATCCACTAGTGCAGGGGTCATCAAACTAACCCTTTGAGCAGCCCCCCAGCCCGTCTGCCCCCCACCACTTGAACTGGCCTTATGAGGCAATCCTCAAAAGTTGTCGTGGCCTATTTTTAAAAACGACTTTTTGGCAAATAATAACACATCTGCATACTGTATTTTGCTGCTAAATTCTCGTCACCTGACAAGCTCAAGATCGAACATTGACAGTCAACGCAGGTGCAGAGTTCTGTAGTGCAGTTAAGGACAGTAATATGACCAGTGTTATAGTATAAAAACTTGACAGAAAGTGCCAAGTTTTCAAAGAACAGTGTTTTGTTTTTGTTTTTTTTCAGTGCAAGGACAGTGCAGTTTGTCTGATATGTAAAGAAAGTGTGGCATTTTTCAAAGAATATAATCTGCATCGTCAATGGTCATGCAATTCTGTTATACGGCCGACCCAACCCCGGCCCCCATCACAGTCAGGAGCGATAATGTGACCCCCAGAGAAAAAAGTTTGGTGACCCCTGCACTAGTGTGTTTGGTTAAAAGTGCACTGTGGAGCTTTTTTGGTGTCTGCTTGTTATTGCCTATTCTGCAATGTTTTCATAGTATTAAAATTTTTTTCAGTGCTAAAAATACCTGGAAAAACATGCATCCTCACTGTGAGCAAACACACCTCTCTGCAGATCTGACCTGTAACTTAACCTGCTTGTCCCCATGGTCATAGATAAGTTCAAAACCATACTGTGGAGCATTGGAAGCAAAGCAACAACATCTCCACAAATACGAGCTTAACCTGAAAAGTTACTGTACCTTTTAAGGAGAAGAGTGTTTTTAACAGAGACAAACTCCCCACAGAATAATAAAACACAACAGCTCAGAAGAAACACTAAAATCATGCGTCCTGATTTGCCCCATATCTCAAAGTAATACCTGGTGAATTTGGAAATCTTTCTTCAGACTTCAGGCCAGCACAGTTTGAACTATACTCAGTTGTCATTTGCAATCATAGGTTTTTCCCCATGACAGTGTCTGACTCCCTGAAAATAAAAATAAATATGAATAATATGTACAAAATCAAAAACACAGATGCAACTCATATTTGAATAGTTTACGACCCCGATGTTGCAATCTCAGATCTCTCTTTGATATGAAATACATCTTGTTTTGGATGCAGATGATTCAGACATAAATTCCACCTTTGTTCTCAATAAATTATTGAATATTTTAGCATCATCTCTAAAAAGTCCTCCCTGTTTTTCAGATGTGGATGAGTGTGAGAACTCGGGCATCTGTGGCCCAGGTCAGTGCTACAACACCATTGGGAACTACACCTGCGTCTGCCCTGTGGACTACATGCAGGTCAATGGAGGAAACAATTGCATGGGTAAGACTGAATACTACTTCTTCAAGCATAAGGAACCAACTTTAAACAAAGGAATGTATTGTAATTAATATCATAATATTATTATTATTATATGTGCTTGGTGCGTGAGGGATCTATATTGGTTGAAGAGACCATTTGGCACAAATTAGCAGTCATGTCAATATAATTACTATAATTTACAAATTATTATACTTAACTAAATAATGATAAGATAGGATTACACCATGACTAAAACTTCACTAAACCAGGGGCCTGTACTACAGAACTAGCTGAGCTTCTCCTGAATACATTTCGTTTACCTGGATAGACCCAGAAATGAGCGGTACAGTGCTCCCTTGTTTATCACGGGGGTTATGTTCTAAAAATAACCCACAATAGGCGAAATCCACGAAGGAGTCAGATTTATTTTTTACAATTATTATATCTGGTTTAAAGCTGTAAAACCCCTCACCACACACTTTATACACTTTTCTCAGACAGGACAGTCACAACTCTTTTTGCATCCTTCTTAAAACTTATTGCTCCTGTCGTCCTTTTGTGATTTTCCTCCTTCTTTATGTAACAAATTGAAGATTAATTTATTCCGTAATGGCTCCTACAGTTGCGTAACTTCTACCTTCCTTCATCATGTCCAGAAGTCCAAGTTTTTGTGCAATGGTTGCATCTTCCTCTGCCTTTTGGGTGCAACTGCAGGAGCCTTTGTCAGTGCAGAACATTTCGTCAACATTGTCACATCACACTGCTAGCAATCAAACATTTATTTAAATTTGGCAAGCTGAACACATTCTGTACTGTACAGGAGACTCGGCACGAAGGAGAGTGATTGACAGTCAGTGTCTACAGTCGCTTAGCCAAACAGGATGCAGGGGGAAGAACACAATGTGCGTTCATAAATTAAAAATTGCTCAAAAAAAATCTGCGAAACAGCGAGGCCACGAAAGGTGAATCACGTTATCGTGAGGGACAACTGTAATAAATAATAAACTGTAAAACAGTTTCACACCTCACTCCATCTATCAGTTTTCAGGGGTCAGCGCCAGCCAGCCAATTAGAGTGATGGAGAAGGGAAGAGCTGCACTTCAGAGTGAACAGTAACTCATATAAAATCAGTAAATCAAATGGATTCTCATCTCTGATTGCTCTGATTGGTCATAGCCTCTTACGTTATTCAAGAACTTAACCTTGTCTAGGGCAGGTTGTGAGTTCAGTTCATGTTACCAGATCTAGCCTGTTAGATAATGATCCAGCTTTGTAGTAATGCAGCTTGATGTGGTTAACCAGAGTTAACCACACCAGGCTTCATAATGCAAGCACCAGGATGAACCTAAACCTAGACCGACACTATTAAAGGAGTATCCTAACCTTTACCACAACCAAAACCACAAACAAAAATAATAAAAAGTACCAGCAATAAATAAAACGTTTGAGTACCACCACTATTATCTCTGTTACAGTGTTTATGCTTTTATTTTGAAACCCACAGACATGAGGAAGAGTTACTGCTACAGGAACTTTTATTCTTACAACCGCACATGTGACGGAGAGCTGACGTTCAATATGACCAAGAAGATGTGCTGCTGCTCCTACAACATCGGCCGGGCCTGGAACAAGCCGTGTGAAGAGTGTCCTGTCCCCAGCACCAGTGAGAATTCAACAATTTAATTTAATTTATTCAAAATAATAATAATTAAAAAAAGATTCATTAGAAGATTAATTGTAATTTAATGTAATGTTTGACCCTTTCAGATGAGTTTGCTGTTCTGTGCGGAAGTGAAAGACCTGGGTTTTACATTGACATCACAACTGGACGTGTGATTGGTGAGAGATTTCTTAAATTACTAGATTACTAATATCAGGGGAGTCGACAGGGATGGGCAAAGGGGTCTGTTGTCCCGGGCCCCAGGGTCTTAGTGGCCCAGAATTGGAAACTTTTCTTGCCCTGGGCTCCCAAATTTCTTTCAATGGCCTTGACTACTCATATGTAAATGTAAGTTCTGCAAATAAAGATATAGGCAGTAAAAGTTTAAATACACTACCAGTGAAAAGTTTGGACACGCCATCTCATAAATTGTTTTTTCTTTTCTTTATTTTTACTTCTTTCTACATTTTATACATACAGAATTTATCAAATATATAAAGCAGGATAAATGGAACTATGTAGAAAAGAAAAAAGTTACTAAATATTTAATATAAGTTTAAATAATATAAGGGTGGCTACTTTGAGGATTTGAATATAAAATACTGTATATATTCTTTACTTTTTATAATATATCTTACATAATATTTAATTTACAACTTCATATGGATTGAGGAAAGAGGCACCTAAAGTGTGTAGGACCCTGCTATAGACAAATGTTGTTTTCAAATTAATAAACATAAAGAAAATATCATTTAGATACAAAAGGTATGTCAGTGTCAAAGGTCAGTGTTTGTAAATGTACTGTATTGCCGTATATCGAGATAAACCTCTCTGTGTCTGTGTCTGTGTGTTTTGTTCAGACATCGACGAGTGCAGAGAGATCCCTGGAGTTTGTGAAAATGGCGTGTGCATAAACATGATCGGCAGCTTCAGGTGTGAGTGTCCCCTCGGCTTCATCTACAACGACAAACTGCTCATCTGTGAAGGTAAGACTCAAAACTCACCCTGCCACTACTATAATATTTTAGTCATTCTAATTAATCTAACAGGGATCAATCAATTATTTACAACACGATTTTCATGCAAAAATGTAACACAATGTGATTTACAGTGATTAAAAACAATCCCACATTTCCATCCGCCCACCCACCTAAACAACCCCCACAGCTTCCCGACCACACAACCAAACAACCCAGACACACACACATGCACACACACGCACACACATACTAACATGATAGAATACATAAAACTACACATAGTAAAATGTGAGGCTGAATACAGGTGAACCAGTTGAGAAAGCACCATCAGAGGAGCCGTCTACACCAGGAGCATATAAACGTATAAGTAGCAGTACGTAGTAAGTAGTAGTAAGTAGTAGTGGTAGGTAGTAAGCAGTAGTAGTCGTAGTACTCTTATCTCACAGCAGATTCATTTATCAAAAATATCACTATGCATAATTACTAGGTCTATGTATTTTTTTGCTTTGTTAATTTTATTATATAAATTTTAACCTATTTCCTGTAATCTGCATTGAACTGTTTTATGGATATACACATTTGTTATACATGTAAGTGCATTTCAGTTAGCTATATTGTTAAAGTGTGCTTCCATTTATTTATTTATTTGATTGGGACAGTAGTGACAGTAGTGCATGTTAACGAATATAGACATCACCATTCATATTCAGCCCATACATGCAATAATATCTCCATAGGGGATCAATAAAAATCAAATCGCCACTATAATTGAACCTCTCCAATCTTATTTTGTGTTACTTTTAAGTTGTTTTGAACTGTGATTTTGACTATTTTGACTCTCTCTCCTGTTGGTGCCCAGATATCGATGAGTGCCAGAACGGGCCGGTGTGCCAGCCAAACGCCGCCTGTCTGAACATGCCCGGGAGCTTCAGGTGCGAGTGTAAACCCGGGTATCGCTTCACTCCCACCGGGCAGTGTCTGGGTAAGTCTGCATTTTACCAAAACACAGTTAAGATCATATTTAAGATTTAAGATGAAATTTCACGAGTTCTTTCCCCCATTTGGCTAATTTGCAGGTTTTAAATTTTACTTCTACTTTTACTACTACTGGTTGGAAATCATGACACCACACTAGGGAATTTCCATTACCTGGCAACCATGACGTACTCTCGACCAAAACTCCTCTAATGTACACAGACATTTTTATTTGACAAATTAAAAGTACAAGAAAACACTTTTTTTTTTTTTTTTGAAATAATGTTCAGTGTGTCAGTCAAGTGTCAGAAAAATTAGTTTCTTTTGTGTAAATTGTGAAAAAACTTTTGGACGAAATTCTCCCAGTGGCATCAATTTGGAAATCTCTAACATAGAAATCTGTACTTGCTGTAATTTTCAACATAATTTTCAACATTTCTCCGCAAATTGCTTCATGATTGGTGTAAAACGATAGGTGCACTGTGAACCTTGATTGGTGGAAGGGTCATCAAATGTTTTTCTGCATAGAGATGTTATTACTTTGTCTGGAATGTTTCACAATATGGTGTTAAATTGGGATGTCATAATTACCAAAATATTGCTATATCGTATCGTCAAAAGTCTCAAAATTATATTGTGGACCATCACAATATATCGAATTACAAGTTTCTATGCATAAATTCATTGTTATGGTGCAGCAATAGCTAAAATAAACACATGGAACTACATAGACCATGATCCTTTGCTCCGTTTCAGGGCAGACTACATGAAGAAATAACAGTTCTAAGCAATTTTAAATCTTAGTTCTTTGGCATTTTGAGAGGAAAAAGTAGCGTATTGTTACTTTTTACTTTATAGTTTTGTTACCCTCGACAAAAAATATTGCAATAAATATCGTATTGTGAGATGTATATCGTGAAAGTATCGTACAGAGAGATTTGTGTTATTGTTACATCCCAAGTATTAAGCCTATCTATTCTATCTTCATGTAGACCAAACCAGACCAAGATACAGGTCAGATCTGTGGAGAAACAACTTCGCTCACAGTCAGAATACATGTTTTTCTTGATGTTTTTGAGCTATAAAATCACCTGTAATTGCGTAAGTGTAAAGTAGAGCTGTTTAATGTCATACTGTGGAACATTCCAGGCAGAGCATCTCCATAGAAACAAGCAGCTGATGGACCCCGCACCAGAAAAGTCACACAATGCACCTTTAACAAACAATCGTGTAAAAAGTAAATGAAAATCTTATCTTGTTTTTATATTTATTTAAACATCTTTAATAAATTGGCCCCTAACAATTCAACGTCCTGTACGACCATATTTGGAGTGGTATGAATTCAGGCTCACAGTTGCATACTCTTTCATTTGTGAACTTTTCAGAGATCAAATCTATGTACTTGACATAAAACTCAAGAGTCACTGCTCAGTTCATGCCATGTTTAAAACTGTAAATCCTTTAACGGAGAGATTATAGAGAATTAGAGAAGTCCATGACAGGATTAAGAGAAGGATTAGAGAAGAAACAGAAAAAATATGTCTATCACCACTAAAGCTGAACACGATACTTAAAATCCCAAAGAATATTTCACACGCTGTCAGAACGACGTGGAATGTAATGTGGAATCTCTCTTTTTTCGGATCTCATATTTCATTTACAATAATTTAATACATACTGATAATTCAGTAACCTCAATATTGGTTCCTCCATTTTTATTATTTTATCAATTAATTGTTCTGTTTATATATTCACAGAACTAAGAAGTATACAAAAGATGAACATTTTAGGAAGATGAAATAAAAAGCTTGTCTTTAGTTTATATACAAAATGTTGAAGATAAAAACAGCAATGACTCATGGGTTTCATCGCCTGTTATATGGAGCCATTTTGAGGACATTTGACCTTTCAGAACATGTAATATTTTGTTAATCGCTGATTCCTGATTCTGAAATCCGTGTATAATTCAGAGATTCAAAGATAATTCTCTTTATGCTAATTGTCAGTACATTGCAATACTGATATATTCAGTGATGAGAAGAATAGTTTGAAAATGTATTTAGTTACAGAATACTGAATACCTGCAATGTATTTGTAACATATTCTGATAAATGGATCAATCAAACTACTGTATTAGAATACTTTTACTCAGAGCTGCACATAAATTAAGTATAAAGAGACAACATAGTATTGAAAACAGCTTTATGTTTGTTTCACAGTTTGTTAAAGGTGCTCTGTGTAACTTTTCTGGTGGAGGGTCCATCACCTTCTTCTCTCCATTGTGATATTACCTGGAATGTTCCACCGTATGGCATTACATTTATTTATCTGTATGGAGACAGCAAGTTAGCCTGATTCATGAGCCGGTTTCACTTGGTGGAAACCGTCTGACCTTGCAGCATTAGAATTTGTTCGCTCAATAGTAGACGGATACTTTCTTTATTTCACCAATCGCTGCTATTTGGTCGTGATGTATGTAATGCGCCAAATATCATAGGAAGAAGGGTAATAACATCTTTCCCCTAGATAAAATTTATTTCCGGCTTTAAATACTCGATCTCGGAAATCGTTGACAACACAGAATGTATGTCTTCCTCTACGTCCATCTCGACCATTTTGTTTACTGTTGTGCTGTACCACAAAAGGGACACAGACAGGCGCTTGAGTTTGATGTCATGGCTTCACAGCTCTTTGCTGATTGGCCGGTGCTCAGTCTACAACTTCTGGGGTTCTTGCAAACCGTCTAGTGTATTCTGATTCCTGACCTAGTCGCTGGAGAGAAATGAAATTGAGTGGAGGTACTAGGTGGCTCCAGCCTGGCTAACAGCAAGTGACACCACAGGGCCAGGTTACATGTCAGATCTGTGGACAAGCATGCGTGTTTTTAGGTTAAAAAAAACTAAACATATAGTTGCGTAAATGCAAAATGGATATGTTTAACGCCATACAGGGACATTCTAGGCAAAAACAGTAACATCTCCATGGAGACAAGCAGGTGAAGGACCCTCTACCAGACAAGTTCCACAGTGCACCTTTAAGCATTTCATTAGAGAAGGACAAATTTCACTATAAGAGGAATGTTTTCTATTTTTCTCACTAATATTGTGGAGTTTGAAGCCTAAATTGTGTGATCAAGTACTGACATGTATTCCTTTGATTTAGAAAATATATTACCAAATGAAAAAGTAACAGTATCGGAATACAGCTACTCAAAATTAGTATTTAGTATATTATGTATTTTCAGGACATACATTCAGTCACTTCTCAACACTGAATATATTAATACTAGAATATTGATATACTCCACATTTTCCTTCAAGTATTCTTAGATTTCACATTTTTTGGATATTTTTCTCTCTCTTTTCCCAGATCGTAATGAATGCAACGAGAACCCCGGAGTATGTAACCCAGGCCAGTGCATAGACACATTAGGAAGTTACCGCTGCATCTGCCCCAATGGCTTCAAAACCACCAGGGACCAGTCCATGTGTGTGGGTGAGTTTTACCGATTTTGACTTCCTTGATATTAATATGTTTGCTTTGGACATTTTAGATTTATGAGAAATAATATTAAAAAGTAAATGTGTTTTTTTTTTTTTCCTCTCAGACATGGACGAGTGTGAGAGACAGCCGTGTGGAAACGGCACCTGCAAAAACACAGTGGGCTCCTACAACTGTCTGTGTTACCCCGGCTTCATCAACTCACACAACAGCGACTGCGTGGGTATGTGTGCTTTTATTAAGATGAATAGAAGACCACTCTTTAATGCCTTGTCAATATGTGTTCGTGTGATCTTGCAATCATCTAGAATAGGGCTTGTAGTCCTTTTTAAACAGACATTAAGAACAGACTTTAAGGATTTACATGAAACAACAGCAGAAAGGAAATTATATGTGAGTTAGTTGATTAAAGATTCAGGAGTAAATCGTGTGTTTAATCCGCTTTTACATTAATAGTTACATTTTGCATTGGGGCACAGTACTTTTTAGTATAAATAATTATTTTTGCATGAACTCCTGTACACTTGTAGTATTGTGAGTGCAGTTTGGGTCAGATATTTTGAGACTTTGGGACAAACCATCTTTGTGGGCCCATACTAAGTGTCCTGAATGATAGATGTTGATTACAGATTTTGGAGAGCCATGATCCCGGGTAAACAAATATCTTTAACTCCACCTGTGTTGATGACAAGAATAAAACAAGGCAAAACGAGGTTTAGTTTAGTGACAAGAACACAATAAACACACTGTCTGGCCACCAAAAGAATTGCCAGTTGCAAGCTTAAACTTTATAACTTTCAATTTGATACAGATTTTTGGCCACATTCATGAAACGTTCTTACAAACAAATTTGTGCTCAAGGCCTTCTTTCGAACATTTTTGGCAGTTACAAAACTTTTTCTTAACTGGAAATGTTCTTCTGGAAGAACAAATCCTACGAATAATCAGGAGCGTAAGAACAAAAATTCTACCATTTTAGAATATTATTACTCTGATAATGCAACAAAAAATTCTAATTTCTCCATGCTTGTAAGTTATATATTTTCTTAAATTATTTCCTATAAAAATATGACTATGTGATCCAATAAGATTTATGAGGAGTTTTGTAGAGCATGTGTCTATTGGGTCTAACAGACTTTATACAGGCTGCAGTGAGCCTCACTCTGTCCCAGCCCCACTGCTCTCCATATGGGACATTGTTACTACGGCCCTGCGCCTGGTCATCGCACTGGACTCAACATCCCTGCTCCCCCCTTCACCCTGCATGACCAGAGTGCACTCCTATGCACCCCTACCCCAGCCCCCCGGCTAGCTTTTTACCTCAGGTCATCATGATCACAGAAAGTGTGATAAATACGATAAAAGCTCCCTCTTATTTCAATAAGTTTTTGAGTTAAACATACACTCACTGAGTGTGTTCATGTGAGTTTGGACATTTGAAATCTGTAAAACAGCCATAGTCTGTAGATGTGCTCCATCATTACTTTCTCCTCACTCTCTCCCTCGCGCTTTCACACGTCATAATGCCAAACCCATATTGGGCTTATATGGAAGTTCAGAGGGTGTTTCTAACCAAATACATATACATTTTCTGTGTAAATGAAATGTAAATGAGCATGGAGGTGTTTGTAGCTCGGTGTTAGTGAATTAGGCGCAACTGTCACATAAGAAGGAATTCTGGCGTTCTCTTAACATCTTCTTAAAGTGAAAGTTACAAACATTTTTTAAGGAAAGATTCATGAATGAGGCCCATTGTATCTACTTTGTTTGAAGACATAATCATCAAAATAGTAAATATTGACCATATATTTTCCTATGTCCCTGTGTCTGTTTCAGATGTGGATGAGTGCTCGACTCAGAGAGGCCTGTGCAGACACGGTCAGTGTGAGAACACAGTGGGAGGATACTTCTGTGTCTGTAACGATGGATACGAACTCTCTCTGGATGGCAGGGCATGTACAGGTAGGTATACGAAATTCTTAAAGGGGAACTAAACAACTAAATCAACTTTTTTTTAATTGCATTGTCTACTGTTCCTAGTAATTTTTTGGTAATTTAAGTATCAGCTAAGTAAGCTAAGTATCTTTGCATCTTGGAGGAGTTTGAAGTGTGGATACCTGTTCGACCAATCACATTCTTACTCATAAACCCAGACCACACCACGTCTTCCCCTTCACTCTCCCCTTTAGTCCTCCAGGCACTTCCCAGTTTAGCAGCTCTATTTGAAGTGTGATTTTGGGCAGTGTTTAGTTGTTTATTGCCATTTTAACTTTATTTTGCATGTTTTTTTGTTTTTAAATTATGAAAATGAAAATAGGTAATTGTGTATTTCCCTGTGTCAGATATAAACGAGTGTCTGGTGAACCCTGGGACCTGTGGAGCTGGCACATGTGTGAACCTGGACGGATCGTACCGGTGCATTTGCCCCATCGGATACTACCTCCACGAGGAGACCTGTGAAGGTATAGACTTAGTCATTTTACTTTAACACTTTAAAGTAATTATTTTAGAAGAAACAAAAGGTACACTAAACAGTATACTATAGATGTATAAAATGACTAAAACTGACATCCCCACAGACACTGATTGTTGTATTGTTAGAAAATAAAATGAAATCTTTGATAGAGCAAAACTGCATCAGTAAAATTAGTAAATATAAACACATTCTCACATTTGCTAATATATCAGTAAAATACAAAAAATAATTAAATAGATGATTGCACTGATTAATTCAAACTTCGACAAGTGAATACTGTTGTATCCTTGGGCAAGACACTCAAACCACCCTGTTAAGGCAGTGAATGGATATAGCTTACCACCCTTTGGAATAAATGGGTAATGCAATGTAAAGGGTATTGATTATCATAATCTAAATTCAAGCTATTCTTATGATTATACTGGAAAAAGAAAGATGATTTGGACCTCATGCAAAAAAATTTTAGTATTAGTAAGTGAAAAGGCAGATTGAACTCCTGAAAAATTCAGAGTGATTTTTCCTCTCTGTTGCAGTTCATATAATCCTAATAATAAGAAAATAGTTATGATAAAAAATGTAGTCAACTAAATCACCATAATCAATTCATAAGTAATGAGTAAATAAAGACTAAAGGATTACAACTGTAAAGATTAGGGATGTAACGATATCCACATTTCTCTGTACGATATTTTCACGATATGCAATAGTTATTGCAATATTTTGTAGAGACAAACAAAATTGTGAATATACTACTTTTTCCTTTAAAAATGTCTTGACAAGTCTTCATAAAGTTCTGTCATAAACCAAAGAGTTAAGATTTAAAAGTGCTTAATAAAGTATTTCATTGTATAAATTGAACTGAAACAGAGCAAAGGATCATGGTCTATGTAGTTTCCTGTTATTCTTTTAGCTGTTTCTGCATATAACAAAGAATTTAAGCAAAGACAGTTGAGATTCAATATATTTTGACAACTCACACAAAATTAATGAGAGACTTTTGACAATACGATATCACAATATTTCGGTTATTGTTACATCCCTAGTATTGATTATATGACAATAGATATATTTGGATCTCTCTTTACCAGTCTTCCCTGAAACCACTGAAAAGTACTTTATATCTTTAATTCTCATTTCTGCTTACTTACGGCCCATTGTCCAGTAACATCACAAAACACCTCACACACATTTGGTTTCATTTCTCCTCCTTTGGCCTCCTCCTCGTCTCCTGTATTCTTGTATTCCTCCTCTGGCCTTTTGGCAGCGGCTCTCTCGCTCACACATGGGACCAGCCCGGGGCTCTTGGGTTGTTTATTCACTGATGGAGAGATTTTCGACAGACTTCAACACATTCCTCTCCCTCAGAGTCTGTTCTGAGAATCAGGGAGGAGCTCACAGCGCTTTCTAGGACAGTGCTACAAGAGAGGCCACTGACTGCAACTTGGACTGCACAAAATAATCAAAAGTTATTCCAAAAGCAACTACATAATGTAATATCATTGCAACAGCTTGTCTATTCACGGGCGTTATAGTTCTAGCACTGTAGCCATAGCAGATAGTGATTAATATAAATTTTGAACGGGCAAAAGTCCTCAGCATATCCTTTATAAACAGAAAACAGAAACACATGGAGCTTCAACACATGAATGTAACTTTTCCGGTGCACAGTCTGGGGCCTGCTTGCTTATAGTGCCTCTTTAAAATAAAATTACTCCAATTAACCAATGCCTTACTTGTGGTTTAATCAGATACCTGTATGATGGTAAACTGGTTTTATGTTAATAATTCTCTTACTTTCCATAATAAATCCACCAATATCAAAGAGAGAATTTAAAATACAGCTAGACAATAAAAAATATATTGGGATTACCACATGAAACATTCAATAATTACAGTTCCTGGTCTAGTTATTTCACTAATTGGCTTGTAACATTTACTGAAATAACATGTAATTGAACATCTCATATTGTCTCATAGTGTCCAGCTGCGCCTCTGAACCATGTGTTTTGTAGAACTGCTCCTCCTGCTTTATCTCATCAAAACTCTGACACAATGGGATGACGTCTCTGTAGTAGCTATGGCGATACGTGTTTGTTTCAATGATTCACTGAAGGGCGGATCACATGAGGTGGTCCAATTAACAGTGGGTTTGACCTAATACTGTTAGCATGTGATAACATGTTAATGTGTTAATGTTCAAGGACAAACAGCACTAAACTGGATGTCACCACAAGAGTATGCAAGGAAAAATACATCATAAATCCTGACTCATAAATTCTGATTTACAACGTTTATTTTGCCTCAGCATCATTATCATGCTTCCACCCACACGTCAAAACAAGCATGACTGCAATTGTATTTGTGCACAGTTTTTTGTTAAAGGTCTTTTATTAAAATGCAAAGCAAAATGGAGCCTTTAGCAATGTAATAATATCTCCTCAAAAACATTTCTTGAGGGTTTTGTTTCATTTACACATTTCAGTAACACTTTATTTTGAGTCTGTCTACATCTCCATCATCAAATTGTTTCTTATTTTACGTTTAACTTACTTTTGTTGTTGTGTTTCAGACATTGACGAGTGCTCCCAGTCTCCTGAAATGTGTTTGTTTGGGACCTGCTCCAACACTGAGGGCAGCTTCACCTGTGAGTGCCCCGATGGATTCAAGCTGTCCTCATCCGGCCGAAGGTGTCTAGGTAAACATGAATGAATGAAAGTTGAACAATCACAGTTCAAATTTAGCTAATATGAAAACAAGTCACAGAAACTAAATATTTATCCCCATCAGGTCTTATTATGTATAAATTTGCTAAGTTTTCTGGTTTAGGGTGTAATTTAACTGTCCTTTTCTCTCTAGGGTTCCCAAATTTGTATCAGTACTAAAACTAGTATAAAATTAATTTGAGCAGGTATCAATACTGAAACAATGACATAGGACAAAATGTGACATTTTCTGAATACTATAAGAATGGTCTTGAATGGTCAGAGATTGAATGAACAAATGTTTTTATTTAAATATTAGATTACATAGTAATATTACATTAATTATTATTGTTTGGTCTGGTAAATTACATTCTATTTTATATTTAAACTATTTTTACCCATCAATGCAATATCCAGATTGCTTATAATATAGAATGTTGTTACCTCCTCAAAACATAACTGGAGTTGTGTTTTGTTTCATTCACACATGTTTGAGTAATCCTGCATTATTAAACTGTCTGCATCTCCAAAACTTAAAATACTCTGTTCCACCTTTTGATGTCATGAAGGAATAGTTTTCAAGTTGAAGTCTACCTTTTACTTTTTGATCAGTAGAGATTGGCTGGCCAGGCTGGCGCTACCTAGTGCCTCCGCTCAATTTAATTTCTCTTCAGCGACTAGGTCAGTAATCAGAATACACTAGACGGTTTGCAAAAACCCCGGAAGTGTGAGTTCAGGCACCAGCCAATCAGCGAAGAGCCACATATTCTGTGTTGGCAACGATTCCCAAGATTGACGATTTAAAGCCAGAACAAATAGAATATTCAGTGAATTTTATAAAGGGGAAAGATGTTATTGCCCTTCTTCCTACAGGATTTGAGAAAAACTTAATATACCAGTTAGCCCCGTTAGCTGTGCATTACATACGTCATGATCAAATGGCAGCTATTGGTTAAATGAAAAAAGTAACCGCCTATAGAGCGAATGCATTCTAACGCTGCGAGGTCAGACGGTTTCCGCGAAGTGAAATTGTCTCATAAATCAGGCTAGAGATTGGCAGTTTTAGGGCTGAAATTATCCAAATGATTCTAGTGAAGGTGTAGGAGATTTAAAAACACAGTGGAGCACTTCCTCTATTTCCACATGACATCACAAGGTGGAACAGATTGTTTTCTATTTGAGAACTTTGGGTAAATATGCAGGGTTTATGTGTTAAACATGTGTCAAACAAAACACAACTCCACGTATGTTTTTTATGAGGATACGACGTTATAACAGATCATAAATAAAATAGTGCAAAATAGCCCCTTTAATCTTGATTTGCAAAAATATTTTATTTGCAATACTGATTAGAAAAATTGCAATCTGACATTTTCCCAAAATTGTCCATCCTGCCTAAATTGTACAAGTATGACCCTAGCTCAATAGCGACTATGAAGTGTTTTTCTTTGGTTTCATCTTCCTTTTATGGAGCCATTTAAAGCACAGTTGACCATTCAAAAGATGCAATATTTCGTTTTACTATGGAAATGGTCTTAACTTTTCATTCTGAAACCTGTGTATAGTTGTGAAGTGTGACTGTAAGTGTAAGTGTATTAGTTTAGTCTGTGTGTGAGTGCGAGTGGAGACTAAGCAGCCCAGCGCACACTTCCAGCTGGCTCCATACGACCAGTAGTGTCCCAGAGGAGATTGCTTTTCCATTGCCTTATCCTTATGTTGTGTTTGTGTGCGGCTTTTAAGTGGGTGAGGGGTGGGGGGTGGTCCCGAGTCTGTGTTACAGTTGTCAAAGGGAGTTTCCCAGTTAGCCTCTTCAGAAATGCCATGACATCATTGAGTTGGAGCATTTACGGGTTTGTCTCTCGTGAGGTAAGGGTCATTGAGTAGTTTAACACAAGGGGTTTGGGCGGAGAGTGGACAACATGTGTGTAAAGTCAAATTTTATAAGACAGATGTTTAAGACGAGTTTTAGTGATGCAGAATCGTGATCGAAATGGTATTATAGGGTTTAGAATTAAAAAGAAATGTGTCTATATATATATATATGTCTAAATGTGTCTAGATTTAACATTTTAACTATGAGATCTTAAGAGGGAAGCTTTCTTTAATGATACACAGAAATACGTTTGACAAATACCACTTGCACAAGACAAAAACACAAGTCAAGACAGAGTTGGATTATAGTCAAATTTTATGTTTATGAATTATATTTTAATAAGATAAAACATAAACAAATAAAGCCTTTTGGAATAAGAATGACCTCAAGGATTTCTGGCTCAAAATGTATGTTATTTATTTCTATTATAATCTTATAACAAAAAGTGTTGTGATGGCACTAAACTGGTACTAAAATATCCAATGTTACTACTACTAAAACCTATTTCAAAAGTCTGTTTCAAAATTAAAGAAAAGGTTTTATACCCAATACCAATTTTTGGACTAAATTTTCAACACAAAAAAACAATCTAGTTTTGATAATAGTTTTAGTATTGAGCCAAGAATTTAATTTTGTCTTCTTATGTACTTTAACTTCTTGTTTTTTTTTTTACCCAAGAAGTTAAAGTTTTAGTATTGATTTTAATATTGAACTGGTTTTATTTATTTTATTTACAATATTTATGTATTTAAAACAAAGACAGGGCACAGAATACATTAATGTCAATGAGAAAAGATGCTCTGCGCCAGATTTAGCCATAAGATATTTTCTATCTGTATTCCTCAGGTGGGTACAAAGACTTTAAAGAGACGATTTATTTCACATTATTCATTTCTGATAAATCTAATGAATACTTTGCAAACCTACAAACCTTGGCCTACAATCACATGTAGATAAAAGCCTATCTTGCTAATAGGGCTGTATACCTTCAGTTGTTAAGTCAATGAATCAGTCAATGGTGTCAGCTGAGTAAAATCTTTATTAGCTGATTAGTTATTTTATCCGGATTTAGAGGAACAACAGCAGAAGGAAGCATGCATGAAGTATATAGCTGGAGTTTAAATTAAATCTGTCTTGTCACTTATATTTGAAAACTTTTGAGAGCTTTTGCCAGCATCACCCCTCATCCTCATTTAGTTGACTAATCTATACACCAGGCATATCTATTGATACTTCGCAGTGAGATCAAGTGGGGGTGTTCTACATGTAACTCTACCGGTGCGATGCTCATCAGTTACCATGGTGCAGACTTTAGCAAACATACACAAAAAAGTAGGGATGTAACGATATCCAAATCTCTCAGTATCACGATCACGATATGCATCTCTCGGTTCGATATTTATTGCATTATTTTGGAGAGGCTGAAATAATTGTAGATGGGACACATTTTTCCTTTTAAAATACCTTGACAAGATTTTTGTGTGAATTATTTCCATCATAATCCCAAGAGTTCAAGTCAACTGTAAAACCATACATTTAAGCAAAGGAACTTATTGTGAGACTTTTGACGATACTCTATCATGATATTTCGGTTATTGTTACATCCCTACACAAACGTGCTAAGATAAAACTCGAGAAAAATACAAAATGGATTGAAACTACACATTTTCAAGAGCCTGTGATCAATACAAGTGTTCATGGGAGTTTGATTTTGAACAAAAATTTAGAGTAATTAAGTTAAAAACTGTAGTTTGTGACTGTAATTCTATGTGACAGACAGTTTTTTAAGCGCACAAATCATCTCACCTGTTGTAGTTTCATGCAAGTCAGTTCTTTGTGGTCAGATTGTGTTAAAATAAAGCCCAGATTAAAGTCTAACTTGAGTAACAGAGCTTTTAACACAACAGTGCTTCCAGTTAGCATCACACCCACAGGAAATGTTGGCCAAATCTTCCTTAGTCAACTACAGCTCTACTCGCTTGCTAACCACCCTCACGTGTCTCTTTTAAGTCCTCACAGTTCAGCGAGACTCGTACCAGATGCTTTGAGCTAATTTTTGTGTGACAGTAAGTCAAACACACTAAGCATGTGGTGGAGTGTACATATACCTTCACCAGACCACTGCCCATAAATCTCGATGTAAAAACAGCTGAGAAATCAAGTTTTTATGGAGTTCTGAAACGCAACACGGGTCGGTTTTCCCTGCTTTGGCCCAGGTGTTGGGTCTAGGCCCAGGTGTGGAAAGCTACAGTAAGAAGTCCGATTATTTGTACAGTATTTAGTGAAGGCTATTCTCAACATGTGGTCCTCGTTACGACAATTCGCGCTGGGAAAACCGGCTTCAGAGCAAAAGAAACGCTGGTTGACCACTTTTCTCCCAGAAGTGCAAAATACTTAATAATTATTTACTCTGAAAATGTTGGAAGGTGACTGTGATTAATTTGGGGTAAGGGTAATTTTTTGGCTTTCCTGGATGTTTGGTCAGTTCTTACGCAAACAGGAAATGGTGCTTTCACTGTATGTTATTTGTACAGCAATGCAAAAATAACAGGAAAGCAAGAAGTCTGACATTGCTTTGACTCATATATTTAATATTTCAGACCAAAGGAAGCAAATGAAACTGCGTAGGTTAAAGGTGCACTGTGTAACTTTTCAGTTGTGGTCCATCACCTGCTTGTCTCTATGGATATGTTTAAACAAATCTACCTTACATTTTTAATTACAGATTTTTTTAGGTATTTCTGGGCTATAAAACCATCATTCTGATTGTGAGCGGGGTTGCCTCTCCACAGATCTGGCCAGTAACTTGGCCTATTTTGGTCTCCATGATGATAGAAAGGTTTTTTTAATCACTGTAAAGCGCTTTGTATTGCATTTTTGTATGAAAAATGCTCTATAAATAAAGTCTGATTGATTTGATCGATTGATTGTACAAAATCTTAGACAAAGCAAGAAAATCTCCATGGAGACCAGAAAAGTGACACAATGCACCTTTAAACGCAGGACTATTTTGAGTGTACCATTTTGCTTCTTGTTTTTGATTATGATAGAAGATACAGGACTGCAGTATTAATCACAATTGAATTAAAATCAATTAAAATCAAATAGAGGTAATTAGCAAATCACAAATATCCGGTCTTATTCTGCATAAAAACTACTCACCCTGTAGTTTATATCTGTACAAACTCTGAAGCTCTGAAATGTGATTCTTGTAATAGTTTGTCAGTTCATATTTCAGTAATATTGTCAATTCTTTAAAATGTGAGCTTTGAACAGAATATTATTATTAAAACGTAAAACACAAATGTAATCTCAATCTCAAACAAACTAACAAAAAAACACATAATTAGATATTTATTCCCAAATTGTTCAGCCTTATTGAAGTATAAAACCAGTTAAATTTCTATTAAATACTAAAATAGAAGGTCAGATAAATCATGATATACAACATATTTGATAAATTTGGTAAAATATATAACGAAATAAATATGCATACAGCTGCTTGTTTTTGATGGTCAGCCTCTCTAAGGTTCTGATTTCAACCAATCAATGTGAGGTTTTAGAAGAATCAGATGACTTTATTTACATTTTATAAGCATAAAAATATCAATGTATATGATGTTGATAAAAGAAAAAGAAATTATGATATTACCCAGTATAAATGTTGACATTTTGCTCACTCGTAGTTCCACTCCTAGCAAATGTTCCTCTTGTCTAAAGGTTGTTTTATGTAGCGTGGTCTATATATTGGTAAATTCAACTTTTATTGGTCAGTATAGCTAACATTAATTGCTCCTTTGTCCTTTTTAAAACAATTTATTTTCCTTATTTATTTATTTATTTATTATTTTCTTGTGTGTCCCTCAGAAGTTCTTTTATGTAGTGGTAAATTCAACTTGTAATAATCACTATACCTGTCATGTTTCTGTTCTTTGTCCATTTTAAAATAATTTGTTCATTCCTTTCTTATATTATTTCCTTAGACGTGCGCGTGGCCTACTGCTACACTAAGTTTGAGAACAGCCGCTGTACGACTCCAAAGGCCCAGAACACGTCGAAGGCCGAATGCTGCTGCACCGCCATGGCCGGACAGGGCTGGGGCAACCCCTGTGAACTCTGCCCCACCAAGGCTGACAAAGGTACAGAACTGATGCCAAGAACTTCAATTTAATACATTTTACTTTGGCATCAGCACTTTATAACACCTTGTCACTTTAAATAACTCACTTGAATCATGATGAATTACACTGATAGTTTAGATACCCTTGTGAGCTCTGCCCCACCAAACAGACAAAAGTACAGCATGGGAATTAGGCTTTTGGATTTAATATATTTCATTACATGACATTATAACATTCAACTGATCTTCAGATGTGTGGTGTTTTCCTTCTGGATATTTCATATAGAAATACAATACTGACTGCTTGACCTCAGCACATTTTAGTTTTATTTGTACTCTTTTTATTTTACAAAGGAATCAGGTGAAACATTGTTATGACATTTTATCTGTTTATTGTCTTTAACACGTGTTTTCTGTTATTTTTCAGAGTCTTACATTCTGCTGTGTCCCAATGAGGGCTATCAGCAAGGGCCGGATAACCCTGTAGGTATGTATCATGACGCTGAATTTATTTCAAATGTGTTTTTATTTCCAGTGGTCTATAGACTGGTAACAGTAAAATGTACCGTATTTTCCGAACTATTGAGTGCACCTGAATATAAGCTGCATCAACTAAATGTTAACACAGTTTTAAACTTGTACATATATAGACTGCACCTGAATATAAGTCACAGGTGTCCACGTCTTCAAGAACGTTTTTCAAGTTCGGGCCATTTGCTTTTATTGCTTCTGAAAACTTTTGTCGTCTTTTTTGCATTGAGTCAGTTCGTCACGCTGCTGTCACCAGAATCTCACCATCGACTCACTGATGTCGAGCTCACATGCAGCAGCTCGATTTCCTGCTTCCACAGCCACATCACTTGCTTTTACCTTAAAATCTGCGTCATCTGCATTTCTTCGTGTGTTTTCCATGAGGAGGGTGTGTGCATGAAGCACAAAATAACTGTTCAAAACACAATCAAACGAGCATCTTCCTCGGTGTATCACCCCCGTCTCTCCCCGCGCATGTCTCCTGCAGAAAGAGCCTCTGTCCTGTCTGTATCATGTCAGTGTCTTGGAGGATTTCAGCAGATTTCAGACTCTCCCGGGTGTGGGGTCAGCTGTAGCGATCAAGTATGAGTGGATGTCCGGCTACTGAAGTTTGAAACGTTTGTCCTCGTCATTTGCTCATACGAGGAAGACGTATCCCCCTCACTAATGTTCATTTAGCATCATAATGTATTTTATCACACAGCAATAAACTATTTGAGTGCACTGAGAGTATCGCTAGCTAGTGTAGCAGCTTCATGTGAACTCTAGATCCATGTGTGAGCCGCATAGACAGTGGCGTTTTCTGCACTCAGGCTGCGTGTATCCACTGTATTGATAAACCATAGACCGTGTATATGAATGGACAATGTGCCAAACAAAGAATCCGTCCATATCTTTGCCGCATCGTTTTATTAGCCGCAAGTGTGAGAAAAAAGTAGTCACTTATAGTCCGGAATTTACGGTATATTGTTATGTATATGGTATGTATATGTACACAAGTGAATATGCAGTACTGAATATGTACTTTATTATCCTGGTGTGCATTTTCTCCCACAGATATCGATGAGTGTCTGAATAACCCGTGTGTGAACGGTCAGTGCATAAACACAGACGGAGCGTTCCGCTGTGAGTGTCCCATTGGATACAGCCTGGACCACAACGGGGTCATCTGTGAGGGTAAGACTCTTAACGGGATATTTTATTCTGAGAAACAAAATACTGCAGATACTGTTTGTACAGAGCTAACAGAAATGGATTGGTACAATGACTCAGATTTTTATTATGTTGCTTTTGTAAAAGGAGTTTGTATTTGTTTTTTTTAGTTGTGTAATAGTATTTCTCTTTTATTTAACTACTACGTCATGACCATCTGTTACTTAGAAGTACTACATTGGCACAGAACCCATTGCACTTTTCCACAGCTGCATTATGTTTGTGTTGCATTCTACACCCTCAGCACTGACTCAACATCAAAAAATGTGCATAGATCAGGTATGTCCAAACAATGCTGCCCTCAGACCTTTTTTTTTTTTTTCCCAAGTTTCCAAGTAAATTGGTCTATTTTACCGTAAGCAATACTTTTTACTGCAATTATTTTTGGGGGCAGAATGTAACTTGCCGTAATAAACATTTAGTGTGCCCTATCGAGGGTCCAAGAATGACTAAAGGTCTGGTGGCTCAGTCTAACCTGTTATTATAAACACATATTTGAATTATTACTGTATTGACCACCAGTCTGTTGGTCCTTTACTGGTCTTCTGCTTCAGGGGCTTTTAACCTTTTTGACCTTGGGGCCTTTTTTTTTAAAAGTAATTTGGGACCTAGTCTCATGTTAAATGTTTTGTATTCCTCTGATTTTACTGCCCTTAAGTGGGTGCTCACTTTTGGCCCCATCCCTATGGTTAAAGGTGCACTTTTTGCTTAGAGCCTGTCACCTGTTTCTATGGATTTGTCATTTGCTCTACCTGGAATGTTTCACAGTATGGCATTAAACAGTTTTTCCTTCCATTTATTCATATGTAGGTAGTAGCTAAAAAATACCTAGAAAAACAGGTATTCGGACCAATGCATGGTCGCCTCTTTACAGATCTTAGCTATAACTTGGTCTGGTTTGGTCTCCATGAATATAGAAAGCTTTAATATCATACTGTGAAACATTCCAGACAAAGCAATAACATCTCCACAAAGAAAAGCATTTGACGGACCCTCCACCAGGAAAGCTACATAATGCACCTTTGAGAATCACCGCTTCTTTTACTGTTTTTCGATACCCAGCCCTTGATGGAAACCACAGTGCATAGGAACTACAGGAATGCATTACTTTACTGTTATTGACCGGTGCCCATAGTTGTGGTTAAGGAGTTTGTCTTGTCTCTCTTCTACAGACACCAATGAGTGTGACGTTGGTAATCCCTGCGGAAACGGCACATGCACAAACGTGATTGGAGGGTTTGAGTGTGCGTGCGACGAAGGGTTCGAGCCTGGCCCCATGATGACCTGTGAAGGTAAGAGAAATGCATTGTTTTTAAGTGCATTTTTTTTTTTTCTAATTATGACTAGGTAAACATGCATCCTAATTTTACATCTGTTAAGTAGCAGTTTGGGAAGAAAAGTAGAAAACAAAAAGTTGGAAAATAGAGGAAGTAGCTGTGAGTTCTAAAACAAAATCCTTTACCCTTAGAGAATTGTTTTGCAGAAAGAAGCATTTTTGTCCAAATCCAAATCCACTTTATTTATATAGCACATTTTACAAATAAAGCAGTTTCCAAAGTGCTGCACAGAGATTATAGATTAAGACAACAAAAAGGTAAATTGCTAAACTTTTGTCATACCAGTCCCAAAACAATAAAAACTGTAAAATTAAATAAAACCAAAAACCATAAAAATCATAACATAGCAGTAAATAAGTAAAATAGATTAAAAAAAAAAAGGATCAATTAAATAAATAAAAGACACAGAGGTCCCCACTACTGACTCTGTGTTAACAGCAAGAGAATAAAAGTGGTGTTTTGTGACAGTTTAAACACTGATTTAACAAAATAAAGGTGTTCCAATTCATTTTTCTTTGTCATATAATAACTAATGAGTAACTTAGGCATTTTTTTTGACCCTTGCAAAGATTATAGTTGCTAGGTAACATGCCTCTAAGCATATCGTCTCATATGTCTGACCAGGAAGAAAAATGATACTTGAAAAGAGTTTAGACAAGATTTTTAGTAAAATCTTAATTCTAATGAAAGAAATTAGTGGTCTAACCTGTCATATACACTTGAAAGTTTGGTTTGGTTATCTTTATTTTTATCTTTACTAAAAATTAATTATAAGTTTTAATTTTTATTTCTGTGTAGACATCAATGAATGCGCCCAGAACCCGCTGCTGTGTGCCTTCCGCTGTGTCAACGTCATCGGCTCTTATGAGTGTAAATGTCCCACCGGATACGTCCTGCGGGAGGACAAGAGGATGTGCAGAGGTAAGACAAAATATGATTCGACTTTTCGCCAATCTGGAAATGTCAGTTTTCATTACCATACCCATGTGATCAGCTTTATGTGGCGCTCCTATATTCTGCTAAATTGTCCGTATTGAGAATTTGTACCCATCTTTTAATGTTTCACTTCAAAAACATGTCTGAAGTTGGTTTAATTTGAATCCGAGTATCATTTGTTCATTAATTTTTCAAAATAAACCAGGAGTAACCAGGACTAAACAGGTCTAAACCAGGACTGAACCAGGACTGGGTGTTGGGACTGGCCCAGAGGTGCGCCCACGTAGACTGTCGGGTGATCAGGACTGAGACCGGGACCATACCGGGACTGAGACTGGGACTTAGACCAGGACCAGACCAGAATTGAGACCAGAAATGAGACCAGGACTGAGATTGTGACTAGACCGGAACCAGACTGGGACTGAGACCGGAACCAGACCGGGACTGAGACCAGAACGAGACAGGACTGAGACCAGGACTGAGACCAGGACTGAGACCGGTTTAGTCCTGGTTTAGTCCTGGTTTAGTCATGGTTCAGTCCGTATGCAGCGCAGTTTAAGTCATGGAAATGGGAAATGGCCGTTATCCATTTTTTCCATTATTCATTTAAACACAAAATCGAAAACTGAAAAAAACAAATCATTATCTGTTTTTTCATTTTGGTTTTGGAGACAAATAAAAAGAAGAAAATCGTTTTTCCATGTTTCCATTTTCTTATTTTTGGTTTTATATTGAAAAAATGAATGAACGAATGATACACGGATTAATTTACCCTGTAGTGAATATACCGGTCAAAACTGCGGTCACAGACCACAGGAGACAGTAGATGCTGTAAATTATATCTATTCCATGTTGTTATTGCCATGGTTCTGCAAACACTGGACATGTTTCAGTATAGTGTCAGTAAATTAAACAATACTCATAAATGATTTAAATTAGGATTCATAAATATAACAACATAATTATAAAAATACTTGAATAATCCTTACTTTGAAGTTATATAGGTTTTACTAGCAACAATATGATTAATATTTGGTTAATCTGCTGGTTACCTTTTCCGATATTTCTTGCCCAATATTAAAGGTTAACTATGTAACTTTTGCCATTTCTTTGTATCCATGGAGACGTTATTGCTTTGCGTGTTTTATACTATGTCATTACACATATCTTGCATTAATTCGATTACAGGTGTTTTTATTGCTCATTTACTCAACTAATCTGAACTGAAACTTGACCCGGTTGAGTCACCTGTTTGTCTCCATGGAGATAGTTCATTTTAATGCCATACCGAGTAATATTCCGGGCAAATTCCCATGAAATACTGTCACATCCACTCACAGATTCTTCAGTGCACTTCCTGGAACAAATCGTAGCTAACATATACAGCAGGGCTCTTCATTAGCGTTACATAACAGATATCGTTGAGCTATTGCTATCTTAAAACACTTTTTGGACCAGCCACTGTTTAGATTGTGTCTCATTTAGACCTCACTGTCCCCATGGAAACGCTGTATTTGCGGGGCGGTATGCAGGCAGCAGGGACCCTTCAGTGTCAGAATAGTCATTGTTTATTTGACATCACTCTAAACAGACCGCCATCGCACCGTTTCTACCACGGACTCATATTAGCCCGAGTTACGTCACTTACATTCACGTAACATGGCGTGCGCTGAGGTTTAGCAGCCAGCTCCAGCTTGTAATGTCTAGACTGGATTTAGGGTGCTTTAAGACCTGATATAGATTTGGGCTGGTTCCCTTCTAGTCCTGGTTCATCCTGTTCTAATCCTGGTTTAGTCTCGGTCTATTCTTGGATTATTTACATGTTAAGTGGTCCCAGTTGTAATACGTTATGCCAGTACACACAGAAACTTCCTATACTGTACATTATTTTAGGCTACTTTTAGAAAGAGCCTGGTTAAAACTGCATGGACTTTAAAAACATACAGGGGCACTTCTGTATTACAACCTGATGACTCACCAAAATATAAGTTTAATATATTAAAACGCAACACCAGGTACAGAATATCTGATACCAGTACTGATTAAACACTAACAAGGGTAGATAGTAGTTGTGTAAGAAAAAAATCAATTCAGTGATATATTGTGATAGCCTGATTCATCAACCGGTTTCACTCCGTGGAAACTGTTTGACCTCACAGCATAATGATTCGTTTGCTCGATGGTAGGCCGGGACTTTTTAATTTAACCAATCGCTGCTATTTGGTTTTGATGTATGTAATGTGCCAAATCCCTTGGGAAGAAGGACAGTAACGTCTTTCCCCTTGATAAAATTCACTTTGTTCCGGCTTTAAATCCTCGATCTTGGGAATCATTGCCAACACAGAATGTATGGCTTCGTCTACATCCATCTCGACCGCTTAGTTTGACGTCATGGCTTCACAGCTCTTCGCTGATTGGCCGGTGCGCGGTCTACAACCTCCGGGGTTCTTGCAAACCGTCCAGTGTATTCCGATTCCTGACCTAGTCGCCGGAGAGAAATGAAATTGAGTGAAGACACTAGGTGGCGCCAGCCTGGCTAGTAGATAGTAGGGGTGTAAGAAAAAAAATCTATTCAGTGATATATCGTGATACTTCATTGCACAATTCTTGAATCGATCCAAAATGCTTCCAAATCAATATTTTAGAATAGTAATTGTCACAAAAATGTGTTTGTTCTCATGATTTAAAAAAAATTATAAGACCAATTTCATACAGTGTTGTTCCTGAGAAGGTGTAGATAACTATATTATTAGAAGTAATTATCGATAGTCATTTTACATCATCCATTGTTTTAGTATCGGGATATATTGATTTGTGACATATATATCATGATATGTATTGTATCGTCCGACTCAACGCAATGCAATCTCTTTAAACCCCAGTTCGAGACTAATTAACATAAGAGTAATAAACTAAAACATATTCTTCTTGGATTTTTTTCCCCACTTTTCAACTTACTTCAATAATCACTTTTATTACTACGCACTTATGCACTTGTGGATTAAGAGCTGATGTCAAGTGAGTTTATCCACTGTGCCATCATATCTCTAAGCTGATGTTGAATATGTGGCGCTGGATAACATTGTATATTTGTGTTTTAGATCAGAACGAGTGTGAGGACCGTGTAGACGACTGTGGGAGCCGAGGCATGACCTGTAAGAACCTGATCGGGACCTACATGTGCATCTGTCCTCCAGGATTAACGAGACAGCCGGGAGGAGACGGCTGCACCGGTGAGTTATAATGAACAAGCCCATCATTTTATCATCATTTAAAGCTGATTTTTACCTAAATTTTAGTGTCTTAAAAACATGAAAATTTACTAGTGTATTTTAAACTGCTTCCAGTGGTCCAAAGTTATTCCTCACTTACCTTATGCCTTTTTAGAACATGCTCATAATTCACCGCAATGAGTTTGTAAGCACTTTTCACAGCTGCCAGAGACCAGGGCTAAGAGTTATATAAATATTTTGCTCAAATACATGGGAAAAAAAATCAGGTACAGAGCCTTTAATATTAGCACACTGTTGATCAGACACCACATTTGTAAACAAATGAATCAGCTGAATGATTAGTTTCCACGAGGAAATCTTAATCATATATTTGTTGTTGTTTCAGACCTGAACGAGTGCACGGCCAAACCAGGCATCTGTAAAAATGGCCGCTGTGAGAACACAGTGGGAAGTTATCGCTGTAAATGTGACCAAGGATACAACCCCAACCCCACACAGACAGAGTGTATCGGTGAGTACAATACTATAAACTACATTTCCACATGGATAACTTGGATGAATGCAGGTGATTTTCCATGTATTTTTATTCAATGCAATTCCCTTTTCTTTCACTGTTTTTCTTACATATCTACTCTCTCTGTTGATGGAATCTAGAGCTACAAATGCACTGATTGATATTTACTACCAGAATTCACAATTTGATAGAGTAGGATTCTTCTCACCACTTTTAAAGCCACACTTTGTATCTTTTTAGCAGGCTTGCATCTCCACAAACCTGGCTCTTATTTGGCCTGGTGGAGGACATATGAATTGGCATTGGCTGGAGAATTTGTTATAAAGTATGGTTTTAGCATTCTATTTTCATGGAATCATGCTGGTGATGTGCCACATCCAAAAAGTTACGTACTGTACTTTTAAAAATAAAATAAATGTGGGCATGGGGTTATTCTGAGGGCGCATAGACCTTTTTCTTTGCTTGACCTAATGCTTTTCTATGGCAAAATATCTGTGGAAATGTGTCCCTTATTTTCCACCAGCTTCATAAATCTGCCACATCACCAAATCTTCATCCAACATTGTCGACAAAAGACATATTCTGTCCACGAAGAATTTATCCACAACTATCAAGGTAAGAAAGATGAAAACATAAAGGCAAACAACGAGTAGCATTAGTGAACTACTCCTGAGCAAAACTAACCGTATGGTCATGAATAAAACATAAGTAATAAGTAATTCGTTAATAAGAATTTTGTGAACTCAGACTGAGTTCTTCTAGAGTTAAAATTAAAAATCGATTTCATGATGTAGATGTCAGCACAGACAGAGAGATTTGTGCAGTTTGAATGTTACAGATGTTTACCGATTACTGCACAGATCTCTCTGCCTATGCTAATATCTACATAATGAAATCGATTTTTAAATTTTAATTGTAGAATCAGTCTGAGTTTACAAGTTACTTATGTTTTATTCATGACCATAAGATTGGTTTTGCTCAGGGGTAGTTCACAAATGCTCGTCGTTGTTTGCCTTTATGTTTTCGTCTTTCTTACCTTGATAGTTGTGGATAAGTTCTCCATGGACATAAAATAGTAATAGACATTTGATTTTATGGCTTTGTGTGAAAAGCGGTTTATGTTATTGGGGTTAAAGTAGTTCTTTTTACCCAGTGAGACCTTCCATACCGACATCACTTCCCGTCTGACTCTTCTCTATCTTTGCCCTGATATGAGGAGGTGGTAAACTGGGTGAAAACACCACTGAGTCGGTGGAATCTGTGACTTAAAGACTCTATCTTTCCACACAGACTTTTGGTGGTTAAACTTATCTGAGACCGTCTAGACCTGGTTTAGACTTAGACTAGTTCGGTATCAGGGCAGGCCCCTCACTCCTTCACATCCACGATAACGAACCCTTGAACAATGTGGAGTCTAAGGCAAAACTGTAATTTAACAATTTATAGGTCACCTGTTTATACTATGGATGTACGAATCTTTTTACTGGCGCTGTACCGGATTTTCACAGTCTTTTAAAAAACAGAACTAGTTCATTTTAATTTGTTTGCAGTGGTCCAAAGTTATTCTTCACTTACTTTATGCATTCTGAGCATCCTAATTCTTCAAAAACATATCTGGAGTTGTTTTTTGTTTCATTTGCACATGTTTAACACACAAACCCTGCATATTTAGGCTGAGCTCTTCTCTCAAACTGAAAACACTCTGTTCTACCTTGTGATGTCATGTGGTGATGCAGGAAGTTCTCCACTGTGTTTTAAAACTCCACACACCTTCACTAGAATCATTTGGATAATTTCAGCTCTAGTATTGCCAATCTCAACTGAACAAAAGTTTAGATGGTTACTTGAAACTACCGCTTCCTGACATCGCAAGGTGGAACAGAGCATTTTGAGCTTTGGAGATGTAGACAGACTAATAAAATAAGGCTACGTTCAGATTGTAAGGCTTAATGCTCAATTTGGATTTTTTTGTGACATACCATTTTTTTTGCAAGGTCATTCACATTTCCAATTAAATGCGACTTGTATGTGATCGCCAATGTGAACTTTAAATGCCCCAAAAGTGTCCTGCATGCGCATTGGTGGACAGAGCGACATCATACGCAGCGAGAGTGCTCAGTGTTTAAGGAAGTTGCCTAAACGCTGGGCTTGTCTCACAAAATACGGTCCAATTCTTTGTAAAATGGATAGTTTACATGTCCACAGCTTCGTTTGTTTGAGTCTTTAGCCTCCTTGTATTTGGCTCGCACCCTCTTTATTTTTTGTTGACATTGGAGCCAGGACCGCCTGTAGCCGTGCTCGGCCATGTCTTTGGCAATCATTTCAATAACTGCCCCGATAAGACCCCTCCAATTTGTCCTGAATACAGCAATCCCCCCCAAATATGAATGAACTCACTAACCTCATTTTACCTCCATTGACTAGACTCCGAGCCTGACGTGTAGGTGAGATGAATGCGCCCTGGCTGTTCAGACTGAAGTCGCATGTCAAAAAATCAGATATGTATCAGTTTTATGAGCACATATCCAGGTGGCCTGGTTCCCATTTGAAAAAATCTGATTTGTGTCATTCAGACGGTCATTAAAAGATCAGATACAGGTCACAGGGGCAAAAAAATCAGATTTGGGTCACTTCAGGCTGCAGTCTGAACGTAGCCTAAGATTACTCAAACATGTGTGAATGAAAGAAAAGATGGCTCTCAAGAATCCATACAGGACCGTTAACTCAGACCTGTTCCCAGTATCTTGCGTACACCTCCTCCTCTAAACCCTGTTGTTTCTCTCTCCTGTCGCAGATAACCGTGAGGGCTTCTGCTTCACTGAGGTTTTGACCACACTGTGCCAGATGACCTCCAGCAACAGGGTCCAGGTCACCAAGTCTGAGTGCTGCTGTGACGGGGGCAGAGGCTGGGGCAACAACTGTGAGCTCTGCCCCCTCCCTGGAACCACACAGTACAAGAAGATGTGCCCGCAAGGTCCTGGGTTCACCACGGATGGCAGAGGTACAGATATATCACAAATATTATGTTAAAAAAGAAAATACTACTTAAAAAAAAGAAAATACAGTGCTAAAAAACAACACATCTTGCCTGGATAAAAATTATGTGGATTCACAATATTATCCTTTTAATTTAAATTTTAATATATTCTTTTGCTGATTAAAATAGTACTTTGTAGGATTTTTCTTCAATTCAGTTTAAACTTTTTTTTTTTATTACTTTTTTGTGCAAATAAAGCAGATGTCATAGAAGTAAAAAAAAAAAAAAATGCAATAATGTTATGTGACCATTTTCCCTTCCCCCAACCCCCCTGCCCATCACCCTCCCCCCCATTTCCAGAGAAAAGGAAAATAAATAATAGTATATAAATAATAAACAAAATAGTAATACATAAAAAAAAAATAATAATAATACAAAAATTATTCAGATTTAACTTTCTGTGTCCTCTGTTACCATAATATTCTACAATATAAATCCACAATATTTAATACTGAGTTCTACCTTTGGAATAAAACCTTGTGAATTAGTAAAATAAATCTTGTGAAATAGAAAATTGCCAGCGAACTTCCAACTTGGACAGAAATTATATTAATATCGGCTATTAATATTCAGTATTGAGTAACTGTTTTTTCAGTCATCAAGTAGTTTATCCACAATTACGCTACAAGTCTATATTTCAAAATAAGAGACTTTCACTGACACTGGGAAATACCGCGGAAATGTAAGATTAAGATCAGACAAATAAAATAAGAGAATGAATAATATAGGGTCTCTATCGTGTCATCTTGATGGGAAAAACACAGATTCTTTTGACCAATCTTTGGTTTGTGTACTGTAAACAAACCACCAGTAATAAATCCTTCAATGGGTGAAAAATACGACCTTAAGACACTTGGAAGCTGCAACGGAAATGCCCCATAAATTATGACAAACTGTTCCAACTGTAGACTGCTTTATTCCTCCAGTCCTAAACCTTTTGGGGGTAATGTTTGCTGTTTTGTTTTTTCAGATATTGATGAGTGTCGAGTGATGGGAAACCTGTGCAAGAATGGCCAGTGCCTCAACACTGGGGGCTCCTACAGATGCGTCTGCAATCCGGGCTACACCGTAGACATCACCGAGACGCAGTGTGTGGGTAAGAAACCAGGACTGAACCAGGACTCAACCAGGACTCAACCAGGACTCAACCAACACTAGGAATTGACCAGTGTTTTTCTTTTTTTTGTTTTTTTTCTTTTCATGGCCAATGCGAGTACCTATATATATGTATATATTTTTATCTAGATTAATCGATTGCTGATAAACTCTGCCAAATATATAAGGTAGTTTTTGATCATAGTTTTTGATGATTTTCCCAAGATCAGTGATTCCCAAAGTGCGGTCCGCGGCCTCAGAGGCATTGCAGTGGGGTCCCCAAATTTTGTCCACATGAGTATAGCAGAAAATAGAGTTTTAAAGTAACTTAACATAATTTGCATCATTTACCTCTTTAAAGTATAAAGTATAAGTCAGTATCAGTATAAAGCCCACAGACATTATGATATGTACGGTTAGTATGCAAATTGGAAAGGAAAACATTACATTTTTATAACAGGGGCCCATACAGTTTTCAGATAAATAGGGGACCACAGCTCTGCAGACTTTGGGAATGACTGCCCTAGACTATATGATTTCTAATAACTAAAAGCTCAGTTATAAAGCTCAGCTAAAGTGCTGTAGCTGCTCTACAGAATAAAATTATACGAACAAATATTTCAATAGTGAAGTTTTATATCCACAGCCCTGAGTCTTTCCAAACCTGTACCAGAGCAGTCGTCACACTTTCTGCAGTGGTGTTCAAGTTTTTTCAGCCCAAACTTAATAATCAATCAAACTTTATTTATAAAGCACTTTTTAAGTGCTAAACCTGGACCAATCCAGAAGTGAACCAGTGCTGAACCAGAACTAGCCTGATTCATGAACCGTTTTCACTTCATAGAAATGATCTGACCTCGCAGTGTTAGAATTCATTTGCTTGACGGTAGACGGGTACTTTTTTTCATTTAACTAATCACTGCTATTTGGTCATGACATATGTAATGCGCCACTAACAAGGCTAACTGGTATATTAAGCTTTTCCCAAATCCCGTAGGAAGAAGGACAATAGCGTCTTTCCCGTTGATAAAATTCCCCAAACATTCTCTTTGTTCCGGCTTTAAATTCTCAATCTCGGGAATCATTGCCATCAGAGAATGTATTCGCTGATTGGCTGGTGCCCGAACTCACACATCCAGGGTTTTTGCAAACTGTCCAGTGTATTCCAATTCCTGACCTAGCCACCAGAGAGAAATGAAATGAAACCAGAGCTACACCAGGACTGAATTTATAATAGTCTAAACCTGGATTAACTCAAGGCTGCTTTAAGTATAAACCAGGACTAAACAAACACATCTAACTTAAACCAGGACCTCACAGACACCTGCGAACTGGACTAGGATCAGTGCAAGGGTTGGACCTGGACACTTACACTTTATGGACTGTTTCAAGGTTTGTTCCTCCCTGTGTCTTTCCTGTGTCTTGTAAACAAAGATCAGAGTTTGTGGGTGGACCTGCCACACAGCTCTGCCTGAATCATCAGGTCCTCATGAGGAATGTCTGGACATCAGATCAAAGCTGTGTCTCACTTGTTTTTTTTTTCCTCTCTCTCTATCTCTCTCTCCTTCCCTCCCCCTCTTTCTAGATGTGGACGAGTGTATCCAGGCTCCTAAACCGTGTAACTTCATCTGTAAGAACACAGAGGGAGGATATCAGTGCTCCTGTCCTCGAGGATACATCCTGCAGGAGGACAACAAGAGCTGTAGAGGTAAACATACAAATACACGAGACACACATACACACAAATACACACAAATACTCTATACATGTGGAGACGCATGGGCTCGATCTCATTGACCACATCAGGCCAGACTGATATCTAGCTCTCTGAATTGAGTTCTGCACATTCTGTTCACATTCAGTCTGTCATGGCTCTTCCTGAAAGCGATCAGGACCTATCGGAACGGTTGATGTTGCCATGTTTGTCTTGGTTCGCTTATGAGCTGCTCTGTGATTGGTCCAATTTCTGTCCCAAAAGCAGGAAGGCCTAAGATAGATTGTGAGTTTGTGAGCTTACAATTATTGCGATTATTCTTTCTGTTGCACAAGGTTAAGATCTAGTGTAACTTGTCAAAAATACCCCAATCACCCAATGTAGATCACGCTTTAGCACCAAGAATATGATATAGCCCAGTTCTGCTCAATAGATCTGTTTCTATTAAGACTTTTACATAAATATTGTGGTTTATAATTAATAACATGTGAAATAATGATCTATGTATGTTTTAGTTTAATACTAAAAATATTTTAAAAGCATTCATTGAATTGGGGGTTTTCATTATCTGCAAGTCATTATCAAAATGTCAAGAAATGAAGTCTTGAAAGCTTCATGATTCTGATTCTGATTCAATAGTCACATAAATAATAACTTGCAGAAAGGCTGTGATCTTTGTCAAAAGATTCATACTTGGACAGACTCAGGCCTGGTCTCTAATCTAGTCTCTGGACTGAACTCTGGTCTTGTCTCTGGTCTGGGCTCTGGACTGGTCTCTAGTCTGGTCTCTGGTCTGGTCTCTGGTCTGGTCTCTGGTCTGGTCTCTGGACTGGACTCTGGACTGAACTCTGGTCTTGTCTTTGGTCTGGGCTCTGGACTGGTCTCTAGTCTGGTCTCTGGTCTCTGGTCTTTTCTCTGGTCTTCTTTTCTCTGGTCTGGTCACTGGTCTTGTCTCTGGTCTGGTCTCTAGTCTTGTCTCTGCTCTGGTCTCTGGACTGGGTTCTGGACTGGACTCTGGTCTGGTCTCTGGACTGGAATCTGGACTGGACTCTGGTCTGGTCTCTGGTCCAGTCTCTAGTCTTTTCTCTGGTCTTGTCTCTGGTGTGGTCTCTCGTCTGGTCTCTGGACTGGTCTCTGGTCTGGTCTTTGGACTGGTCTCTGGTCTGGTCATTAGTCTTGTCTCTTGTCTGATCTCTGGTCTTGTCTCTGCTCTGGTCTCTGGACTGGGTTCTGGACTGGATTCTGGTCTTGTCTCTGGTCTGGTCTCTGGACTGGACTCTGGACTGGACTCTGCTCTTGTCTCTGGTCCAGTCTCTAGTCTTTTCTCTGGTCTTGTCTCTGGTGTGGTCTCTCGTCTGGTCTCTGGACTGGTCTCTTTGTCTGGTCTTTGGACTGGTCTCTGTTCTGGTCTTTGGACTGGTCTCTGTTCTGGTCTCTGGTCTGGTCTCTGGTCTGGACTTAGGTCTTTTCTCTTGTCTGGTTTCTAGTCTTGTCTCTGGTCTGATCTCTGGTCTTGTCTTGTCTGCGGTCTTGTCTGTGGTTTGGTCTGTGGTCTGGTCTGGTCTCTGGACTGGTCACAGACACAGACCATCTGGAGCCCCTCTGTGTCCGACCTGTTTGTGAGTCCAAACAACTGTTGTTCATATTTCAGACGAGCTTTCATCTTTATTTACACAAGACTTTAGCTTCTCCTCACTCGCTCTTTGTTCTGCCACAGAGACGTTTACAAGTCAATGACAGAGAAGACCTCAGCGTGTATAACCATCTTTCATTTAAAACGTGTTCCATTTCAACAAACATGCCGTGGATTAGTTACGCTTCGAGATTGTGAAAACATACTATGTGATAATTATAGGTCTTTTAGCGCTATTTTTAGTCGTACATAAACAGGAAGTAGATTTGAGTTGTAATCTTTGCCTTTATTGATGCCATTTTATGCTACGAATATTATTTAGAGTTTTATTATGAATCAGAATGTAATTTGTAAATCAATAAAGTATGATGAAAACTTAACTCATAATGAACAATTCACAAATGACAAATAATGCATTCAAAATAATATTGTCACGGTATGAACCTCATGGTACGATATTTATTGTGATATCATGGGAAAGCTCACGATTAGGGATGTAATAATATCCAAATCTCTCTGTACAATATTTTCACAATATACATCTCATCGTACGATATTTATTACGATATTTTGTAGAGGGTAACAAAACTGTGAATATGCTACTTTTTCCTCTTAAAATGACAAGACTTAATCCAAAGAACTAAGACTTGAAAGTGCTTAGAACTGTTATTTCTTCATGTAGTCTGAACTGAAATGGAGCAAAGGATCATGGTCTATGTAGTTCCCTCTGTTTTTTTAGCTATAGCTGCACCATAACTCTTAATTTAAGCAAAGAGACTTGTAATTTGATATTATTGTGAAAACTTTGACGATACGTTATCATGATATTTCGGTTATTGTTACATCCCTAATTAAAAATGATTAGTTATTTAGTAAGCAGCTTAGTAATTTAGTAGCTACTTATTTAAGGGTTAAGTAAGGAGAATTAACTACACACACCAACTCCTTCTTAATAAACTATTATGAATAAAGGATTTCTTAAAGGTGCATTGTGTAACTTTTTTGGTGGAGGGTCTGTCTAATACTTTGCTTCTTGGAGATGTTATTGCTTTGTCTGGAATATTTCATGGAGACCAAACCAGACCAAGTCACTAGTAAGATCTATGGAGAGGCAACTCCGCTCACAGTCAGTCTTTTTTTTTTTTTTTGTTATTTCTGAGCTATAAAAGTATACAATTTAATAAATATAAGGGTGAGTTTGGAACATTCTAAACGAAGCAATGACATATCCATAGAAACAAGCAGATGACAGACCCCCAACCAAAAAAGTTACCTAGTGCACCTTTAATGCTGAATAGGAAGTATAGATAATAAACATTTTGGTCACCTGTAATGTACAAAATATAACTAATTTCATTAAATGAACACTGATTGCCATAAAGTCAACAGCAGGAGAATCTGGAATAAATGGACTTGAAGTGATGTGACTTTTTACGCCTTATTTTTCACTTGTTTGTTTTCAGATCTGGACGAATGCTCAACGAAGCAGCACTACTGTCAGTTCCTGTGCGTGAACACGATCGGAGGCTTCACCTGTAAATGTCCCCCAGGATTCACCCAGCACCACACATCCTGCATCGGTGAGTCCAGTCCGGCTTTGTTCTTTTTGTTTTTACTTTATAGTTGAGTGAATGTCATTTGTAAAAGTTTTTTTTAAAGTTGTTTTCTCAGTGTAAAGTTTGCCATTACAATGATGACAAGCTGTTCTAGCCAACCAACTAAATGTTTCTAATTGGCCCATTGGATCATTTTGTATCGGACTGAACCAGGACTGGACCAGGACTGGACCAGGACTGAACCAGAACTGAATCAGGACTTAACTAGGACTGAACCTTTACTAAACCAGGACTGAACCTAGACTGAACGTGGACTGAACAAGGATCAAACCAGGACTAAACCAGGACTGACCAAGACTGACCCAGGACTAAACCAGGACTGAACCAGAACTAAATCAGGACTAAACCAAAACTAAACAAGGACTGAACCAGGACTGAACCAGGACAAAACCAGGATTAAACCAGGACTAAACTAGGACTAAATGCGGACTGATCCAGGACTGAACCAGAACTAAATCAGGACTAAACCAAAACTAAACAAGGACTGAACCAGGACTGAACCAGGACTGAACAAGGACTGGACCAGGACTAAACCAGGACTAAACCAGAACTAAACTTCTTTTGTCCAAAAAGCTAAATGAAAATGTTCCTGATTGAACCATTGTATTTTTGTATTTTTGTAATATTTGGAGTTGTGTAGGTATTGTCCATCCTTTTTCCTAAAACAGCTTATAAAAGATCAAAAAATAGACTGAAGACGATGCTGTCTGTTCCACTAATTGTAATCGTTCTGTATAATTTTATCTCATCATTGGTTTGATCTCTGCACCTTCTCTCCTCTCACGACCATCTCTTCTCTTTTATAGATAATAATGAATGTGCCTCTGACCCAAATCTGTGCGGATCCAACGGCGTCTGCCAGAACACTCCGGGAAGCTTCAACTGTGACTGTCAGCGCGGATTCACCCTGGACCCCAACGGACAGGGCTGTGAAGGTAAGAGGAATAACAATAATGACTAGGGATGGACTGAGCCGATACTGAAACCTGCTGAATGAGCTTCCAAATATCAGTTCAGATGTCGTAGTTGGCCCAGATGTTTTAAATTTTATTTATTTATGTTCTGTAGTTACTTGAGGGATTAAAATTAGTTACATAACACATTTGAGTTTTGTTTTATTTTAGTTTACTTTAAAGGAAATTAATGTTGTCTCTGCACTGGTAATTGTTGGTATCAGGTCTCAGCAGATACTTAAACCCACAGTATCGGAATTGGTATTGGAACTGAAAAGGCTGGACCAGTGTATCCCTATTAATGATCCGGTAAATTGCACTTTATCAGAATCAGAATCAGAATTGATTTGTCATTTCAGTATAAAAACACATCAAAATTAAACACTGCACTCAGGTCCAGATCAACAGCAGCTTAAATAATAATAATAATAAGAATAAATAGTTTAAAATGTCTGTCAAATACAGTTTAAAATGTGTTGTTGGTGGTTTATAAGCTTGTTTATAGTCATAACTGATTCACTTTCCACTGATACATTTGCAAACACAGCTGCCCTCCCCATTAGCTCTTCTGGCCATCACCAAAACTCACTCTCACTCCTCTTTAAATAAATAAAATAAGATAAAAAAGCACACAACATCGTGTCAGTCTACACTATCCACAAGTCAGATCTGATGGATTTTTTGTTGTCATTTAACTGAGCCACTGTTGCACGACCAGAGTTTTTTTTTTTTTTTTGCTCATGGTTTGACTTCAGCCATATTGACTTAGACTTAGACCAACTTTATTGATCCACAAGGGAAATTATTTGGACACAGTAGCTCACACGTCACAATATAATATAATGACAAAGAGCAAAAATATAAATGGTGATGATAAATTCTAAATAAGTAGCAAAAAAAGACAGCAAGAGACAGGTGTCAAATAAGGCATAATTATATAAATGTAAATGTACTGTAAAAAATAAAATAGAAAGATAGGGTTATTTGTTACATAAGGGTGAGTTGTTGTACAGTTGTAGGGAGTATTATCTGTCCCTCTATAGTCTGGTCCAGTGGGTGAGCAGGAGTGTCCGTGATAGAGAGCAGTTTGACCAGTGTCCTTGTGTCCGTCACTGTGACAAATGCCTCCAGCTCACAGCCGATCGATCACATGACCAGATTTATGGATCAGTTTGTCGATCCGCCCAATGTCCCTTTTACTGGTTGATATTGAACTCTCCCTAGCCACATTATTTGTCCAGTCAAAATATAAATAATGTATTATCAATTCAAAATTAAGTCTCTTTTCAAGACATCTGTGTGGCATATATTGTCTCCAGTATACTTACATTTGATTGATTGACTTCTGTAATGTTAAGCACCTGAATATCAGAGGCATTATTGAGTTCTTGTGTTGTGTCGTGTGTTCAGACATGGACGAGTGCAGCGGGAATCACAGATGTCAGCACGGATGTCAGAATCTGGTGGGAGGCTTCCGCTGCAGCTGCCCTCAGGGATACCTCCAGCACTACCAGTGGAACCAGTGTGTGGGTGAGTCCAGTCACATTAGGCACAATACGAAAGAAAATCAGCAGTCAATACAGTTAAAATTTTAATCTGAGGGTAAAAGTATGGACAGACATGATAGATACAGTGCAATTAGTATTTTTGGCTGAACTGTATCATCCAATCAAGTTCTGGTTCAAAAAAATCATCAACCTAGCTGTCACTCTCGCCACACAAGAAGAAGGTGGGTTTCTTCCTGGGACTCCGGTTTCCCCCATCAACCCAAAACATGCACAATAGGTACAACAATCCAGTGAAGGTAGTCCTGGCTAAGACTAGCTCAGGACCTGGAGATGGGTCCCTCTGCTCCTAACAGGTCAAATGCAGACAACAATCTTTCCTACAGGGACAATACATATATATTCTTGAACCTTAACCATGACCAAGATGTTGATGTAATCTTTAGTTGTTTTAAATCATCTAAACCAGTGTTTCCCAAACTTTTTTTCTGGGGACCCACATTTTAAAAGTTACAAACCTTCGTGACCCAAGTCAATAGACATTATTCCTAAATCACAAAATAAAGGTGGATTTGACCATTATTGAACATTAATGAGGATATTTTATATTATTTTGACTGAGTGATCGTGTCTCTCTGAACAATTAGTATTACTCAAGTTTTAAACAATGAAAAACAGTATTTGAACCAGCAATAAAAGGATCCATAAGTCGCCTATTTGGACGTTAAATGTAGCCCATTTCTTTTTCTTTTCAACATTCAATTGAACCAGCATTGGAACAAAATATTCAATAAAATAATTGCAAAAAGATTAGAAATTAATTATACAAAACATGTCTTAACTTTTCAACATTTCTAAGGAGATAGGTGCGTTTTTGTAGCTTGTTCCAGTCCGAGGAAATGGAGGAGAGCACAACAGGCATTTCAAGCACAGCATTCAGTTTCTTCATTTTTGTGAGCACAGAAAATCCCAGTTCACACATATATGTATCTCTCATGTGTCAGAACTGTATATTGCAGACCTACATGCAGATCGTGACAAGGCGACCCGAAAAAAATCCCTTGCGACCCACCTAAGAGTCTTTGGGAAACAATGATCTGAACAATGTAATGGAATATTTGATCAAAACATGCAGTGAAGAAAAATCCACCATGTGCATATAGCAGCTAAAGGTTGTACCCAGGTTAAAGGTGCTGTACACTGACTTTAAAAACATGATAAAAACAACTAGCTCATTTTAAATTGTTTGCAGTGATCCAAAGTTATTCCTGTCTTACTTGTGCGTTTCGAGCATCCTAATTAGATGTAGACAGCACACAACGGACATATTTTTAGCTCAGATACATGGGAAAAATCAGATACATGACTTTTAAAAATAATATTAACCTGTTGGGAGGTGCTGGTTATTCAAAATAATCACTCCTGTTTGTTTCTATGCACTTATGGACTAATTGCCTCTAAAATAACCCATTACTCCAAGCTCCTCTAACAATCTCCTTTAGTAACAGAATTTCCCACTATTGTCTTTGCCCTTTCACTGTATTGACCCGTGCTTCTTTGTTTACTTCCTGCGCTGGGTCCCAGATGAGAATGAGTGCCTGAATACGCAAATCTGTGGCGGAGCTTCGTGCCATAACACTTTGGGGAGTTTCCGTTGCCTCTGTCCCACCGGCTTCAACTACGAGCAGATGTCTGGAAGCTGCAGCGACGTGAACGAGTGCTCCACCTCCACAAACCCATGCAAGTTTGGCTGCTCCAACACAGAAGGGGGCTACCTGTGCGGATGTCCAACGGGGTTCTTCAGAGCTGGACAAGGGTAAGTGTGCGGAGATGGTGATGATTCAAACTGTCAGTATAAAAGCCTAGCGTAAAGATGTTGTAGTGGGGTGTGGAAGACTTGTTTGACATTTTAAAGGTCCTATATTACGCAAAATTTACTCTTTTAGCTGTGTTATAATGTTGTTAGCTCATCAAAAACGTACACACAGGCGTGTAGTGGGCGTGGTACGTGGAGGTACACCGTCCAACCACTTCTCCCGAGATTTAAAAAAATTACAAATATAAAATAGCTACAACTTAAAGGTTGTATAGAGGATTTTCCAAGGAACGAGAAATCCAGCGACTGTTTGTCCTTTTTCAAATGTTGCGCATGCGTGAAACCACCCCCCCTCCCCTACAGCTCCCTACGTAGAAACGCCTCCTCCCGCCTCCTCCTTACGCCCGAAACAGGTTTGTTTACAGCCGGTGCGCTGCACATGACTTGTAAACAACTAACTACAGTGTTGGTTAGGCAAGGTGGAGAAGAGCGGAGCAGGGAGCAGGGAGAGGAGAGGGGAGCGGTGCCCGGAGATTCCGTGCCCGGAGAAGTGAGGAGCAGGGGGAAGAGCGGATCGGGCAGCGGGGAGAGGAGCAGGAAAGGGGTGCAGAGAAGGTTGCGCGGAGATTCAGTGCGAATGAACTAGCTACAACACACAGCAGCAAGCGGACTCTTTCTTTGCATTGAAAATTACGTTTTCAGACATAGGATATCGCTTTCATGTCCTGAAAAACGTTTGTCTAGCTCTTGGAAATAAAGTACGTTTTCATAATAAGCAGAAGTGACCTGTCCAGGAGTAATTTGGCGACCAATGCGTCAGTCTTTAGACCCTGCGTCTGCTTCAGTCGCGCCATCGCTGGAATGAATCTTCAAGAATCACCTTAGTTTGGCTTCGCTGCTTTTCCCCTTGTCTTCTTCTTTCAGCAATCTCAAAAACAGACTTTCTTTTGCGGCTAACTGCTCCTGGATTCTTGTCTGCCATTGCAACAAACTTTGTGCTAACTGCGAGGAAGATATAGGTCAAAAAAAGCCGCTAAGAACTGTTGCGTTGGTGGAGTAAACAGCGTCTGTGCGGCTTGCGTCTGTGGACTGCGTGACAGGTGTACGTAAACCACGTACCGGCGGCGCGCAGGCAAGTCAGTTACACTAGAAACGTAGGGAGATTGATTGACAGCCTGTCAGCTAACAGATAACGAGGCAGTGTCGTTATCTATTGGCAAATGTTTAGCTGGCCCCACCACGTCCAGAGTTGATGAATTTTTATTCTCTTTTTTTTGGTCATCATAATTACAAGGCTACTGCATCTCTATAATGCTATCATTGACAATTTGAAACAAAAAAAATCCTCCATACAACCTTTAAATGTCAAACCGGAGCTATTGGCAATGGTGAAAACAAACTGCATAGGCTCATGATATCTGCAGTACTGTCCTATAGTGACCTGAGATATGAGGGAACCAGGACGGAACCAGGACTGAACCAGGACTGAGTATCGGGATGGGCCTGGTGTGCCCATGTAGACTGTCAAGTGACCACAGGCGAAAGGCCCGGCGCAGAGCTCTGTGCCCCACGGAGCTTAGCCATCGCCCGATCTCGCTTTGCGGACACCCTCTAGGCTCTCTCTCTGTCAAGTCCAAGATTAGTCCTGATTTAGTCCTGGTTTAGTCAGGGTTTAGACCTGGTTCAGTCGTGGCTCAGTTTTGGTTTTAGTCCTAATTTAGACCTGGTTTAGACCTAGTTTAGTCCTCCTGGTTCAGTCCTGTTTTAGTCCTGGTTCATGTGTTGTAGTCTATGATTTATGTTCTGTATTTGATTATGAACGGCGTTAATGTTAATAACATGATTCCACATCATTTTGAGTTAAAAAAAAAACATCAAAGACTACTGATTTTTAGTGGGCTGGCACCTTTATGCACTGATTTTTATTTTTTATTTTTAAAGGTAGGTAAGTGGGCGGGGTTCATCACATCGATGATGTCATGAATCGCATACCCCCACTTTAAAAATCCCCACTACACTGCGTACACGGAGTTAGGTTTCAGAAGACAGATCAGAAAGTAGAATAATATGGGCCTTAACTTTCTTATTTTATGTAGTTGTGAGGAATTGTTTATTTATCTGTCCTTTCCATAATGGTGACACATTTAGTTGCAATTGATGTTTATTATTGTATCCAAAGATTGAACACAACTTTAACACAAAATAATACTCAAGTAGAAGTAACTTTTCAAGTATTTCAATGAGTAAATGCAAAGGTTACATCACACAAAAAGCAAAGTATAGATGACATGGTTAAGTGTATCCAATATTCTACTGAACAACACTGCTACAAAAACAAACTTCAGTTCAAACCTGCTTTCTCAGTAACACACATTAAATAAACTAGTCTACCTTTGCTATGCCCAAAATGTCTTTGAAGTATTTCCACCAAAATTCAGCCAGACTGAAACCAGACCTGCTCAACAATTTGAGACTTTTTCCACCAAAGAAATATTCCCAATACAAAGTTAAACACATTCAGAAAAAAATGCTTACTGTTGAAAAAACTAAATTCACTGAAGAGAAAGTATGGTCCCTATTTGCCTATTTAGAGTTAGTAGTTCCTTAGTGTTTCTTACATTGAGATGACGCGTAGATTCTTCAGTGAGTAACCACACTGTCCCCTGTTGGTTGCAGACACTGTGTCTCTGGGCTGGGTCTCTCTGGTGGGGTCTCCGCTCCGGGACAGGAGGGTGAAGAGGACGAGAACTCTCTGTCTCCTGAGGCCTGCTACGAGTGTAAGATCAACGGGTATCCAAAGAAGGGACGCCAACGCCGCAGCACCAACTCCACAGAGGACCAGCTGGACAATGAGGTAACTAGTGCTCATTTAGTAAACAGCACCCACTTATGACTTCTACAAGATATATATACACATACACACGAATACACATTTTGTTTTGTACCTAAAAATGAAGCAATAATAACAATAAACATAAATATTAAAGCCACAGAGTCAAAAGTCTATCCTTTGTGCCCGTCCAAAGTCTGGCTAAGTAAAGGCCCACAGCTTTGGGGCGACAGTAGCTCAGTTGGTAGAGTCATTGATTAAGCTGCCAAATCCACTGACTCACAGGTTACCGATACAATTCCAGCTCCCACAGATGAATGCTGTCATTGTGTTCTTGGGCAAAACGCTTGTGTGAAAGGGTGAACAGTTGAGTTAGTCTGATTCATCAGCCGGTTTCACTTCATAGAAACCGTCTGACCTCACAGTCTTAGAATTCGATCGCTTGACTGTAGGCGGGTACTTTTTTTCATTTAACCAGTCGCTGCTATTTGGTCGTGACGTATATAATGCACCGCTAATGGGGCTAACTGGCAGCTTTTCCCAAATCCCGTTGGAAGAAGGGCAATAACGTCTTTCCCCTTTATTAAATTCACTAAACATTCTCTTTATTCCGGCTTTAAATCCTCAATATCGGGAATGGTTGACAACACTGAATATGTGGCTCTTTGCTGATTGGCTGGTGCCTGAACTCGCACTTCCAGGGTTTTTGTGAACTGTCTAGAGTATTCCAATTCCTGACCTAGTCGCTGGAGAGAAATGAAATTGAGTGGAGGCTCTAGGTGGCTCCAGCCTGGCTAGCTTTGAGTACCTTCAAGATGAAAAAGTGCAATACAAATATGTGACCATTTACCATAATGACAAATATGCCCTACACTTGGAATCCACTTTACAGCCTTGACAAAGCCACTCAAAAAGCTCCACTGTTGTTATTTTTATATTCATTCACTACATACGTCTGACCACCACCAATCTCTCACCACATTCATACTATGTGGGTCTTGCATAAGGACGCAATGACTGATGAACATGATCTTTGTGATGCAAAAAAGACGTGTTATATGCAAAACTTTAGGAGACAGGAGTGCTACTTAGATATACAGAGATTGTGCAGAATTGTCCTTTTGGTGCTGTTTTTCAGTGTAGGGACCAGTCTCAAATACAAAGTTGAAAAAACTGAAAAACTAATACAAAGTTGAAAAAACTGAAAAACTGAGATAAAATTTGCTTATTTATCTTCCATGTGGTAGTAAAGGCTTTTAATTATTTTGTACTTTTTGAGTGCCTCAGTTTTTTCATCTTTGTATTTACGACATGTTATATAACTAACTGTAACTATACAGGATATAAACGTAAACTGTGGTTGCACCAGTCCGATATCGGTATCAATACTGTCAAAGTGTGCTGGATCGGATATCGGCTTCCAAATATCAGTTCAGAAGATATCCTTGTTGGACATATAAATTGATGTAGTAAGATTTTACCGTAGTTGTCCTAGTTGGCACATAAACTCAAAGCATGTTTGAGTTTTTATTTACACAAAGCTGTTCTGTTGTTAGTGGAGAGATTTATTTGTTTATTTGTTTATTTATTTCATTCATAAAATATAAAAAGACATCAACAGTGTCACAACATCAAACATACAAGAAATGAAAGAAAAGAAGCAGAAAGAAGAGAAATCTTATGTTATCTGCCCCTTGTGTCGTGTAAATAACATCTACATGACACTGTTGGATCTGTTTTGTTTTATTTTATTTTTCTTTAGAGGAATTAAATGCTGTTTTCAACCTCTGCACTGGTCTTGGTTTATGTCGGGTATTGGCAGATGCTTGAAGACAGAGTAGAAGAACTAGTATCAAAACTGAAAAAGCTGGATTGGTGCATTTCTAATTTATTCACCATAATATATTGTATTTTCCGCACCATAAGCCTCCAACCCCATCAAAAAACGACTGCGTGCCCCACAATCCAGAGCGCCCTATACACGAATCCACTCGGGTGTCCCAGCACGACTTCAGTAAACTACAAAGCCGCATGCAAACACACACGGAGCAGACAGCGACCGCACAGCGAAAAACACCCGCAGCCACACTCATCACTCCACGTCGATGAGGAACGAACCGAAAAAGCGAGTGCAATGTACCACTTAACGCCACAACTGAACAAAGCCCAGAGTCACCGTGAACGTGCCAAACAAAGTCCGACTGACCCATATAACTATTGTGTTTCGTTTAAAGTCCGGTGCAGTTTATTTGTGAAAAAAGTTCAAAAATAGACCATTTAATGACAGTGCACCTTATAATCCAGAGCGCCCTATAGTGTGGAAAATACAGTATAGAGATTTGAAGAATATTAATTTAGCCAAAAAAATTTTAGTTGCTGTTGGAAAATAAACATTATTATATGATATGTTTGCATCTTTAAACTTTAAACTTGTGTATATCCTTCTCTGCAGTTACCAGAGCTCGAGCCGTTGAGCTTGGCCAGCGTGGACGTGGACGACGTTCTTCAGTTCCACTTGAATATCAGCGACTTGACAAACAGGGCTCACATCCTGGAGTTCACCCCCGCGCTCTCCACCCTTTACGACCACGTGCGCTACAGCATCGACTACGGCAACGAAGACGGATTTTTCAGGATCAACCAGCGAGACGGAATCAGCTTCCTACACCTATCCAAGAAAAAGTCTCTCTTCCCTGGGGCCTACACGCTCCAAATCAGCAGCGTTCCTCTGTTCAAGAAGACAGAGCTAGCTGAGTTTGAAGATCGCCATGATAAAGACTACCTCACTGGACAACTTGGCGACGGACTAAAGATGAGAGTGCAAATTATCCTGCATTAACCTTACAAGGGGACAGAAATGCAGAAATCGCCAACAGTCGCTAGCCCAAAGAAACATTTTTTTTAAACGAAATCGCCAAAGTTAATGTCCGTAAAATTCGTGGGACATTTTGCTTTGCATCGACAGGGAAGAGCTTTCCACCAAAAAAAAAGACTAAATAATATAGTTTTTGTTTTGTTTTGTGAAGAAGGACTGCATCATAACATCGCCAAAGATGATTCCACATATACGAGCGATTCGAGAGGCAATCAAGCTGAAAATTATGGCATTTTTTTAAATCGAAAAAACAGCGGTTGCCCGATTGAGCGGTTATATGTGGAATCGATGCGACTTTTTGAAAAGGCATACGGACTGCAAGGTTGAGTTTTCAGCCTGTTTTGAGAATCACAGTAGTCTAATAATTTTTTTTTCTCTCCTCTCGTGATGGACTGAACATACCTGGATACATGTAGGCCTTCTTTGCGTATTAATTTAATGGTAGAAATGTTTTTAAAAAAAGGGGAGGAAAGGAACGCACTATGGACTATTGAGGTGTAGCCATGATTGAGCTTGAATGTCTCCTGCTGCGTATTTAAAACTTGCTTTCCAATCTTCTTCTACTGACCAGGAATAGCTCATATTAACTGGTGCTAGCAACAATGCCATGCAGACTTATGAATGCACTGTTCTTTATGCACATGTGGTCAAAATACAATCCGATTATTCGCCAATTTAGGAAAACTTTTCATTGTCGTAGCAACCGTAACAGCTAGCTTCATCGCCTATCTGCTCTTTCTATGTAAATTGTTTATACTGTAATACTCAATGCCACTTTTAATCTATGAAGAATTGTAAACTAAAAGGAGGTCCTTTTGAATAGAGGGCTTTGTAATGGTGCTTATAAGACCAACTACTTCCTTTTTAAACTGTGTAAACATGCACACACACAAAGATACACAAACATGGATGATGACAATCTTTATGAATGAGATTGATGCACTGAGGTCTACCAAGGACCAAACAATCTCCCACAATTCAGTGCTGCCTTTCCCCAGACCCGCCTGACACCGGCCCGTCTGTGGGGTTAGTTGTACATTCACAATAAAACATACTTTTGGTCTAAATGTATTCACTGTTGTTTTTATCTATAATCTATGAGTGGTTTAGAATTTAATAATAAATAATACTAATACTAATTGGGCTGTAACGATATCCAAGTCTCACAATACGATATTGTCATGGTATGAACCTCATGGTACGATATTTATTGTGGTATTCCTGGGAAAGCTCATGATATGGTGGGGAGGCTCACGATTAGGGATGTAACAATATCCAAATCTCTCGGTACAATATTTTCATGATGTACATCTCATGGTACGATATTTATTGCGAGTTTGTGGAGGCAAACAAAACTGTGAATATGAGAAATAAATGGTACAGACAAGACTTAATCAAAAGAACTAAGACTTAAAAGTGCTTAGAACTGTTATTTCTTCTTGTAGTCTGCACTGAAATGGAGCAAAGGATCATGGCCTATGTAGTTCCCCCTGTCTTCGTTTTGTTACTGCTGCACCGTAACTCTTAATTTAAGCAAAGAGACTTGTAAGTCGATATATTGTGATGGTCCACGATATTATTGTGAGAACTTTGACGATACAACATCATGATATTTCGGTTATTGCTACATCCATAACTACTACTAATAATAATAGCATGGAATTTTGATATGATATGACACTGGTTCATGGTGTAAAGTAGTCTATTTGTCTTATTTTTTAAATGGTTGGTAGTTTAATCCCAGTTCTGATCAGTGTGTTTTGCCATTTAGGGTTGTAGTCGACCAAAGAAATTCTTGCTTGGTCTGACAATCGATCAGTTAGTTGACTAAAAAAAAGGGGGCGTGGCAAAAGTGCTCAAAACTTTTCATTATCTATGATTTGACCCAAACTGCTCTCATAAGTCTACCACTGCAAAAAGAATTTATACAGAAAAGTACTAGCAAACTCTATATTTATATATAAAAAAAGGCTCATTAAGATCATTCCTTTCTGCTATTGTGACTATAAACCCTTATAATCTAGATAAAATGATTATTTGACCAATACTCCATTAACTGGTTAATCGAGTAAATGACTAAATGCCTTCAGCTCTACTACCATTGTGCTCTTGGGCAAGATGCTTATGTGACAGTGTTGGTGATTAGACGGGAAGCCACACCACATTTAGATGGCTCCAGGACAGCTCTGGCTAAATGCGAAATTGTCCAATCCAAAACATTTTAGTGCTTTATTTACCGTGCCATGTAGGCTCAAAGTGTAGGTGAACTAGTAAATTTAAATTGTTCAAAATAAATTAAGATTTTACATGTTTAACTGCTGATTGATTAAAATCCTGCAGTATGAGATAAGTCTAAAAAAATAAAAACTCTGACATCCCATACATGACCACAGGTAGGCTACAATTAACAGAAATTAATACAAGATAAAGTAGGCATTTATAGAACTCAAAAGCTGTACATTATGCCAGCGTGGGGCTGCTTCATCGTGACTCAAATCTGGTTTTGCACTGCCCTCGTGTGGATAATCAGCAGCATTACTAGAACTGCCACAAACTTGAAAAATGCAGATAACATAAAAAGTCTAATAATCATTATCCTTAATTTTACTGTATTGTTGTTATTTTTCTATACACATTTAAAGGCTTTATCAGGGGACTAAAATCATCTTTTTTTTCCTGAGTAATATTGTCTAGGAATTCAACACCAAGTTAATTCATGACATTAAAAAGCACTGACATCAACTCCATAAGTACAAAATTGACCTTTATTAATATTTTAATAATAGATTAGCTCAATTACGTCCAGTGGATCCAAATCCTCCAGCTCCTCGCTCCGTTTCATCAAGGGTCTGGAAGAAGACAATAGAAATCATTATTATTCATCTTTCAGTGTTATTTTACAAAGACTGAACATAAATGAAAGCCACAAGTGTACACTAAAGTACTATAAATCAATATTACACAGAGCTCTTACCTCTAGCTCCTCTAAATCAGGGTAACAGATTTTCTCACAGACCAGCTGGGCCACTCTGTCACCTTTTTTCACTGTGGAAGATAAACACAAAGTTATATGAGTTACTAAAATAGACGACAAATGAGTATCAGATGCACTATACGTTCAGATTTGGCAGAAGGTTCAGAAGTGGCAAGGGGGTATAAAAAAGGATATATTTTTCATGTATAAAGTTAAATTTGTTTTGCCCCAGTACAAATATATTGTAAAAGTAAATCTTGGGATCAAAAATGAGACTGCTGTGTGAGGTCTGCATCAAATTATAAAAAACTTGTTGGTATGCAAGTTGTTGTAGCATTATTGCGACAAAAAACTCCGCTCTGGCCTCAGAAAATTGTGAAAAGTGCATTTAAAATAATCACAGTGAATGATTAGGATGATACAACTGCGTTAGGAAAGTGAGGAATCATTTTGTCTGGCTGCAAAAGGTTTAAAATGAACTAGATCAGTTTTTCACATTTTTAAGAAAATATAAAAATACGGTAGTGCCTATAGTGAAGTTATTGATCTGACATTACAGTACATTTTTCATCAATAGGAGTCCAAATGCATAACTTGGGGCAAGCTTTATCCAAGAACTACTAAGTGTATTTGTATAGGCAACGGATTTCCAACCTGTAGCTTTCTACCACATTCCAAGTAGCTCGCCAAAGGATGTAGGACTTATACATATTACTCTGAATAATTTAAATTTGATTATTCACATGTCTGTTTTCATAGTAAATGTCTAATATTGTGCACTGATATACCCTCCTGGAATATATATTTTTTGTGATTTTCTATGTTTGGCAGTAAATGAACACCTTAACATTTAGATTTATTTATTTATAATTTTGTAACATGTCCTCTGTAATGGACGCCGGGAACATTTTGGTGTTAAATCCATGTGAAGTTAACATAACAAAAACAACTTTTTTGATGACCAACATCTCTGACAAGCTTCTACAGTCGCCTCAAAAAGTTTTTAGACTCCCTTTTATTTTTGTATTTATTTTTTGCCATAGTGCAGCCGCAAACAAGCTCCTACTGAGGTTTTTTTTAAAAAAATCCTGGACATGATTGTATCCTAGAATCCCCCAGCCCTATTTAGGCAGAGGAACCTTGTCCCACCATTAAACGTCTATCTCAAAATACTTAAAATATTGATTGAAGACTGGTTAACTTAATGTCCACTATAAAGGACACAAATGAATGGGCCAGGTCTCAGGAGGATATTGATTTAAGGTTTATGTTTGTAGGCATCTAAATGTAGTTGTTAGCTTTATATTGGTTCAATTTCGTGCAACACCTAAAAGAAGTAGCTCTTTTCCACTTTTGGTTTGTAGAAGTAGCTCACCAGGGGCAAAAGTTCGGAGACCCCTGATATAGACCATAGGTGTGTGTGTGTGTATTAGCAGTGTTCACTGACCTTCAAACGGTTCCTTGTTGAAGTTGAACAGTACTACTCCGACATTTCCTCTGTAGTCTTCGTCTACAACACCAGCTGATCAAATGATTACAGAACAAAACAGATTTAATAAGCTGATCATTTTGAGCCTTTTAAAAAACAATAACAATGTGGGTAAATGGAGAACAACTCACCTCCAACATCGATGAAGTGTTTTGCCGCCAGCCCAGACCTGGGAGCTGAGAGACAAAAATAATATTGTGAAATCAGAAATTGTGCACAAGAATGTTAATAATTGATTTTAAGAGATATTAATTGCAAACGTCTATTTAACATATTTGTGTTAAGTGACTCCCCTTCAGAGCACTGTCACAACACAATCGCCATGCAAGCTGCTAAAGAAACTACTCCATCAGGTTTGTGAAGTTGTAGTGTATGGATTTGTACCACGCTTTTGTATATTTATGTGCTTTATGTGCTATGATTGCAATGAAAAGCTTGCAATCTCATTCACAACAAAGTCATACATTAACAGGAAGTAAGTTGGTCATTAAACTCTTATTTGCAAAGCTGTATCACTCACCCACTCTACCGTAGTGACCAGGTGGAACTGCTATCTGGATGTCTGTCTTTACAATCGCCTTGTCCATAGGTCCAACAATGTAGTCATACGCGCTGGAAACAAACACAGTTACAGGTTATTCAAATGCCCGACAGTAAGACAAAGAAAAAAACACATGCGAGCAGGACCCGGCTGTGTTTTAATCTAAATTTACCTGCCAAATAGGGCTGGGCGATGCAGTAATAAACTCTAATCTTGAGCTCATTATCTCATTCCTGTGGGGATATGCTATTTTGGTAAAACCATCATATCGTAATTCCCAGTTTTTTGTTTTTGTGTTGGATCTACGGACCAATATAGACAATTTTCTCCTTTCTCTCTCCTCCTACTGTTCAGCCTCCATCTTGGTCTGAGGGAATGACTGGCAAATATAAACAGTGCCCATAAGTTAATTTATTCAATACAATATATGGAGATTAAAAAAATAATAAATACAGATTAAATAGTTACTTCTATATGTTTAAGACAATACCACAGGGCAAAAAGTATAATTACTTTTACCAGCTTTATGTTCAGAGTATTTTTAGACTATGAGACCAATCACAGTGAAGAGTGAACTTTTGGGAACAGCATAAAGCTTTAGAAGTTTACATGAATATTGACAAAAATGGAAATTGTGATATGATTTTTTTTTTTTTTTTTTGCATATCGCCCACCCTTACTGCCAGTTTTTTTTTTTTTTATTTTGCGGGAAAAGGTGTATGATTTCACATGCAAGAAGCGGAGCCTCAAATATTTCCACATTAAATAAAAATAATTAATACCTCCATGCAAATTATAATAGGTAAACATCTACAGAACACAAATAAAATGAAAATCTGCAAATTCAAATATATTTGTACAAAACACTTTACATATTTGCAAATGTAACATACAGAACATTTAGCACGTATTTGGAAATACAAAAAAGCATATCATTTGCAGAACATAAGATGAATGCAAGTACGTTTTGGTCCCACCAGATGGCGCTACATAACCAGGTCACAACTAGGTCAGCTCTGTGGAAAGGTGAACCTATTTACAGTAAGAATGCAAGTTTTAGGGCATTTTTTTTTAACAATACCCTAATACAATACTATTAAGCAATAATAATTTGAATGCTTTAGTGTGGATTATATGAGGTAAAACAATGAAATCTCAAAAACAGTAAGAACACAAAGACTTTGAAGCTGTATTAAACCTGTAGAGGTCGTATCCTGCAGCTTTGGCGGATCCTCGTGTCGGTGTCGTCGCGTGTTCGGACAGTTTTGCGAACTTGAGCACGGGGGTCACTTCTGCAGCCCGCTCCTCCAGCCTCGCTTTCTTTGATGGAGAAACGGCAGAAGCGTCTATCACGTCTAGAGCAGGCATTGTGCACAGGTTTGTTAACTACACCGGGAAATTACGAAATAAAAAAGGACTATTAAAAATTACGAAACTAGGAGCACTAAACGTAATGCAAGCACGCTTCTACCCCCAGCTTCTCCTGCAGCTTCTCGGCGCGACTACCGCACTTTTTCACACTTTCCCGCGTGAAAGTATGTTGCATTCATGTGATCTCGGAAACCTTAAACATCCGCTCTCCAACTCGGAAAAACGAGCTTGAACGCAACACATGGATCTATAGGATGACCAGATTATCCAAATTCAAAACTGGGACACATCAGCGTTGGAATGACTGGTATAAATAACATTTCTGTATTTTTTGTTTTGTTTTATGTATGCTCCTCTTTACTGTTGGCGAGGGTAAGATTAGTCAAAAATTGTGATCGTCTTGTTTTAGTCCTGGACCTGGTTTAGTCTTAATTTAGTCCTGGTTTAGACCTGATTTAGATCAAATTGGTCAAAAACAGGGACACCTGGGACACATTTCTTGTATAAAACTGGGACAAATCACTGGTTTTGAATAAATCTGCTCGGACAGGGGACACAGGGCTGAAAACTGGGACTGTCCAAGGTCAAATTCGACGTCTGGTCACCCTACTATTATAAGAACTTATTACATATATTATTATACTCGTTGTTTATATTAAGATTGCATTATAATTGGACTCCGAGTTTCCGAGTTTTACATCAAAGTGAAAGATTTTATTTTTCATTACACTGATGGTTCTAGTTTGTAAATATACATTATAAATTCAAGCCAAATCCAGCTTTATATTATAATTATCAAAATAATTAGCAATGCAACGTTGTGAGTGCTTCTTAAGTAAGTAGTATTCACGAGTAGTTGGCAAACAAGAAATAATACATCCTCTCACATGATCCTCTGTGTCCAGCTCTTTGTTAGGCCTGCACAATTAATCGTTAATGAATCGAAATAGTTGGATTTCTAAGTTTCCGAGATCCCATAAATGCGGCATGAATAAATTCCTCCTATGAACACTACGGCAATCAACGTCGCACTCGAGACAACTTGAGCAAAGCTAAACAATAAAAAAAATAAAATAAGGATCGTTTGTTACATATTCTTGTAATAAATATAAATATGCCACGTGAGTAAAAAAAAAAATAAATAAATAAATTTTAAAATAGACGGATAAATTAATGAACTCTCGCGAGATTACAGCTACACCATAACAAACACGTGGATGTCGCGATATTTTAAAGTGCTAACATGCTAACACAATAACATTGAAATTATCGAGCTTATAGGCAACTTGAAAAATAAAACATCACCCAAATTATATCCGCGTTATTGTAGGAAGTAGAAATATACGTGTCACTCCATCAAACTAGCAATGGCGTTTGAAATACATAGAAAAAGGCTAATTTATCACCATCCGCATCCCATAGCTAACTACATAAACATTTCTCGTTCTTGCCTTTGTTTTGATTTTGCATGTGCGAGTGAAAAAGTCTTCCCGTGAAAAGTGGAGCCCTGTCAGAGAGAGACGTGCATGGTAAAAGCTGGTTATTCCCGAGTCTTAGCAATGAACGAATCATGTTAGTCCATGAGTTGACAGCGGGGAGCGCTCGGTATCCTCACACTCTCCTCCATTCACGTAAAACCGGACATTCAAGTGCCGTGGATCCGTGTGCAGTATTTAATAACAAATGTTTCATAAATACATCATGTAAGCCTCTAACTGCGAGCGTCACTGCAATGAATGTAATGTGACACTTGTTTATGTCACTTGTATCTGTTATATAAGTGCGTATGACAAATTCTGATGATTCTCACATTTTGACTTTAATATTTACAACAGGTATTATCCCACTAAATTTAGTTTTACACTAATCATGAAACAACTTGTGGATAATAGCCCAAAAATAAATAAATAAAAAATGACACCACACTAAAGAGAATTCTACCCAAAAGTAAGACACAATTTATACACAAGAAAAAGAATTCTGATAATAAATAATAAAATAAATGTGTTTACTTATAATTTAATTTATCATACAATAATTTCTGTGCACATTAGAATGGTTTTGGGCCAGTGTACTACATTGTTGCTAGGTAACAGTTATGGAATTCCCTAGTGTTATGTCATGATTTTCAACCAAGAAGCAAAATTTGAGATTTACATACAGTACATTGTAATCAATTCACTCTTAACTGTACAACTGAAACATACAGTATATAAATATATCAACACTAGTCCTGTGCTCTACATTACTCACATATTTAAAGCAAATGTATTTCAGGCTCATTTAGTAAATGATGAGCCGATGTAGTCCATTAAGCCTGTGTGTTTGTGTTCTACACACATAAACACAAACATAGAAAAGACACATCATGTTCCATTGAAATTAAGTCTATATAGTACTCCTTAACCCAACTGTCTCCTAGTTTGGCTTTCTGACTTTCCAGTTCATTGAAATAATAGGCTTCACAGAAAGAAACCCTAAATGAAACAAATATTGTAATTCCTTTGATTTCACTTATTCTCTTTTGTTCCCTAGTTGACACAGTGTCAACAGTACATTCACATTGAATAATTTAAAGATGAATTCCTGAACATACTTCCAAGGCTTCCTAATTTCTGGACAAAACTGCAACAGATGTACAAAGGTGCCAGGCACTGTGTAATTGATTTTCTTTAATTTGTTGGATTTAAGATCTGATAATATTTTGTAACACTTTATTTTGTTACCAATTTCATTTACATTCCAACTAATAACTTTGATACCCATTGAAAATTACATTCCATTCTGCTATTACAGTGCTGCAGGAATTTGGAGTAGGGTATGGAGACAAATACACAAATAAATAATAAATGAATCAATGAAACAATGCCAAAAGTGGCAGAGACAAAAACAAATGCCACAAGAAAGGGCATCTGATCCCCTTTGTCCAATGAGAACATGTTTGAAATCAACTGTGTCTCAAGGCCATTTATATTCTTAACTTAATAGGCCCATTGTTTTAAGTCTCATACTGGGAAAAGGGAAAAAAAGTAGCAAAGTAGTAGTTAATAGTTTAAAAATGCATTTTGATGCAAGGGAAAATGAAAAGAGGCTTTTATCTTGATATTCTGTATTAGAAGTGTGTGTTTCATCCAAAAACAGAGGAGAGGCATTTGGAGAGCTCTCTCATTGCTTCATCTGGTGATTTATAAATGAGTTTCTGTCCATCAACTGTTAACAGAAATGTCGTTGGATAGATTAGTCCAGGGCCTATCTCAGCGTCACGCAACTCAACTCTTATATCCACGTAGGCCACTCAGCGTGCTTTTGCTGAATGTCAATGCTGAAAAATCCTGAAGGATTTACATTTCTAGGTAAAATTCTCTTCCGTCTCAACATCCTAACGATATATCATCTTTTATATTGTGTTAAAATCATGGAGTTTTTTCTGGAAACAAAGATCAAGACGTGTTATCTGAGCAGACAGTTTTCGCATACAGGTGTTCCTCCTCTGACATGCTTAGTTTGGCAATGAGTTTTTCTTCTTCCCTTTTCTGTGCCGTACTTCTTGTTTCAAGGACTTAATTTGTTCTCGACAAGCACTCTGTGTTTCAGATATTATATCTTTCCTTTTAACCTGATAACATTGAATTAATCAAGCCATATATCCATTTAAATGTTCAGCCTGAGCACGCCAAACGACTCACGTGTCTATGAGCCCTTTTCACGTAACTGTTGTAGTGAAATGAGTAGTCTGACCTGTCATAGGCACTTTAAGCCCTATTTGTTTATTGTACTTATTTGAAAGTGCACAGAACAGGTTTTTCTAATATCACATGGTTTGGTGCTAGTACATGTCCCATATATAAGTAGTATTACATCAGTTAAGTGGCAGTTTGTGAAAAAAAAAGTAGAAAATTCCAAAATGCAGGCATGAGACTTGAAGTAACTGTGTGTTTTGTTTTGTGTTTTGTGTAATGGTGTAATAACATGCTTTAATAGATTAACCACACCAATTAAGAATATCACAAACTTTATTTAAATTAACCACTGAATCACAAATTTATATACATAAAAAATTGCCAAAATACATTTATCATTTACAAACGTGACCTTGGGAGTAACCTGTATTATTGAAAATTGTATACTAGAGAAACTGTGAGATGAGTAAACATTTCTAAAATATTGAATGTGTTTATACAAAATAGATGTTAAATCACAATATATTTTAATGCCAAGAGATTATAGTTTAATTTATCATTGTCAAAAATTCTTTCTTTCTATTTACATGTATTTTACATTCACAGCATGTGACCACAAAAAGCAGTAGGCAGCCTTCGTAAAAGTGCACTGTGCAACTTTATGGTGAAGGGTCCGCCACCTGCTTGTCTTAGTAGAAATGCTATTGCTTTGTCTAAATTGTCCCACAGTTTGGCATTAAACTCACCTGTATCCATGGAGACGAGCCCACAATGCTTCCAGGCTAAGTTAGAGGTCAGATCTGTGGAGAGGCGAGCTCACTCACTGTAGGAATGCATGGTTTTTATAGTATTTTTGAACAGTAAAGCGCCAGTCATTGAATAAATGCAACATGGATGAATTTAATGCCATACTGTGAAAACTTTCAGGCAAAGCAATCAAGTTTGTGGACACAGTGCACCTTTAATTTTTTTTTTGTTTGGTCAGACAAAAATGAGATAAGGACCTTTTTACTAATCAATTATCTGTTTCAACTTTTATGGTTTCTCTAGTGAAATATTTAAACAACCATCTGAGAAAGGCACTTTATCACATTTTAAAATCTCAAAAAACAACCCAAAAATCTGTAGATAAATATTGCTCTTATTTCTTTCTTATTTCTTATTTTCCTTCCATCTTGCAGCAGGCTCTATGTACCAAAATAATCTATAGTTGAAACCAGAATGAGGACTTCTGCTTCATCTGAGAGAGGCCCCTTATCACATTTTAGAATCTCAAAAAACACCAACAAATCTATAGTTTCATATTGTTCTTATTTCTTTCTTACTCTTATTTTCCTTCGGTCTTGCAGCAGGCTCTGTGTTCTTGTATATTACACTGACCGCTCTATATATCTTATAAAAGCCGAGTGAGTGGGTTTCATTGCAGTGTGCAGAAGATGGAATAACATTGGCCCAAGCCGCTGGTCCAGTTTGAAAACAGGTCTCCTTTCGTATGAGTGGGACTTCCATTTGTTTGGTTTGCTCACGAGTAGAACGTGAGCACGCTCTTGTGGTTGCCTCTAATCAGCAGAGTCGGAGGGAGGTCTTTTGTCAAACTGTCAAGCCACGCCATGTACAGGAAATCAGACACGGAGCCTTTACGAGCGATGGGCATGCTCCTGCAAAGAGAGAGAGAGCAGCGAGGGATTGAATCATTTTCAAGCTATAGAAGTCCAGAAGGGGTCTAATGAAAAGGTGAAAATGAAAAATAGTTACTTTAATGGACTTGAAATATCGCAACAAGAAATGCTCTCGAGTTTTCTTACATACACGACTGCTACTACTATTACTTTACCAATATAATTATAACTGGCCCCAAAAACACTTCGAAATCCATCCAATTAAACTTTGACCGCACCACACTTTCCCCATCCCCATCCATCTGCAATCTCGGTTTTCTCTTTGACATTAATTTTACATTCGAACAACACGTCAATCAAATAACCCGGTCTGCGTTCTTTCACCTCAAAAACACTGTCTGGCTCCGTTCATCCCTGTCCTTCTGCTGCTGAAATCCTGATCCAGACCTTCATCACCTACAGACTAGATTACTGCAGTAGCATTGTCTAGGGCACATCCTCCAAAACTCTCAGTAAACTGCAATACATCCAAAATTTTTGTCAATATGATTCACTGTTTTTATCTTTACTGTGCTATTTGCTTTTTGCTGTTTTGACTATTTTAATATGTGTTTTGAAAAGCATCTTTGAGTGTCCTGAAAAGCGCTACTTAAAAAAAAAGTATTATTATTCATTCATTATTATTACTTTACAAAACCATGTACAAGCTGTAGAAGTCCAGAAGGGGTCCAAAAACGTTACGTAAAAAACATAAGTACTTAGTAGAACTGAAAGATCTCAACAAGCTGGGTTTCCTTACTACTATTACTACTACTATTACTACTACTACTACTACTACTACTACTACTACTACTACTACTACTACTACTACTACTACTACAAAACCTTGTAAAAACTATAGAAGTAAGAAGTTTAGAAAGAAGTTTAGTAGAACTGAAATATCTCAACAAGAAATAATTGGGTTTCCTTACAAACACTACTAATGCCACTACTACTACTACTACTACTACTACTACTACTACTAAGCCTACTATTACTACAACTGCTAATAGAACAACTACAGATTTAGAGATTCTTTTGTCAAACCTGCATTTGTGAACGTAAAGACCTAATGAACCTAATTGGACTACTACTACTACTACTACTACTACTACTACTACTACTACTACTACTACTACTACTACTACTACTACTACTACTTCCACTGCTACTATTGCTACTAGTACTACTACTATTGCTACTAGTACTACTACTACTACTACTACTACCACTGCTACTACTACTACTACTACTACTACTACTACTACTACTACTACTACTACTACTACTGCTACTACTGCTACTGCTACTACTACTGCTAATACTAATACTACTATCAGATCCTGTACTGTTCTATGAATCAGCAACAATTGTAACTGCATACCGTGCATTCATTTGTATCTGTTATAAGGCCTTGGCATTTCTCTGTATAAGTATAAAAAATAAGAATATGTCTGAGAGCATCTCACTCTGAGCTTCACTCAATTGTTCTTTTTGGGTTGTCCCTCTTGCCAAAACAAAAACACATTTTTGACTCAAGGCCTTATTTCATTTTCACTCAATTGTACTACAAAAAAGTTCCACAACACTACAACTACTTTGCAAATCAAGAACAATATCCCTTTTGTTTAGTTACGGATGGACCATGCATGTCCCAAACTGACTAATCCAGCTGTCAGTCACACCAGTCTGATCTCAGAGATTCACCAGGGACCAGACTCACATCTTTATAAAGTATTGAAGAAATGTGTATTCTGGATCCCGGGCACATCACGTAGTGCTTCTTACTACAACTAATTTTAGTACAAGTTGGCTTCACTTACACAATGATGAGATTGGCTGATCTGGAGTGTTCTTGGAGAAGTTCATTCAGTCGCACTTGCAGGTTGGTCTGTAATGAAAATTAAATCAATAAATGTGATTACAACAGGGCCACAGCAACAGGCCACAGATTATTGATACTTCGCAGCTCATGTCATCAACATTCCCTGGGGGTGTGATGCTAACAGTAAGCACTACTCTGTTTGAAGCTCTGTGACTCAAGTTAGACTTTAATCTGAGCTTTGTTTTAACACAATCTCACCATAAAGAACTGACTTAGCCTGAACTACAACAAGTGAGATGATTTGTGGTGTTAAAAAGTCCCTCTCAAATAAAATCACAATCACAAGCTAAAACAGAACGGTGAAGGTTTGTATTGATCACAGGCTTCTGAGAATGTGCTGTTTAATTCCATTTTGTGTGTTTTTCATATGATCTTAAAACGTTTTTTGCATCCGCATGGTAACTGATGAGCATTCTCCCAATAGAGATTCATGTAGAACACCCCCAGCAAGCCTGATGTTACTGCAAAGTATCTGTATAATCTGTGTACTCACCTTCTCTTCAAATGTGCTGAGCTCCTCGTCTGTGATCTTCCAGGGAAACTGTTTACGCAGCGCCTCCGCTTGAGCCGAGTCTTTAGAGTTCTCCTTCAGACGGAAAGGAGCGATCATCTCATCCAACTTCTTAAGGCTGGAATTAGACAAGAAGAATGAGCGTGGATACATGTATCTGTCTATTCTCTAGCTAACCAGCAGAAAATATTAACTTAACACAACAAATAAGGGTGGAAAATATGTCAGAAAAATTATATTAGAATTTATGGCAAAAAGAGAAATTCATCTTGACAACTGGACAAAAGTTAATTTGGTCAAATACGTTCGAGCTGCTTCTTCAGTTCTGGTCAGACACTGGTGGACACTTCCTTATATCTGCATGAAAGGAGGAGCTAACTATAAATGAAACTACTCTGAAACTAACACACCTACTTGTTTACAGTTTCTGTTTGCTAGATAGGCCTATTGATCTTGCACTAAGTGTGGGGTCATCGCAGCATAATCATTCAGGCCCATAATGAAGCTTTCACACCTCTGGACCTGCTATCCCTGTTGTTTTCTTTGTTTTGATTTAGGTTTGAGGATGGAGTTATAAAGGGGAGACTGATGATGCCTGAATCCTCCATTTCTGTTCAAGGAAGGATTCTCTTTCTTAACAAAAATAGTCTCTTAAACTCCCCTCTCCAACCAGTTCTTTTCTTTGTACCTCACTATCCTCAAAGGAGTGTCCTGTGGCTTTTAGATGAAGATGTACAGCAGACTGAGGTCCACTATTGCTCTCTCCTCTGTGTTGGTACATCCTCTTATGAAGTTTCTGTTGTGTTTCTCCAGTGTAGCGCTCACTGCAGTCTTCACTACACTGACTGAAGTAGACCACATTGCTTTGTTGGATGAGCTGCGAAACGTATTTGACCAGATAAACATTGGTCCAGTTGACAAATCGATTCTCTCGTTTTGCAATGGATTCTACCTGGACGAATGAGAGATTTTACACACAAATATAACAATTTACTTGGAGCCAGATCATGATTTCGTATTTGATCATCATTCCTGAATATTTAGTATCATCATTCCTTAGACTGAGACTTATTAATGTTATTGATCCACAAGGGAAAATACTTGGACACATCACAATACTGTATAACATAACATAGAGTAAATAATATAAATGGTAAAGAGGTAACTAAAGTTTATTTATTTATTTTTTTCCAAAATTGCATATTGTCACAGGAATGAGATCATGATTACACTTTTATTGCCTTGTGTTATTTTGTCAGTGACAGTTTGTTATTTTATTGTTTCATAGTACAGCAATTTATTCGCGCGATAACAATTGTAAATCCTCTCCTCACCTGTCAGATCTGGGGCTGATGTGAAGGTCGTCGATGACTGTAATATCACTGCAGTTTATTCTGAATTTCTGCAACAAAGACTTCATCCTAAAACACACAGAACAGTTACAATTAAAATGCAATGTTGGCTCATTTTTATAGTACATCAGATCTAATCGCTTTGCACATGCTCAGTAGTCTAAAAGCGTCTTTCTGTGATATGCAAGCTCCTTCTGTGTTTATGTTTCATTTAGACTATTTAGAGTCTATATACCTCTAGCCTACTTTAGTCCTCCTTATGTTTAGATCTGTTAAAAAAACTACTGTAACAATGGTGTAGTCCTGTTAGACCAGGTTCTAGCCCAGTTTAGACCAGAAATTAAAGATCTCATGGTACTCAGAAAGTAACTTAAATGTAAAATACTGGTCGTAGAAGTGTGACTTACTCTATTTTGTCCTGCTCGCATCGTCCAGGTTGTCCTGCGATGAAGATCCTGAGTTTACTGTCCTTCCACTTCTTTCTGGTGGTCAAAATGTACGGCAGCAGCAGAGTCAAACCTGCAGCACAACAAACACAAAACTTGTTACTATATACGCCGGTAACTCGACTGTCTACCAGAGTGCAAGGATTTACAGCAGGAGTTTGACCGACCCCCAAGCCCCTCTGCCCCCACCACTTGAACTGACCCTATGAGGCAATCCTCAAAAGTGGTCATGTCATTTATATGAAGTATTTATATTTAAATAATTACATGACATATTTACATTTGCTGCAGAATTTTCGTCACCTGACAAGCTCGAGATCAAACAGTGACAGTCAATGCACACGCAGAGTTCTGTAGTGCAGTTACGGACAGCAAAATGTCTCGTGTTAAAGTACGAAAAGTTGACAGAGAGTGGAGAGTTTTCAAAGAGCAGTGGACAACCGATTATTTTTTTTGTTCAGTGTAAAGACCATGCAGTTTCTCTGATATGTAAAGAAAGTGTGGCGGTTTTCGAGAATATAATCTGCGTCGTCAGGGTCGTACAATTCTGTTATACGACTGACCTGACCCTAGCCCCCATCACAGTCAGGAGCGATAATGTGACCCCCCAAAAAAAAGTTTGGTGACCCCTGATTTACAGTATAGCATTAGGAAGATTAGGTACTCCAAGAAACAGGTATTTGCATTTGAACCATCCAGGGAAGTGGGTGACAGCAGAGCAAATGGGAGCTCCAGATCTTAACTTCTTTGGTACATTGACTTAAAGGTGCACCACGCAATTTTTCTGGTGGAGGGTCCACTACCTGCTCGTCTCCATGGAGATGTTATTGCTTTGCCTGTAATGTTCCATGGTGTGACATTAAACATATCCATGTATCCATCTTTATTCATTACACATTTCTGTTGCTCAAAAATACTGTAATTCTTTCTGTGAACAGGTGCGAGTCTCCACAGATCTGAATTGTAATGTAGTGTAGTGCTGTAACATGCTTGTCTCCTTCGTTTAATAGATACTGTGGGACATTCTAGATAAAACAGTAACATCCACATGGAGACGAGCAGGTGGCGAACCCTCCACTAGAAATGTTATGCAGTGCACCTTTAAATAGAGATACAGTAACATTACCCTGTTCAGATAGACACCATTATTATCTAATTTTCATAATGTTCTAATATAGTACCTCATAGAAGCTCTTGCCAAGGCATATCAGCATATTACGCACAATAAAACAACTAATTTACAACATTTTAAATAAAACTAAAGACTCATCAGCAGCCCAAATACATTTACATTAACATAAACTGTATATATAAGAGTTGGCTTTATGGAGACCCAAGCCCGCTGAGGTCATATGTCTATGTTTTTCAGTGCAATAAACACGTCCAAAAAGAAAAAAAAAAACATCTATTTATTTTACTCTTTTGGCTCTAAAGTTACACAGTGGGACTTTAATCATGCCCCTGTTTTGCATTAGTCATCATTTACTTTATGAACTATAAAGATGCTTGAATAATACTTTGTCCATAAATTATTAACGTATAATTATTCAATGAAACCTCAGAATTAAACATGCGGTGGGGCGGCTGTGCTCTGGCTCGTGGCGAGATCTGAGCTGTGAGTTAAACCTGTGTGAAAACCTTCTGAAGATTTGTCTCTGTGCATTTGTCTCCTGCAGTCAGAGGGACGTCGCCCGCGGCAACGGGCCTGTATTGAACACAGCTCTAATGTTAAACAGCCAAAGATCAATGAGGGCTCTGACAGATCTCCCCCAAGGCACCGCAGCTCATTTTAATAATAAATTTGGAGGTGTAATATATTCCAATTATGTATCTTAGTTTTAGAAACTTTTTTTTTGCTAGTGCTAAATTGAGTTGAACAATGGTGTGTTTAAGTGTTTGTGTTTTTGCAGAACAATTGAAAATAATTCGTTTTAAAGGTCCTACTGTATATTACAAAACAATTAAATATTATAAAGCCTTGTTACATTGTTGTTACCTTCTCAAAAACATACCTGGAGTTGTGTTTTGTTTCATTTACATGTTTGAGTAATCCTTTATGCTCTGTTCCACCAAAATGCTCTGTTCAACCTTGTGAAGTCACGTAGTCGTAGTTTTCAAGTTAACAATACAAATCAATTTCTTAACTTTTTTGAATTTTGTGTGTTTATTTTTGTTTGCAGAAAGACGAAGTTTGAACTCTGAAGCTTTAGTTAGGATGTTACCACAAACATGGTAAAAATAACTTCTAAAATCATATAAAAAGTCCTTTTAATTTTCAGTAAAGTTCAAAAATATAGTAGAGTAGAAAGTATAAATACTGCTTTCAAATGTAGTGAAGTAAAAGTAAAAATTATCCACTGTAAAATGTACTTAAAGGTTGTATGGAGGATTTTCCAAGGAACGAGAAATCCAGCGACTGTTTGTCCTTTTTCAAATGTTGCGCATGTGTGAAACCACCCCCCCTCCCCTACAGCTCCCTACGTAGAAACGCCTCCTCCCGCCTCCTCACTACGCCAGAAACAGGTTTGTTTACAGCCGGTGCGCTGCACATGACTTGTAAACAACTAACTAGAGTGTTGGTTAGGCAAGGGGGAGAAGTGAGGAGCGGGGAGAGCGGGTGCGCGGACATTTCGTGCGCAGACGAGAAGTGAGGAGCAGGGAGAAGAGCGGAGCAGGGAGAGAGGAGAGAGGAGAGAGGAGAGAGGAGAGGGGAGCGGTGCGCGGAGATTCCGTGCCCGGAGAAGTGAGGAGCAGGGGGAAGAGCGGAACGGGCAGCAGGGGCAGGAGAAGGAAAGGGGTGCAGAAAAGGGTGCGCGGAGATTCAGTGCAAATGAACTAGCTACAACACGCAGCAGCAAGCGGACTCTTTCTTTGCCTTGAAAATTATGTTTTCAGACATAGGATATCGCTTTCGTGTCCTGAAAAACGTTTGTCTAGCTCTTGGAAATAAAGTACGTTTTCATAATAAGCAGAAGTGACCTGTCCAGGAGTAATTTGGCGACCAGTACATCAGTCTTTAGACCCTTCGTCTGCTTCAGTTGCGCCATCGCTGGAATGAATCTACAAGAATCACCTTAGTTTGGCTTTGCTGCTTTTCCCCTTGTCTTCTTCTTTCAGCAATCTCAAAAACTGACTTTCTTTTGCGGCTAACTGCTCCTGGATTCTTGTCTGCCATTGCAACAAACTTTGTGCTAACTGCGAGAAAGATATAGGTCAAAAAAAGCCGCTAAGAACTGTTGCGTTGGTGGAGTAAACAGCGTCTGTGCGTCTTGCGTCTGTGGACTGCGTGACAGGCGTACGCAAACCACGTAACGGCAGCGCGCAGGCAAGTCAGTTACACTAGAAACGTAGGGAGTTTGATTGACAGCCTGTCAGCTAACAGATAACGAGGCAGTGTCGTTATCTATTGGCAAATGTTTAGCTGGCCCCACCACGTCCAGAGTTGATGAATTTTTATTCTCTTTTTTTTGGTCATCATAATTACAAGGCTACTGCACCTTTATAATGCTATCATTGACAATTCGAAACAAAAAAAATCCTCCATACAACCTTTAAGTAAAGTACAGATACCTACACATTTTACTTCAGTACAGTACTTCACTATTTTGCTTCGTTGCCTTCCACCACTGATCATAAATGTATAGAAGTATCCATTTTTAATCTATAATCAGTATCTTTTGTTCAGTATAGAGGTAATAATACAATAATAGTAGAAACCTATGGAAAACACTGAATCACATAATGTCTCTGTGCCACGCTGAAACCACCGCTACAGCTCACAGACTCACAGCTTTTATTTATGACTTTATGTATTGAACTCACCTCCGTCATCAAACAGCCACCACACGTCAATGGTTCCTTTGGGCTGTTTCTTCTTGAACAGGTTACTGGCCTGAACGAGCTTCTCATTCATCTGAGCGACCTGCGGAGGAGGGGGTCCGCACACAGACACTGGAGGACAGATAACACAGGCACAATCAGGAAATAGGAAAAAAAAAAACCCACGTATATAGGGAAGAGAGAAGGCGTATGAGAAACACTAACATCAGTTTTATTCAGTCTGGCTACACAAACACAGTCAGGAAAGATAAATTACCCAGTTTCTTGTGAGTTTATAGCCACGGTAGAATGTTGTTACCTCATGGAAACAGACCTGGAGTTGTGTTATGTTCCATTCACAAATGTTTACGCAATCCTGGTTTATTATTAGTCTGTCTACATCTCCAAAGCTCAGAAACAACATTATAACATAGATCAGAAATAGCCTAATATGGTCCCTTTAACTATCCACATCGTTATCCTAAAGTTGTAATAATTTAGTTTCACCACCTCCCGTGTATTTCCAATCATTATATCCATATGTAATCCCATTTGATTAAATATATATATATGATATTATATTCACTGCTCTGTCACAGGCTGCTGAATTCCAATCACCCGGGAGGAAACCTGTTCAAGCATTCACCATTTTTTGAGATGAGATAAAAATAGTATTTGAATGTATGTTTAATGGTAACGCAAGTGTGTGTCAGAAATTGCTGGGTTTCAGATGATATCACAACATTATATAGGCTATAATATTTCATACAGATGGGGGCAACTAAAATGAATATTGTTAAAAGGCACATTTTTATTGTAATATAAGAAATGAATGGATCTAGTCATTAAAGGGACAGTCCAGAGTTTTGGACATAGGACTTCATTTCCTAGTGAGCCAGAGTGTTGGAGACGTGTGGAGACACTTTTTTAAATATTCCATCCAGTCCTTGTATTTGTAGACATTGCTAGTGCATGTCAATGGCCATAGTTATCCTGCCACTAAAACAGTCTTACCCACTCCACAAAACACCCGAAGCAAAACAATTATTACGATGTAAATGTCTGTGTTGATAGAATAATGTTTGAAATAAAACTAACCTTGCATTGCATGAATCGTCACATGTTGAGGGACTATTTTCTCAGCAGCAGCAGAATTTTACTTTCACTACTTTCATTTCTATTATGATTTTGTTTATGTTATATGTTCCATTGTATAAGAATCTTTACTTGCCTAAAATAGATACATAAAATTAAAACATTATATAAACTTTGCAGGTAAGATAGGTGCTAGGTGATATCAGTCCGCCACTGCCGAGCTTTCTATCAGGAAGTACAACTCGCTGTTTCTGCTCAGACATAAATCCTTCAAATGCAAGGTTGGTTTTACTTCTAAAAAATATTCTATTGACACAGACATTTACATCAACAGTCTGGCATAATAATAGATTTGCTTCGGGTGTTTTGTGGAGTGAGTAAGACTGTTTTTAGTGGCAGGATAACTATGGCCATTGACATGCACTAGCCTAGCACCAGCGACCTCTGCAAATACAAGGACTGGATGGAATATTTTAAAAAGTGCCTCCACACGTCTCCAACACTCTGGTTCACTAGGAAATGAGGACCTATGTCCAAAATTCAGGACTATCCCTTTAATAGAAATCATCAGTGCAATGCAGTGTAATCATCAGATTCTATTGATTCCATATTGATTACACTGTACTTCCCCTGAAATATCCTGTGGTGAACCTGATCATTTGTATTAATGACTAGACCCAAGAACTCACCATATAACAACAGAAATCTGCATTTTACCAACATTCATTTCAGCTGCTCCCATCTGCATTAAATATGATTGGTCTATAGAACGTTGTCACCTGAAACCCAGCAACACAGTAAATATATTTGACTAATAATAGATTTGATTTTCACTGCATGTGACTGCAAATGAAGGCTGTAATGTTTTCCTCACTACTTAATTAGAAGAACTGTACAAAACCTCCTCAAAGGGCATTTAACAACTATAATGAAATTTTATTCGATAGCTGTGCTCCAGAGACCAGCGTACCTAATTATGTCGGAGTTTTTTCTTAATTTCTTTGTGTTTTTCGTTCTTGTAGCTGGATCTGCAAATGTGCTACTTCAAACAAAACTAGTATTCCCTGGGTGTTGCTTTTTCACTGCTTATCCAGTTACATGGGAGAACTAGCCACATTAAGAGCCTAATCAGCCCTTTCTAAGATAGTAATGCGCAGGATTTTTGTTGCATACTAAATACAGTTGCAGTGGCGCCAAGTGAGGTGAAGAGAAAGTATCTGTATTCTTGTGAACTGGCTGCTTTTTAAATGATGTGCTGCTAACTGCATCAGAGCCCTATATTATTGGATTACACCGTGGAGACAAGTTGAGCGTTTGTGCATGATTCGATTATAGCGTACAGCAGCTGAGAGAAGTTTCACTGCTGGAGAATTTATTTATAGTTTGATAAAAGTGTTAAGTGGATGAAAAATAAACACATTTAATTGGCTGTTATCAATAGTGGAGACTAGACTGGTTTTTACAATCTTTATGGCAAATAAAGCCACTTCAAATATAATATTGTGGTCAGAATATTGCATACTAAATGTTTACTCAATGGACAATAGTTTAAATCAGACAAGGGTCAAATTTGGCCCACGATATAATTATATTTGGCCTGCAAGAATAATCAAATATGTCCTAAAGCTGGCCCGTCGGTTACAGATAGGCTATAGAGACATTATTTATTTAAAATGTTGCTATTATTTTATATTATGCTTGTTCTGGATTTAATGTTTAAGCTAAATTCTTATTAAACATTTATTTTAATAAGAACATTACACATCCCGAAAAGAGAAAACATGCAGATATTGTTGACATTTTTCAATAAACATTTAGTTTGTCTCACGACTTAGACCCAGTTTTTAATTTTGGCCCTCTGTAAATTTGAGTTTGAATGGTTTAAATTACACCTGCACTATGTAACTTGCGTGTTTTCAACGTTTACTCATTGCTTTGCTTGTAATGTTCCGCAATACGGCTTTAAACTTATCCATCAGACACACACGTGGAGTCATTTGTCAAGTTACACGTCGGATCTGTAGAGAGGTGACCTTGCTCACAGTGAAAACGCATGATTAAAATGATAAAATACCATATTGTCAAATATTATAGAGTAAAGCATCTCCATGGAGACAAGCAGGTGGCAGACCCTTCACCTGAAAGTTACTTACTGCACATTTCAGACTGTATTAACACCAAAGCTTTTGTTTTTGTCTTATGACTCATTTTTCCTTTTCTTATATTGTTTTCTTATATATGTCCCACACAGAGAGATCACAAAGCAGATTTACTATTCTTGTGTGGTTTAAATTTGTTTAGGGGCTTCCTTATTTTTGAATCAGTTATGATTAGGGGTGTGCAAAAATATCCAAATAATAATAGAAATATCACTATATCGTATTGTTTAATAAGATGATACAGTATCAGTATCGTCGGTTGCTGTATAGATATATCACCAACAGTATTTTTTGGTATATTTTACTAAATTATTTTGTTACAGAGCTCAGTTTTGTTGCTTGTTTAGAGGAAGGAAACATTTTTATGCAACACATATGACATTTTCGCTGTTTTGATGAATAAAATGGGTGTGTTTATATAAATTTTGCACAAAGACTTTTAGTATCACAGCCAGTTAGTTGAGTTAGGCTTTATTTTTTTATTGAACCGTATTGAATCGATTTGAAATATATCGTATTGAATCGTACTGAATCGAAAGCTCACTGTATCGAGATATGTATCGTATCAGCAACTTCTTAATGATACCCCGCTCTAGTTATGACGTATTTTTCTGAACACTCTTTTACAAACCCAAAAGATAAACGTTAAACAAGTTAATCTAAATGTATAGATTTAAATCAACATACAATATTTAGACGAAAGATAGATTAAATACATGCATACAGTGTCTAGAGTTAAACGGCGTCTGATCAGAGCCTTTTGTGTGTGTGTGTTTGTGTGTGTGTGTGTGTGTGTCTGTACCTCTGGTGGTGAGCACCTGCTGTGAGGAGTTCCTGCTTTTCCTGAACAATCCTTTGGCTTTTCCGTTCGGCGTCATCTCGTCCTCCAGAGCCTGTTGCTCCTTCGCCGCCTTCAACATCTCATCTGTCGAAACATGATCAATACATTATTCAATAAAAGTTTAATCGGAATTTCAATGTTACGAGATTAAATTTATCAAATTAATCAAATCAGATTTATTTGTAAGGCACATTTGAAACAGCCAGAGCTTACCAAAGTGCTGAACAACATTTATGGTGAAATAAAACATACGATAAGGAAATCAAGCAGAATAATAAAGATAAAAATAATAATAATAACAGCGAGGTGTCCAGGTGTCAGTGTACACATTTGTAATTTACTCGTGTGATATTCAAATTCCAGGACATCTGATCAATACATTATTTCATAAAAGTTAAATCATAATTTTGGTATTAGAAAGTGAAATATTAGTTTTAGTTTAGTTTTTTTTTGTAATTTAAAATCAATTAATAAAAGAAGAAAGTGAAATTTATAGGTTATAGATTAAGTTTTACAATACTCTAGCATGGTATTATAATTTTAGTTTATATTATTTAATCAGTTATACTGTAGTATAAGTGGGATTTTTTGTTTTCAGTATTTCATAACAATTGCATGACTATGTCCCAGCTGAGTATAAAAAAATATGTTCATATCAAATTTACTGAAAACTATTAAGATTTAAAATATTTAGTCACAATTATGAAAATACTGTACATGAGGGAAAAGCTGGTTTTAGCAGCCCCTCCACCAGAAAAGTTGCGCAGTGCATCTTTAATCAAAAAACTGTATCAAGTGCATTATTTTGGATTGGATTGGTAAAATGCATTAAATACACTGAACTAAATAAATTGAACTAAAAATCCAATCACTTAAACATGACCACAAGAAATGACTAAAGGACTCTTGGAATCTTAAAATAGTCCAGGTGAAGTTGTAATTGTAGTACCATTTTAAACAAACAAACAAATAAATAAACTGAACTGCTGAAATGCAATGACTCATGATATTCTAATCCATTAAATAGACCATAAATCTGGGGTCTATATCAGGAGCGGGTTACTATCGGACTGAGACAAAGTTAAAACATAATAATTTGAGCATCTTATCTTATCGGCAGCAAACACAGTGAACAGCTCAGAGCAAAGTGTCCCTCTTATCTCTACTTTATTATTGTTTCTATAATTGGAGTGGTTTAAGTCGAGACAGCAGTACGCCTCCTGTGCAGGACTTCTGTAAAGTCTGTGGAGAAGGTTTCAGCCAGCCTGGCAAATCCAGACTCATTCCTCTAGGTATTTTTATAAAGAGAGATATAAGTCTGGTCCTCGCACTCTCCGTCATGTCTCAAGACAGAACTAAATATGATTGTGTAATAAGATTTGTTTTTTCAGTGACACATGTGAACCAAAGGAGCTCACTGAATAATTATCATTTACAAACAAGTGTTAGTTTAGTGCTTTGCTCAATGATTCTGCAGAAGTCTGTGATGTTTTTCAGTCTGCTGCGATCTTTTTTTTTTTTTTTCTCCTTTCAGCCATATTTGATATATGGACTGACCATGCTTGTCTCTGACTGGCTAATCAACCTGTCAATCACACCCGTCTGAACCCAGGGAGATTCACGGGTGCCGAGACTTAAGTTTTCGTAAAGTGTCAAGGGCGTAGGTTTGTGTAGAGACAGTGGGGACAAGTCACAACAATATTTGGGGAAGACAAAATAATCCCTACCAATATTTGCCATTTTATTTTAATAAACATAAATATACATTTATTCCGATATTTGTCCAAACTCAATAGTATTAATTTAACTTGTTTTAGTTCACATTTTGTTTATTAGACATTCTGAGATGTATTCAGTGATATGATGACAGGGTTACTCCTGCCGCTATTTCATTGGCTGCAACAGAGTGATGTCATTAGTGAAGCCAGGAGTCTAAAATGGGGAAGCGGCAGGACAGGACCGCGCCTGAAGATGTCGGCTTGAGCAGTGTGAATGAAGACGCTGCACCAAACTTTGAAAAACTTTTCAAAAGGAACTTACTCGGCTTCATCTTCAATTAAACTTGCCTTATAATGAGTCGATGCAGAAAAAGAGCGACTATCACCACAAGTGCATCTCCCAAACGGAGCCCTACTCTTGCACTGTTAGTCATTGTACTTGACAATATTCCATGGAAAAATGTACGTACATTACCTCACAAATATCTCATCTCCAACAAGCAAAGGGAAATCTGCTACAAACTTCTACATCGCTGTTATCCGGTACAGTCGCAACAGTTTTTCAATTAGTTCACTTTTTTCTTGAAAGTCACTTGATCTGACTCCTAAAAATGTGTTGTTTAAATCCAGTTTCCATTTTTTTTCTTGAATTTCAGACTATTTTAAAATGTTTTAACAGTATTTGCTTATGTGTGTATTGTGTCACCATGGCAACTGATGAACATTCTGCCATAGACACACATGTGCAGGCTCTACAATGCTTCAGCGGTAGTCACCTGGACACTGTTTTATGCAACAGTGAAGACATTTTGGCTCCCACCCACAAGATATTTTCAGTCTATGTGCTGTGTCTCAATATAAAACTGTTTGTTTCTATTCCAGATAAATGTGTCTGATTCTTATATTACAATTCAAACAAAGTTATAAAGTTTGGGTGAACAAACTCAGACTACCTGGATTGTTTTGTTTTGCCATAGTACTCAGACAGCATTTTATTAAGTCCTGGTTTATAGAGCCATTTATTATTCTCGCACATCTTTCTGTTGACACATTTTTATTACATATTGGCCAAGAAAAATATTTTGAATTGTATAATGCTTTTTTGGCATTCACACTGCAGAGTCTTTCTTATCTTAAAGTGTTCCTGTTTTCTATTAAATTGTCAAAACAATTCTTGGACGACAGACTTTTTATGTAATTTTTTTATAATTGTTAATATAATAAGATCTATAAAAATGCACGTAAAATCTCACCTTCTGCTTCCACAATATGGGCCACGTCTAATCCTTCATCCATCCTCAGCACCACAGTCCCATATTCAAAATCAAAGGCGTCACTGCAAAGCAAAGCACACAAGTCAACCCACGTGTTACAAAAATGTATGTTCAAAAATAACTACAAGAGTTTCACAAATGCCCTCCCATCTTCCTATCTCCCTTAGTGTCAGATGCCCTCCCATGCTCCTGTATCTCCAACTAGTGTTTAACTGAGATAATAAAATGTCTATATCAGTTCATTTAAAGGAGCATGGTGTAACTTTTATGGTGCCAGTCAAATACTTTTCTCCACTGAGGTGTTATTTCTATGTCACAGTATGACATTAAACCTTTTGATTATCATGGAGACCAAACCAGACCAAGTTACAGGTCAGATCTATGGAGAGGAAACCCCACTCACAGTCAGAATGCCAGTTTTTCTAGGTATTTTTGAGCTATAAAACCATCTGTAATTAAATAAATGTAAGATATATCTGTTTAATGCCATACTGTGGAACATTCATCCAGGCAGAGTAACCAAAAAGTTACATAATGCACCTTTAACATGTTTTCTTGCAAATTTATATTATATCAAGTCGAGATAGCAGGTAGTAACTGTGCATAGTTCCTCCTTTTCTGCGTGGTCAATATTTTCTTTGTGTTTTTTCTTGTTCCTGATAGATGACTACATTTAAAGGCGCACTGTGTAACTTGTCTCCTGGAGGGTCCGTCACCTGCTTTTCTCCATGGAAATGTGCTTAGAATGTTCCACAATATGGACATAAAGTTGTGAATCTCCATGGAGACTTGCAAGACAAATTACAGGTTAGATTTGTGGAGAGGTGACCCCACTCACAATAAGAATGGAGGTTTTTTACCAACAATTAATATTTGAATAAATGTAAGTTTGTTTAATGCCATACTATGGATAATTTAAACCAAAGTATCGACATCTCCATGGAGACAAACATGGAAAATTACCCTGTGCACCTTGAAATTGACATAAAAAATACATACACTCAATATAAACAATCACAAGAAATGACTAAAATCAAGACAAGCTGCTCCATAAACAATTTAGTAAAACACTCTTTAGATAAGTATAAGTCTAATATTTCTGTGCACTCACTGTAGTAATCCCACGTAGCTCTGCACTGCCTCTGCTCCTACTGTCCTCCAGTTTGTCTTGAAGCCCATCATCAAAGTGTTCGGCTTCATACGACCAAGACCTGACGCCTGGTAAGAAAATAAAACAAAACAAAACAAAATAAATATATATATAATAAAACAGATGTAGGATTGTAGTAATGACAGCCCATGTGAAAAGCAAGTCAAATTTAGAACAAGAGTTGATATAAGCATAAGATAGTCATACTTTGCAGGTGCATCATGCTGGGGTTGTTCTACATGCATCTCTATTAGCAGAATGTTCAGCAGTTACCATGGTGACATAATGCACACATTAGCAAACACAGACAAAAATGTTCTAAGATAGTCTGAAAACTCAAGTAAAAAACAGAAAATATATTTAACTACTGTAATTTTACATGTGAGAGACTTTTTAAAATCGTCTCACCTGTTTTAGTTCCAACTAAGTCAGCTCTTTTTGGTCAGATTGTGTTAAAATAAAACAATATCACCAAATAAAATTGTTTACGTTTGGCAATATTGCGCACTAGAGTGTAATAGGACTACTTTCTGTTGGGTAAATATATAAAGAATATGTAACAAGTGCTGAGTCTGTGCGTTGATCTGTGTCCTGATGATCTGCCAGTTCTTCAGTAAATATGCTGTTCATTCATTTTAAAGGTCATACAGGTGATAAAAATAACACTACCACAAGTGAAATTGTGTTAAAGATCTGATGAAATGAACAGAGCGTGCCCATTGAAGAGGCTCACAGCTCACAAAGAACCTGAAACAACTTTGTAGCTACTAACTACATATTCAAATTATTCAATGTCAAAATAAAATGAAATAATTTGCAATTCCATCCAGTCGTAATGATGAAGGGAAACCTGCTAGTCTTAGTGTTGATGTTTCTTGTACAAACTCTATGATCCATGTGCCTGAGATGTGACATGACACAAATCTAATTTGAATCCTAAAGGGTGACATGCTGTAAACAAATCTAAAATTCATACATAAAAACCTGTTAAAGGCAATGCACTTATTTTTCACACGTATTTGAGCAAAATGTCTTGGCTCAGTACACATTTATTGTACATTGTATAAGCAGCTTGAGGTCAGAATAAGTCAGCTGTGTGTTGTCTGCATATAATTAAAAAGTATTTTATTGTTTGATAACAGGAAGTGCACATTTGCATGCTAGCTGTTGGCTTTACTATCAAGCCACAGTTGTGAAAAGTGCTTATAAACTCACCACAGTGAATAATTAGGATTCTCTGAATGCACAAGGCAAGTGTGGAATAAATAAAGCCCCTCTGAAATAGTTATATTTTTCAAGTTTTTAAGAAAGTGTAAATCAGGTTACATATTTTTTTAAAGTCTGTGCCACTTCTTTTATACTGTTTAGTGTTATAAATTAAGAAATAGTGCATACTTATGGAGTATGAAAAAGTACAGCATGTTTAGTCAGTTGCAATGAAAACTAAAGATAAAGAGAAACTAAAGCAAAACAGGGAAAATGCATTTGCAAATCCCAGCTACTTGAAACCTGTAATTCTTCAACATATGTGTTATTGTCTTTTAGTGAAAACTTTTCTGAAAATCTCACAATAAGCTCTTTCTCTTCTAAGAATGTTATACAGTACATGATGTTATATATACTGTGGTGTAATGATTTAAAACCATAACACTTTATTCCTGTCTGGTTTTAGGAACTATGAACATTAAGCTGCTTCATTACCAGAAATTATGTCCGTATCTCTCTCCATACGGACTCCTCCAGTTCCGTGTTAATCAATTATAGGTCTTAATCTGTAGTTTTGTTTGAAGTAAGCTCTCCCTAACAATGAGGCCTTATCTCCACACAGTGATATCTGCTCAGGTTATAAAACTGTTTTCTTGCTTGTCATTAACTCTGCGTTTTACACCTTAAGAGGCTCAGGAGATAAAGCGACAACAGATACCAGGAAGAAAAATGGGTCAGCTTCTGTGGAAAATTAATTCATATTTTTTTTCTGGAACAGTGAAGAATAACCGTATCTATAAAGTATTTTGCAAGGAGTGGTCAAGCTTTGTAATTGTTATGTAATACTTGTGGAAATGTGGTTTATTCACGTTGTAAGTTCATTTAAAAGAGCCCATAGTATAATTCACTGATCTATGTTATAATGTTTCCTCATCACAAACATACCTGGAGTTGTGTTTTGTTTCGTTCACACATGTTAAAAACACAAATGCTGCATATTTAAGAAGCGCTGCATTGTGGTTTTAAGATCTATGCACCTTCACTAGAATCATTTGGATAATTTCTGATCTAAAGGTAAAAGGAGCTGTTAACTCTACCACTACATGACATCACATGGTGGAACAGTGCATTTTGAGCTTTGGAAATGCAGACAGACAGAATGCAGGATTACTCAAACATGTGTGAATGAAACAAAACACAACAGCATGGCTCACAAGATTCCATTTAGCATAACATGGAATCTTTAATATTGTTAAAATGAATGAATTGTCATGTAATTGTGTGTGTCAGTGTGAGCGTGTGTCTATCTTTATTATGTATGTGCATGTGTGTATACGCGTGCACATATACATACATAGAGATGAACACATGTGTACGCATGTCTGGTCTGCACACTAATGGGTGTGTGCTCGTGTGTATGCATTCATGTGTACGTATATATATATATATATTTAGTTTTTTGTATTGTTACAAATGTAATTATTATGACTACTTTATCCATTATTATTATTATTATTATTATTATTATTATTATTATTATCTGTTTTTTGGGTGTGGTTTTTTTTTTTTTTTCAGCATCTGTTAAGTGTGGGGGTTGGAGGGAGGATGAAGGAATGGGCTTTGGGAATGGGGAAAAGGGGGGTAACTGTGGCATTTGTATACCTGTACATTATTACCTGTGCATTATTGTGTGACCGTGAGGCCACAATATGGGAGTAAAACTAAATAAAATATATATGGAAAAAAAAATAAAAAATTCATTCATTCATTCACTGTCAGTTATTTGCTCGACGCCCTTCCCTGTGTTGAGGTATTCTAAAGTAGTACTATTTACTTCTTTACATTGTACATACCTGCAGTAGTGCGACCGCTCCCTCTCTGAAGCTCTCACTGACCACAGCGGTGTAAAAAGCCTTTCTTTTGGCCTTCCTCAGGTACAGCTGGTTCTTCGCCATGTTAGCGTTCATCTCCTCCAGCGCCTCTGATCTCGGGCCCTGCACAAATTCAACATAAATAGACCCACTTTTATTCTGTGACTTTTAACGCCGCATGAGTTGTGTGGCCCTTGTGTCTTTCATTTATTTGAATTTATTTTACTTATTTATTGCTATTTTATGGTTTTATGGTTTTGCTCTTTATGATCTGTCTCTGTTAGAGATATTGAATGATATATTGGGCTGATATTTTTTTTTAGTGTATCAGCTATTGGAGTTAAATCTCCAGAAGAGCCCCATATTTTGTTTGGGCCAACCAGCTGCCTAAATATGCATAAAGAACATGCATAAAGCTTTGTTGGAACACTGTAGTCCAAAGAGGATACTGCAAAAATATGACTACACTGCTCTTATATCCAGTTTGTAGTAAAACAAGATTGTAGATGAGTTTGTACAGAATTTAAATGAGATCATTTGGAGCAAATAACTGTCTCAAAAATATCGGCAGAGGTTAATGGGGATCGTTTTGTGTGGATCTAAACATCAGCATCAGCATTGGTCATGATAAATCTCTAGTCTCTTTGGGAACAGTTTTAAAATGTGCTATATAAATAAAGTAGATTTGAACAGAAATGCTGCGTGTTAGGAAAAGATCATACCCATTGCAGTACAGGTTTAAATTCACATCATGCTTTGACCCCAGTGTTAGGTAGCGTTTTCCCCATAGTCTCCCCTGTTTAATATTCGCTTACATTTCTACATCTGTACTCATTTGAATCCGTGTGATGTGCAAATTGAGTTTTAAATTAAGATCTGATATTTAAACAGTATAGGAAATGCCTGTGTTGAACTAAAATTATATCCATAGATTTGCATTCAAAATGATCAGGCAGCCAACTATCTAATATACCGCCCAGTATGAGACATTTATTCACAATTGGATCACTAAATGTTAAATCAGCTTTGAGAGTTTTTGACAGATGGTGACAGGGGCTAGAGTTTTGAAGATGGTCTGAAGAAGGTCTTGATTTTTTATACTGGAATCTTCTCATTTTAGACTCTTATAAATCAACTTTGGGGACAAGAGAAGGAATTTGGAAAGTTAAAAAAGCAGCTACTGAGCAATGGGTTAGGACATTTGAGATGGTACGAGCTTTTTACAGGATATGTGGCAACAAATGTGACAGAAGACCTTCCAGAGGAAATACTTAGAGGGGAATTATCCATTTCACCACCAACCGAAACACCAAAACAGAGTAAGAGTGAGGCCTTTCCTGTTGTGTTGACCTGGTTCTCCCTGGACGCTGCTGTGATGCTGCAGGACACAGAGGAGGGACACTTCTGGCTCTTCGTCTCCTCAAACTGTCCTGACAAAGATCTGCTGACCCTATCTGTTAAACTGCAATACCTGAATTTCCCTCAGGATCAATAAAGTCGCTCTCTCTCTCTCTCTAAATGCTACTCCTCACTTCTTTGTTTTTGTTTTTGTTCTGCTCTGTATTACACTCTTTAATGTGTAATCATTATGCTATGTCATTGTGTTATAATGGCTGGCATGTTTATGTAAAACTAAACTTGAAAAACACTGTCCTTGCTCAGGCGAGACGGATTGTGGAGAACCCTTCTCACCTGTTGTGCAATTGAGTGAAAAACTTTAAGAGCAACAGATATAAACTCTCATTTGTGTCCACTTCTGTTGTTCTCTTGAACAAACCTGTACAACAAAGGCACACTTAAGTCCCTTTAATCAATGGTGAAATAACTGTTTGTGCAATAGAGCTGGTGTAATAATTATTTGTGCGATAGTGCTAGTGCAGTAACTTGGACACTTTATGGTTGGGCAGTGCACAAACGGACAAAGGACATTAACAGTGGACACATGTATCTTGTGACGTTTGTCTGATTGTACTGTGTGAGTGTAACTGTGTTTTAAGCTGCAGGCCGTGAGCCCAAGACAAATTTCCCTCGGACAATAAACTTTATTGTCCGAGGGAAATTTATCTTATCATATCTCATGTGTAATCCTCATGTCTAATCCTCACCACAAACACTTCACAGGTGACACACAGGCCGTAGGTTTTGGTGAATGAGTGAGCCAGGTCCAGAAGAGCCGGTCTGGTCCGAACTGAAGCCGTCAGGGCCAAGATCTGAGGTCTGAAAACAACAACAGAACCATAAAGATACTTTATACAGCTTATTTAAATTAATTTTTTGTTGTTTTTTATGTTAAAGTGTTATTACTTTAGGACAGAACAGTGCAGTGTGACTGAAGAGAGACATTTGGTAAAGAGTCAGAACTGTAAATCTTTTATTTTTATTTTTATTGCTTGAAATTGTATTTTTTGAGCCAACCACCTAAAAGTTATTGTTCCTCAGTTGTCCAATCCAATCCAATCCACTTTATTTATATAGCACATTTCATATACAAAACAGTTTCCAAAGTGCTGCACTATTCAGATATATTAGCTGTCTTCTATATTCACTTGAAGAATTGTTTGTACTTTAAATAAACTAGTTTGTATAGAGAAAAAAAATAACAATATTAGCATTGTATGTTACCTGAAGTTCTTGACATGATCATCCACTCCAGACAAAGAGAGGGCGTTACCCACAGCACTCACAAAAGTCACAGCCTGAGTCGAAGAGCCCCAGTTCACATCTACAGACGACATCAAGACGCAACAGGTAAATAAACAGAAATAGTTGAAATTATATGTTACTTCAGAAACAAACAAATGCATTTTAAACTCACCAGGTTTCTTGACAGTGACATAGATGTAGAGCAGGATTTCAATGCCGTAGGTGAGGAGAGCCGCCCACCAGTTTATGACAAACATCACAACGCAGCACAGAATGGCCCCCAGCAGAGACAGCCACATGTTGTAGTATTTATACGCAGGTCTCCATCCTGAAGGGGCAAAGACAAAGAAGAAAATGAGAAAAAAACAACAACACGTGCACAAAAACATTCAATTGTGGATCTGCAACACAAATATTTAAACTTAGACAAACCTTACTGATCCACAAGGGAAATTATATGGGCACAGTAGCTCACACATCACAATATAATATAATAACAAAGAGCAAAAATATAAATGGAAATAATACATTCAAGATAAGTAGCAAAAATATCATAAGATTGGTGTGAAATAAGGCATAATTAAATAAATGCATATGTACAAATAAGTAAAAATATAAAAATATAGTAATACAAATACATCTATGTACAAGAGGTCATGAGGAGAAACCGTGCAAAGATGAAACAAAGCTTGACAGGACATAAGGTTATCTGTTACGTAAGGTTGAGTTGTTGTCCTGCATTTTTATTTACATAATAATAAATGATAAATGAAGAGAATGAAAAGAAAGAGAAGAGAAGGTTTCATTTGATACTAATAATGAAAAAATTTTGGTTATAGCTCTTTTGCACCACAAAGGCACTGAAAGCATTTTACATCAAGGAACCACTCAACCATTCACACACACATTCATACACACGCTTTGTACACAGACACTAGGGGGTTATTTGGGTGAAGTGTCTTGTCCAAGCAAAAGCATAGGTTTGCATAGGGACAGTGGGGACAACCAATATTTGGGGAAGACAAAATAGTCCCTAACAATATTTATCATTTTATTTTAATAAACAAAAATATAAATTTATTCTGATATTTGTCCAAACTCAGTTGTAATAATTTTACACATTTTAGTTCACATTTTGTTATTAGACGTTCTGAGTTGTATTAAGTGATATGACGACAGGGTTACTCCTGCCGCTATTTCAGTGGCTACAACAGAGTGATGTGGAGCCAGGAGCCTAAACTGGGAAAGCGTCAGGACAGGGCCAGCACCTGAAGATGACGACTTGAGCAGCGTGAGTGAAGACGCTGCACAAAACTTTGAAAAAGTTTTCAAAAGGAACTTACTTAGCTTCGTCTTCAATTAAACTTGCTACTATAATGAGTCGCTGCGGAAAAAGCGTGACTATCGCTACAAGTGCACCTCCCAAACGGAGCCCTACTCGTGTACTGTTAGCAGCCGACAATATTCCATGGAAAAATGTATGCACATTCAACATTGCTGTTATCTGGTAAAGAATAATCTTAAAAAGACAATGGACACAAACTGTACATTTTGCGAACTGATACACACAACAGCAGCATTCATCTGTGGGAGCTGGAATCGCACCGCCAACCTGTGGGTCAGTTCTGCCAACTCCACCAACTGAGCTCCTGATGCCCCTGGTTATTCATTTACTTATATTATTGTAATTTTATTATTTTTCCTTTCCATTTTACGTGAGTTTTTACTATTGTTTTTATTGTAACATAAAGCTTCTGTGTCACGCTTAATTCACTTCTGTCACTGTTGGGCATCAATAAAAGTTGGAGAGTATAAAATGAAATGAGTTTATATTCTTTACAATAGTCCTTTGTTTATAGCAAGATGAATAATCACATTTTCCCAAAGACTCAATGTCATTTAAAGGTGCATTGTGTAACTGCCACCATCTGCTTGTTTCTATAGATATCTCATTATTCTGCCTGGAACGTTCCACAGTATGACATTAAACAGCTTTACCTTACGTTTATTCAAATACAGGATTTATAGCTCAAAAATACCTAGAAAAACAGGCATTCTGAGTGTGAGTGGGGTTGCCTCTCCACAGATCTGACCTGTAATTTGGTCTGGATTGATCTACATGAAGACCAATCCACAGAGAAAAGCATTTGACGGACACTCTGCCAGAAAAATTACACAATGTACTTTTAAACGTTGTTGAACAAAGACTGAACCTTATAATCTGTCATTGGCGTCACTGAATGTTAGATATTGTACAAAAACACTTATTGTGTCTGTAAAATACATTGTCACTGTACAGTAAATATTGACTTACCTGGAGATTTGGCCCAGGATGCGTGAAAGCAGGAGAAGTTAATAAGAGCGTATGAAGCCAAAAAGAAGTTTGAGATGATCGGAGCGATGGTGTTCAGATTTCCTGTATGCAAAACATTTAACAATTAGCTCTGAAAACTGGAAATGCCAAAAATGACAGCGAACTTGAACTGACCAATGAGAATAAAGGCCACAGAGATGATGAAGGTGAGGATGTATCCGCGGATCGGCTCATTGTTCTTCCCGTGTCCTTTGGCGAAAAAGTGCAGGATTTTGTAGATGTTGTCTTTGCACAGAGCCTATGAAACATATTGGTTAATTGTTAAATTTATTGGTTAATGGTAGTGGTTAATAATTTTCCTTCTTCTTACTCCCTTTTGAGATACATTTGTCAGTGTATTGTGAATATGTCTCAAACCTACAGTGTGATCTTTTACCATGTAAATGTCAGGGGTCTCCAACTTTTTTCCTCCTGTGAGCTACTTTTTGTAAAATGAAACTGCGGTCACCAGAAATTTTGTAAATATAAGGGCCATGGTAAGCCGAAGATGAGGTACAGTTAGATGTCTATAAAACATAACCCGTTATCCAGTTATCAGTGCACAAATTAGGCATCGGAATTATACATTTACAAAGGAAATAGGCATTTAATCAATCAAATTTGAGTTACTGTATGTATGATTCAGATTCCTGATGTTAATACTGTAACTACTGTCATGTATAAGATTTAAATAAATAAATAATATAGTTTAGTTTAAGAAATTGTGTGTAGTTGTGCTGCCAGTGCCTTAACCTGCATATAGAGGACACATACAAACGTTTGTTTTCTCAGTATATGGACAGACCAGGTGTCATGTGAAGCTCAAAACCTCCAAGAGTCACTCACTGAGCTGCAAAGGCTGCACTAGTACTGATTAATACTGTGGTTTAGGTAGTATTTAGTTAAAAGAGTATTAGGTGTTTTTAGGTTTAAACCAACCAAATCATAGGAATTGGCATAACTGGATAATCTAAATGAGAACCCAAACACCAAATGACCGTCATGTCAAATGTTTTTATAATAAAAAAAAAATCAGCGTTTCACTTTTATTAAGTAAAAGCTATATTTGATTTGAAAATGTTAACCTCCTATCTGGGAACACAGCTAGGTCATAAATACTATGAAGTTTGAAATATAAAAATGCACATACTCATACATACAATGCACATAGTAGTAGAAGAAGAATAAGTTGTGTAGTGAATTGACCTGGAAGACTTTGGGGGCGCTGACGAGAGAGGCCAGGGCAGAGGAAAGTGTAGCAGAGAAAGTCCCGGCAATGATCAGGGGACCGAATCCAGAGACCATGGTCATCACCTGGTCACAGACGGGGGCACAGACAGTCAGTATTAAGGATTTCGATAATACATAGAGAACATAAAGTATAACTGTAGGAACTTGTGATCAATGGGAGTGTTCATGGTCAAATTTAGGGGATGTTTAATAAAAAAGGAGAGAGTGCTGGCTACCTTGTGACTGTAAAATAAACTGAGCGGGACTTCTTTAACAGCACAAATATGCTCACCTGTTCTAGTTCCAATTAAGTCAGTTTTAAGTCCGTTCTTTCTGATCAGATTGTGTAAAAAAACATAGTATTCATATAAAAGTTATAAAATACAAAGAAACCCAAATTAACAAACAAATAAAAATGCACACAAATGAATCACCTGGAAGTTGTTCATGAGGCCGTATTTGCACGTATTTGTAGTGTCAGTGCAGGAGGTGAAGTTGAATCCGAGCTCACAGGCGGCGACAGCAGAGGAGCCGGCGCAATCCATAGACCCGGCTGTGATGTTATCAAACAGGTTCCCCGTCGCATCTCGCACCACTGTGGCAGCTGGAAACACAGGGTAATTTTAGAAATATACAAATATTTTGAAAAGTAAAAGTACATCATACCACTTTATTAAAAAAAACAAAAAACTGCAGTATCTAGCCTTAAAGGTCACATATTATCGAAAATTCACACAATATTATCATGATGCATCTCACAGTTAAATATTTATTGCAATAATATTTTGGAGAGGCTTTTTTGCTTTTAAAATACTCTTACAAGATTTTGGTGTGCGTTATAACCGTCATAATCCCAAGAATTCAAGTAAAAAACATAACTTCATGTTCTCTGCGCTGAAATGAATCATGGGATATGTAGTTGCCAATGTTTATCAGCTATTGCTACTATAAAAAAAATGCACTTAAGCAAAGGAACTTGTAATTCGATATATTGTGACATCTTACGATATTATTGTAAGACTCTTGACGATACGATATATGATATTACTGTTATATCCCTAGCTTTAAGAAATGTTATAATGCTGTTACCTCATCAAAAACATACCCAGAGCTGTGGTTTGTTTCATTCACACAGGTTTGAGTAATGAATTTGAATCTTTGCTATTAAACAATTTGGAGAAGTATTTCTTCATGCTTTATTAAATCTAATTAAAGTGTAGTTATTATAAAGAGTTACTGAGTATATTGTACTTACAGACAACCAGAGCGACTCCCAAGTAGGTGATACCAGTGATCAGAATGGCCAACAAAGTACCTTTAGGGATAGCAGCTTGAGCATCCTAGAAAATAAAACATTATAACACATTAGGGATGTAATGATATCCAAATCTCTCAGTACGAAATTATCACGATATGCATCTCATGGTACAATATTTATTGCGATATATATTTTAAAGAGGCTGATATAATTGTAGATGGGACTCTTTTTTGCTTTTAAAATACCTTGACAAGATTTTGGTGTGAATTATTTCCATCATAATCCCAAGAATTCAAGTAAAAAACATATTTCTTCATGTTGTCTGCACTGAAATGAATCATGGGATATGTAGTTCCCGATGTTTATTAGTTAGTGCTACTATAAAACAATGCATTTAAGCAAAGGAACTTGTAATTCGATATATTGTGACAGCCCACGATATTATTGTGAGACTTTTGACAATACGGTATCACGATATTTCGGTTATTGTTACATCCCTATAACACATGCTTAAATTTTTTGCAAATTCATCGTTGGCTACATGACATCTTACTTATATAATTATTTCAGAATAACCTCTCTACTGTTCAAAATTTTTAAATTACTGACAAAACATAAACAGATATAGAAAAGTAAACAAATTGGCACTGACAAATTGTTTCTGAATTGTAATTAAATACATGTTTCGTAAGTAGGATTCTGTTTAAAGTGTTATTGTAAACTATATGATTAATTTCAGAGCATGTATGTGTAAGTATAACCCATGGGACTGACAGGTAGAAAAAACAGGATGGGTTACTCAACTAATTGTGCCCATATGACTCAATGAGACCTTTCAAATTATAAATTGGATTTAATTTCAGTGAATCTCTCAGTGATACAATAAATCGTTTACTACACAAATTATTCCCACTATTCTGAAAACATGTAACAAAATGGATAGAATTAAAAATGAGTACACTGCATTGACCGTCTGTGTTGAATGTTTTAGAGATAAAGTCTGAAAAGGCAGTGTGTGCAGAGGAGGGATAGCGAATATATGAGTAGGAGGATGCTAAATTAAGAGCTGTTGGACCAAAGAGGAGATTTATGGACATAGTGAGTTAGTTAAAGGGCCCATATTACGCTATTTTCTGATCTGTTATAATGTTGTTTCCACATCAAAAACATACTGGGAGTTGTTTTATTCACATGCTTAACACACAAACCCTGCATATTTAAGCTGAGTTCTCTCAAACAGAAAACACTCTTTTCCACCTTGTGATGTAAAGTGGTCATACAGAAAGTGCTTCACCAGTGTTTTTAAACTCCGTACACCTTCACTAGATTCATTTGGATAATTTCAGACCTACTAATCAAAAGGTTAGAGATGCTGGTGCCATCTAGTGCCTCTGCTCAATTTAATTTCTCTTCAGCGACTAGTTCAGAAATCAGAATACACTAGATGGTTTGCAAGAAGCCTGGGAGTTGTAGACTGCGCACCGGCCAATCAGCGAAGAGCTGTGAAGCCATGACATCAAACTCAAGCGCCTGTCTGGTCGCTTTTGTGGTACAGCACAACAGTAAACAAAGTGGCCCGAGATGGATGTAGACGAAGCCATACATTCTGTGTTGGCAACAATTCCTGAGATTGACGATTTAAAGCCGAAACAAAAAGAATGTTTGGTGAATTTGATCAAGGGGAAAGATGTTATTGCCCTTCTTCCTACGGGATTTGGCGCATTACATACGTCACGACCAAATAGCAGCGATTGGTTAAATAAAAAAAGTACCCGCCTACTGTCGAGCGAACAAATCCTAATGCTGCGAGGTCAGACAGTTTCCATGAATTAAAACCGGCTGATGAATCAGGATAACAAAAGGTCGCTGTTAAATTGAAAACACTTCATGACATTGTTGCGAAATAATTTAGATCTCATGCAGGCACTAACCAAACACTGAATAGGTTCTGCTGTGTTGTAAGTGAAGTTGCATTATTGTATTGTATTGTTTTGTATTACTGAAGTTAAAGTTATAAAACAGCAGATTTATTACTCCAGGGTCAAAGTTTAACGCTTGCTTGCTGGAGTTCCACTGATGCAAACATTATACAAGCACTGGGCTTTCTGCCAACCAGTAGTGCCTGAGAAGACCAGTGGATTCAGTTACAAAGGGTTACGACAGCTCTGTAAAGTTGTGAGTAGAGAGAAAACCCCAGATGACACATGATTCAGTGAAATGACATAACTCACTCTCAAATCTCCAGAAATATTTGCCCCAGCGAGAATCCCAGTGGCAGCAGGGAAAAAGATGGAAAAGACGGTGAAGAAATTCTCTGGCCCTCGAAAATCTGGTGCGAAGTTTTCCATAAATATCTTTACTGTAAAACAATACCACAAATAGAGAGGCGGTTACTTTTTTAGTTTCGAGTAAAATGTGTACTATTTTGCAGTTAATGAAGTAAATTCTCACTGTTATAGTTGAAGAATCCTTGAGCTTTCTTGGAGTCAGTTGCTGGGATAAAAGTTCCCACAAACACGTTGACGATGGCCACCAACAAGATAACAAGGAGGACGATCTGGGCCTGTTAAGCAAAAAGAAACTATTTAATTTTCAATGTTAGAGCAGTAATAGTAAAAACTTGAAAACCATTTTGTAATTAGATTGGCTGAACAGGTTTCACATCTGCCTTTTACTGTTTAAAAAAAATCAAACAAACTCAGAGTAAATGTATGATTCCTCTCAATTTTAGTCAATTACTAAATATTAGGGATGTAACAATAACCAAAATATCATGATATCGTATCGTCAAAAGTCTCACAATAATACCGTGGGGCATCAAAATATATCCAATCACAAGTTCCTTTGCTTAAATGCATTTTTATAGTAGAAATAGCAAATAAACATCGAGAACTACATATCCCATGATTCATTTCAGTACAGAAAATATGAAGATATATGTTTTTTACTTGAATTCTTGGGATTATGACAGAAATAATTCACTTAAAAACTCTTGTCAAGGTATTTTAAAAGCAAAAAAAGCGTCCTATCAATTACAATTATATCAGCCTCTCTAAAGTATCGCAATAAATATCGTACCGAGAGATTTGGAAATCGTTACATCCCTACTAAATGTGATTGAACTAATTTGTATTTCTGGCAGCACTGTCCTCTTTTGGGATTTAGAAGAAATAAATCTTTGTGTGTTCCAAAATTTTTTGCCTAAAACCTTTTATAATTGCAATGATTTAAATGGGAGTCATTTTCTGTTACTCTATTACATTTATTTTATTCACATTTTCACAGTTTACATTCTACCGTAATTTCTCCAGGTTTGAAAATGAAAAAATGAAAATATAATTGAAAGCTATGAATATATGAGAAGAACTGCTCAGTCTAAATATAATGGATAACTGGTCACTGCCCAGAGTGTAATCCAGCTGTTGTAAAATGAACTATTAAACTGTTATTACTGATACTTCTATAACTCATGTCCCATTTTTTTTTTCAATATATCTCCCTCCTCTGGCAGCGCTGTCCTCTTTTGCCCCTCTGACAGTCCATTAGAACAGGTCAAAGTCTCACCTTGGCCTCCCACTCCATCCCGGCCACAGAGATCCCCAGCAGCAGAACCACCGTGATACAACCGATAATCCTGATGTCGTTTATGGGGTCCACCATAATCGCATTGTTGTCCTGGACAAAATGTTAACAAATATGTATTAATAAAAATGTCGGTTTTATTGTAAAATTGGAAAAGTCTTTGTGGTAGCAGAACATTCACAACAACACTGGGCAAAGTGGTTCTGAAGATGACTTTTTTTTGAATGGTTAGGTATTAAAACCCAGATTTACAAAAAACAAAACAAAAAACATATTATTGAAGTTTGGGGGATTTAAAAGAAATATATCTTCATGTGTTCCAAAATTTAGAGCCTAAAATCTTATAAATTTGCAATGATGTGATTTTATTCCCATTAGATACTGAGCTAGTAATATGTATCATCTCTAAATAATGCTATAACCTGATAATGTAATACCTGCCCACTTTATTTGCAAACGCATTATGTAATTTTTCTGGTCCATCTCCTGCTTGTCTCCATGGAGTTTTTATTGCTATATCCCCATTATGGCCTGGAAAGTATTTATCACTACAAAGAAAAACAAGTGAGGCCATCAGCAGGTCAGATCTATTGAGAGGAGACCCCGCTCACGGTTAGAATGCAAGTTTTTCTTTGTTTTTTAGCAATAAAAACATCTATAATTGGATCAATACGAGATAGTTTGGTTTAATGCAGGGGTGGGCAAGCTTTTTGACTCGTGGGCCACAAAGGGTCCTAAAATTTGACAAAAGGGCCAGACGAGGAGTAGATGGATGGAGTTTTTTTGGTAATCCATCTCATAGGAGAAAAAAATAACCTGGGATATAGAAAACAGACCCCATGTTATTAAAATATACCATCACTGAAAATCGTTACAAAGCAGTACAACAAAAAAAATCTGTTTTTCAAGTCCCACGGTATTTACTATTTACTGAAAACACTGAAAATTATCATTATTATTATTATTCAAGTTAGGCAGGCCGGATTAAAAAGATTAAAGTGATGCATATGGACCCCGGGCCGTAGTTTGCCCACCCCTGGTCTAATGCCATACTGTGGAACACTCTTGGAAAATGAAATAACCTAAATAGTTTTGTCTCCTCACCTGCAGCAGCTCCACCACAGTTTCAGCGAAGCCCACCACGTACATCGCCACGGCAACGGCGTTGGCAAAGGCGAAAATGAGACCGATGGAGCCTCCGAACTCCGGCCCCAAACTCCTGGAGATGAGGTAGTACGCCCCACCTGCGACAGCACAGTGTCAAACCTCGATACATGTTTATACACAGGGAAGATAAATGAACCCATCACTGAGTTATTGATCTCAAGACCACACAGCGATAAATGATTAACCCAGTTTTTGTACACTTTATGAAGCAGTGGTCAATACACAGGCTCTCTCACACGGGTGACCAGGTTTTCAAAGTTAAAAACTGAGATACACCAGAGTTGGGACGGTTAGTATAAATAAATAAAACTGAGAAAAGAGCACGTATAACATTGTCCATTCTTGACTCACTTGTAGATCATTTCGAGGGACTTTTATCGGTGTAACAGACTGCACTTTTTTGCCTTATGGTTTTCTGTATTTTAAAATAGAAATAAATGTCAATATATTTCACCTTTTACTGTTGGCAGGGATCAGAATAGTCAAAACTAGGGACACTTTCTTGCATAAAACTGGAACAAATCACATATGGAAAAGGTAATAATAGCTATTCCAAGTCAGATAACTTCACTACTCCCAAAATTATTTTATTAGATTTTATTTTTATAAGGCTGATGCTATTGGCCATATTGTTTGGGTCTGTATTTAGTAATAGATTTATCAATAAATATTATGTAATATTTTTGTTGACTACTAAAACTATTCAAGATAACACAGATGAAAACATAAAACATAGATGACTAAACAGTGTGATAAAGATTAAGCACAAATGAATAGACAAATAACTTTCAACGACTGTGGCGGACTAAATCAGAATTGCAATTTAACAACTGAAACTAGACAAAAATATATTTTATGAAACCATAAAACCAAAAATACCTCTAGTCAAATGACTGACAATAAAACTGTGTTAAATGAATACTGGTTAATGACCATGACCACAGAAACGGCTTCTTCTCTCTTTCTTCCTTGCTTATTTTCAGGAAATCTGTTTCAAGGCCTCAGTCAAACATGTGGAGGAGATCAGATCTACGATTTAAAGCCTGCAGTCGTCTTACCTCCTCGGACAACTCCGTTGGTACAAATGGCCGACATGGAGAGAGCGGTGATGGTGGTGACGACACAACTCAGAGCAATGACGACTATTCCCAATCCTGAAACACAAACATTCAACATAAATGTTTAACAGATAAGAAACAATACAAAGAACGTAATACATAAAACAAAGAACTAAAGTATTTGTAGGTCTGAAGCAACTGTACTGTAAAATCAAACAATAGCTTCAGTGAAATCAAACCTGTAAACATTAACAAAACAATGTAATAGTAATTATTGGAAGGAAATGTATGTGTGCGTTAGGGACAATACAATAACCGAAATATCGTGATATTGTATCGTCAAAGTTCTCACAATAATATCATGGACCATCACAATATATCGAATTACAAGTCTCTTTGCTTAAATTAAGAGTTACGGTGCAATAACAGTTGAAAAAAGACAGAGGGAACTACATAGACCATGATCCTTTGCTCCATTTCAGTGCAGACTACATGAAGAAATAACAGTTTTGAGCACTTTTAAGTCTTAGTTCTTTGGATTTAGTCTTTAGTCAAGGCATTTTAAGAGGAAAAAGTAGCATATTCACAGTTTTGTTCGCAGCCTCCACAAAATATTGCAATAAATATCATACCGTGAGATGTATATCATGAAAATATTGTACAGAGAGATTTGTATAATGTTAGATCCCTAATCGTGAGCCTCCCCATGATATCGCAATAAATATCGTACCATGAAGTTCATACTGTGACAATATTGTATCGTGAGACTTGGATAATGTTACACCCCTAGTGTGTGCACTGTATTGCATTGGACTTATAGAGCTGTTCACAAACACACACCACATTAATACTAGGCAAGGTGGGTGAACACAACAACACAACGACACAACAACAGTATTGGTCGTTTTTAGATTCCAGCATGTGATAATGTCACACTCCCAAATGGGGAACAAGAGACAGTTTTCCCTAGTGATAACATTGTACTTTGTCATAAAATATCTAAACGTCAAATGTACAAATGTTGAACCTGATCATGTGTTGAGTAGTTAATTCTGCAATTTTGTAGCACTGTAAAAACAAACAAACAAACAATGTAGAACTCACAATATTACAATAAAAATCAGCATATTAAAAGTATGAATTTTAGCTACCCTGGTTTGTATTAAATATTATTGGTAGGGATGTAACGATATCCAAATCTCTCGGTATGATATTATCACAGTATGCATCTCACGGTACGATATATATTGCAATATTTTAAAGAATAGATAGAATTGCAGATAGGACACTTTTCTGCTTTTAAAATACCTTGAAAAGATTTTGATGTGAATTATTTCTGTCATAATCCCAAGAATTCAATTGAAAAACATATTTCTTCATGTCGTCTGCACTGAAATGAATCATGGGATATGTAGTTCTCGATGTTCATTTGCTATAAAAAATGCATTTAAGCAAAGGAACTTGTAATTCGATATGTTTTGATGCCCCACGGTATTACTGTGAGACATTTGACGTTACAATATCACAATATTTCGGTTATTTCGGTTGTCTGAAACTCAGCAATAGACTAAACCTACTGCGGCCCAATACACCACCTGGTATTCCCAGAGGTCGACACTTCAGACTTGGACAAGATTGGACATTGTAAAGGTGGTAATGTCTGTATGTTGTCCCCATTGTATTGTTTGTCTCTAGTTAACTTTACAACCCCACTAACACTTTTATTGTTTACTTTTATTTGTGCATTTTGAAATTGAGTACATATTTTTTCTTCTCTCTTCTCTCATGTGCTGTGCTGATCTGCTAAGCACCATTTAGTCGCGCTGCCTGTGAGACTGTTTGGATCAATAGCCTTTTAAACCCTACCCCAACACATGAACCACTGTTATCTTTCTCACACACAGAGTAACAAACTGCTCCAATCTTTCTAGAAAACACCCCCGGCTCCTTCAAATCGTTCCACCGACTCCCAGCTCAGTTCAATTAACTTGTCTAATTACCGGGGGCGTACATAACTCTTTAATTGTCACAGATATGGAGACACGTATAGAGACCGGGGGACGATGACTCTACCTCTTTAACTGTCACTGAAACTACGGTAGCAGCGCATTTTAATTGAAAAAGTCATTCACTGGAGAAAGCCCCGCTCCGAGCACAGAGCACAAGTCTAATTGTGTCCATGACCTTTCGTGAGGATAATACAGCAGACTATAGCGCTATAGAAAGGAAAGTAACAGACGAGTAAATAGCTGAGTAAAATATGGCAGTTCAAATCTCCGTTTCTAAATGGGAAAACTGTCTCAAAATAGCAATGAGCCGTCGAAAAAATGTATGTGACTGTTTAAAACTACTCTTTTTACTAAAACATAGTTAACTTACATTTAAAGGTGCATTGTAGGGATGTAACAATATCCAAATCTCTCGGTACGATATTTATTGTGATATTTTGAATAGTAATCTAATAGAATTGTAGATAGGACACTATTTTGCTTTTAAAATACCCTGACAAGATTTTGGTGTGAATTATTTCCGTCATAATCCCAAAAATTCAAGTAAAAAACATACCTCTTCATGTTGTCTGCGCTCAAATGAATCATGGGATATGTAGTTCCTGATATTTCTAAGCTGTTGCTGCTATAAAACCATGAATTTAAGCAAAAAAACTTGTAATTCGATATATTGTGACAGCCCCCGATATTACTGTGAGACTTTGACGATACGATATCATGATATTTCGGCTATTGTTACATCCCTAGTGCATTGTGTAACTTTTCTGGTAGAGGATCTGTTAAACGTGTTTTTGTTATAGTTTTTGTTTTATTGCTTCGTCTCAAATTTTTCACAGTATGGTACTAAACCTTTCTATCTTCATGGAGACAAAACCAGACCAAGTTACAGGTCAGATCTATGGAGAGGCGACCCCACTCACAGTCAGAATGCCTGTTTTTCTAGGTATTTTTGAGCTATAAAACAGACACAGTTTCTGCAACTGTGTGACAAACTGAGTATTTCTATATAAAGGTGATTGTTAGTTGTTTTTATTGTTGCTAATACTGACTGACGTACCTTTATCTCAACAGGTAATTATGGCTTCTATGTTATGGCTTCGATAATCAATGGATCGATCTTAGATACTGGATCATGCCATCCTGTTTATCAATGGCTCTATTATAAATAAGAAAATTAAATAAGGCCCAAGTTCAAAGAAGTCTTGAGCCAGTGGTATAAAGTAATCCACTAATCTAATTGTTTAACTGGCAATTTATTTTTTTATTTTATTAAAGGTCATTTATTATGTAAAATTTATTCTTGTGCACTTTTATTCATGTTATAATGGTGTTTCCTCCTCTAAAGCAAACCTGGAGTTGTGTTTTGTTTCATTCACACATGTTTGAGTAATCCTGCATTATTAGTCTGTCCACATCTCCACAGCTCAAAATGTTCTGTTCCACCTTGTGATGTCATGAAGAGGTAGTTTTCACGTTAACAGCTTCTTTTCTTTTCCCTTTCGTTCACTAGACATTAGTAATTCCAGGTCCGAAATAATCCAATTGATTTTAGTGACGTTGTATGGAGTTTAGAAACACAGTGGAGTGCTTTCTGTATTATCATGTGACATCACAATGTGGAACAGAGTGTTTTCTTTTTGAGAGAAGAACTCAGTAACATGGAAAATTTCTGTGTTAAACATGTGTGAATGAAAAACACAACTCCAGGTATATTTATGATGATGAAACATTATAACATAGATCAGCAAATAGCCTATTATAGCATACATTGTTCAATAAAGAAAAATAATCATATGTGCTTTTGAAATACACACAAAGGATATTAAACACTAACTAGAAAGCTAATTACTGAGTTTGCAACTAAGATGTGGTCCCAAAAAGTGTGTGTGTCGACCTTGGATTGTGAATATTATGATATACACATACAGCAGCATAGAAAATGCAAAAAGTGAAGTTCAGACTCACCCCATCCAGCCTGTCCAAAGACCCAGGACAGACGGATAAACAGCATCACACCCCAGATGTTCAGCATGCATCTCACCTGGACAAAACCCAGAAAAACACATGTTACTTCTGTGTAATTAATACCAACTTAATTAGAAAATGGACTGCAAATGAACAAAGCAGTTTTAGGTATTGATTGGAAACTTAAAGGGCCCATATTACGCTATTTTCTGATCAATGTTATAATGTTGTTTCCTCATTCCTGGTGTCATGTGGTAATACAGGAAGTGCTCCACTGAGGTTTTAAACACCATAAACCTTTGCTAACATTATCTGGATGATTTCAGCTCTGGGGCTGCCAATATCTACTTAACTAAAGACTGAAAACTACCACTTCATGACATTACAAGTAGGAACACAGCACTGATAAAGGGTTACTCAAACATGTGAGAATGAAACAAAACACAACTCTATGAATATTTTTGAGGATATAACGTAATTAAGCTCACTAGAATCAATTTTGCATAATATAGGACCTTTAAAGACTCTCTTATTTATCAGCACAAACTAAAATAAAGTTATGACTTTCACTATCGTGGCCAAAAAGACGCACTATATTCGAATTTAAATGGCCTGATTATGTACAGATGCACAGTTATATGAAAACAACATCTGGATTTTTTATTTCACATACTGTCTTTCCTGCAAAATTGTATCTCTCCCATCAAATTATATTATTACATCCTCTCAAACAGAACGTCATAAAAAATAAATGTGAACTTTTAATATACAGTAGTAAATGTTGTAAAGTTGTTTTGGTCCAATCAAAATTCAACCTACTGAATTCCACAATCACTAATTCTCAGACTCTATTTACACCAAAAAATGGACTCTTGAGATGTTAGAATGTGGTTACTGGTTACAAAAACATACTTGTAGTTGTGTTTTGCTTCATTCATACAGCTCAGAATGCTCAGTCTGAGAGAAGAACTCAGTCTAAATATGCAGGATTTGTGTGTTAAACATGTGTGAATGAAACAAAACACAACTCCAGGTCTGTTTGTGATGAGGAAACAACATTATAACAGATCAGAAAGCAGCGTAATATCGGCCCTTTAAGATCCTAATCAATAATTACACAAGACATTTATTACAAAGAGTTCATTGTCCCGCTACGAGCTTTGCCACGCCCCCTCACCAGGACTCCTCGTATCCAGCCGAACTTGACCACTCCTTCGTTGGGGTCGACGGGTGGGTTGGACTCCAGGTCTTCACAGGGAGTCCCATCGTCACTGCCCTCGCTGTCGTCCTGCACTGTGTCCGGGACAGAGATACGCCCATTCTGCTGTAAAGATGAAGAGAAAACATACTATTTAAACTTTCCTGGAGGAGGGTCCATCATATGTTTGTCTTTGTCTGTTTGTTGTTTTTATTGCATTGAAATATATGCATTCTTACTATGAGTGGGGTCACCTCTCCATAGATCTGCTCTGTAGCTTGGTGGTGTGGTATGTTTGTTCTTATGGAAATAGACAAGTTAAATAGCATATTGTGCACTGTAAACCTGAATAAATTACCAGAACTTAAAATAATTGAGTCATTCGATTCCCTCAATTATTTTAAGATGAGGAACTTAAAAGTCACATATTTGCAGTTAATATGACTCATAGTTTTCTGTTAAGGCAACTCAGTTATTTTGATTTACATCTAATCTCATGTGTTTTCCTCGATCAAATTATTATGTTGTGTGCCTTTGTGTGATTATGATTTGACACTGTGGAAAAAATAAAAATGAATTGAAAAAATCAAATTGATTGCAGTTTATTTGTAATGATAGATTTTGGTACTTATTTGGTAAAGCGCTTTGAAATTGTATTATACTTTAGCATGTACTATATAAATTAAGTTTATTTTTAAATTATGCCTATTTGAAACAATAAAAATAACAGGATTTTATCATTTCCAGGGTTTAATTACTTAATTCTACTAAGTTGTACCTCATCTATGTTTCTGAGTTATGCTCACTTATACCCACAATAGTTCACTAGTTCATATATATATATATAATTTAAAAAGAAGAACATGTTACAACAACTTCACATAATTAAGTTAGTAGGTCTGTTTCTAAAACTTTGAGTATACACAACTTAATTTATTTAATTATTTTGAACGTTTGGGTTTACAGTGTGAGCAGACCCTGCACCAGAAAAGTTACACAGTGCACCTTTAAATGGACATTAAAAGGATGCAGGACAGGGAATGACATCCAAGGAATTCTTTAATTCTCTCCCCACAGTGTAATGTGTAATCATGTATATTTGATAAATACATATTTTTTCTGTTTGCTACTTTGATGTTTGATTGATAAAGGAAGTAAGAAGCAAACAGAAATGTTAATATATCCATGTTTTCAACTCAAGTAATGAAAATCTAGCACCGTTGCCATAGAAATTAACGATATTTTATCTTTTTGAATAGGCAAAAGTCCTCAAAATATTGCCTACTAACATGAAACTGAAGCCCACAAAACAGAACAAATCATTATTTTGGTCATTTTTTTTTCATATATATACTTTTTTGCATACCTAAATTACAAGAAAATTGCTAAAAATAAATAAATAAATAAATCTACTTTTTGCAATTACTGTGAATCAAAACAATCGTTCCTCTACTCTGCCCTTCCTTATTGTAGTTTATGTTAGTCACAGCTCTGTTGGGTGTAGTAGACAGTGTAAAGATCATTGGGTCAGCCGGTTAAAATAAAACTCCATAGACTCTTTAGCGAGCCTTTTAAAGCGTTGTCAACACGTTAAATTGACACATACTCATCTAGCGTCGCCTATAAACCTGCATGACCTCTGACCTCTTGTGTTTTGTAACTAACAGCTTTATAAGGGTCCAATAAAACGTCTTCAAATTCTCAAGTAAGTCAAGAAACTTTCTGGAAATGCGTAGGTGTTGCATGTGATAATTGGTTGAATTTGATGGCACCTTGTAGAACTTTTACAGATTCTGAGTAAATACGCAGGTAGGTTAAGGATGCACTGTGCAATTGCTTTACCTATAATGTTCCACAGTATGGCATTAAACTTATCTACTGTATCTCCATGGAGAAAAGCAAGTGCAGACCAAGTTACAGGTCAGATCTGTGGACACATGACCCCACTCACCGTAAAAATGCAATCCAATGTTTTTTATCATACTGTATGTTTAATGCCGTATTGTCAAACACTCCAAGTAAAGCAATAACATCACCATGGCAACAGGAGGGACCGCCAACCAGAAAGAACATAGTGAACTTTTAAAACTGGATTAAATGGGTCATAATTGTACAGGAATCGAAAGCTCAATGAAAATAAAACTATAAATATGTTATCTTTATGGTTCTATTTTGGGATTGGTGCTTTATTAAAACATATTATTAAACAAAGCTTGTGTAATAATATTTTCTATATGTGGTTCTGTGTTTATAAGAGAGTCAAAGTTCTGGTATCGAAACACCTCCTAAATAAGATATCATCCTTTTTTATTTAATTTTATGTGTTAAATATGATTATAGTGCTGTTAGGTTACATTAATAATAGTAACTCAGTAGTAGTTACTTTATGAGCTGCACTGATTCTGTTTGCACTACACACGTTACTGTTTAGTGCTCTAAATGTAATTAATTGTTGTTAATTGTGACAATAAATTCTCAAATCTGAACATAATTTTGAATAGTTATGTCTTCAGTGCTTCTATCTTATGTGCTGAATCTATTTGTAGACCTTAGTTAAGATCAGACATTATAAGTATCAGTTTAAAGAAGCTATGAAATTGGGCTTGAAATGATTTTAATTAACAGTAATAAAAACACAAAGGACTTCCTGCTAACAACAGTGGCTTTGCAAAGCACGTACAGTAACTCCTATAGTATTATACCATATCACTGTATTGTAAGGCGCACTATTTTATTTGAATAAAGACCATAGTGCTGCTGATTTGGCCATTTCACAATGTTTTGCGAGAAAGTTAAGTTTATTGAGTGCTTTTCTCAGACATAGGTCACAAAGTGCTGTATATGTATAGAGTGCATAAGGAAATTATTCATTGTTCATTTATTTCCAGTCAAAGAGCAGATTTGAAATTCATGTTTTCAGTGTCCCATGTTCATTTCTGCTCATGTGAATAATAAAACAATTATGCAAATTCAGAAGCAAACGGTGGCAAACTTTATGCACAAGGTGATCTCTAGGACACTCATTCAGAGCAATAATAACTGTTACCAGACCATAAACCACCAAGCACAGACCTGCATTTGTTTTTACAGCTAAATTATAGTCCTGGTTCAGTCCAAGTCCAGCTTTAGTCCGGCATCAGTCACAGATAGGTCCAAAGTCCAAAGTTAGACCATTGTTTGATTAATTAATATTGTCTTACATTATTACTGGTTTAGTCTTGGTCACAATTTGGTCTTGGAGAGGTCTTTGAGAAGTCCTGTTATAGACCGGTTCCAGTCCAAGATTACACCATATGGTTCTGGTTCATTTAAAATCTAAAATCTAAATCTGGTTTCTTCTTCGCTTTACTGATGTCCTATTGTCCAAGATTATTCCTTGGTTCCAATATAATCCTGGTTTGCTCCTGGAGAAGTCCTTATTCTGTCCATTTCTGGTTCTGGTTCAGTCCAAAAGTTCAAATCTAGACCTGTTTTCTTCTTTGCCTCACGGAAGACCTATTTTCATTGGTTTGGTCCTTAAGAAGTCCTGATTAGTCCTTTTGTAGCCCGAGATTTGACCAAATTTTGGTTTAAACGCTGACTAGACCTGGTTTCTTCCTTGCTTTACTGAAGTCCTGTTTATTTCTGGTTCAGTTTCGGTTTTAAATCTGTCCTGATTTGTTCACACACTGCAAAAACTAAGATCTAGTCAAGTTAAGATGACTTGAATTAAGAAACTTTTATCATGATTTGAGTAAATTTCATTTGGCAAGTAAAATGATCTACCAGTGGAACAAGACTTTTTGCACATAAATATGAAAATACATCTTGCTCCTCTTTGCGCTTAAAATAAGAAACAATCTAAAGTTGCTTGGTAGATAATTTCACTTGTCAAGTTCAGTTTACTCAAATAAGGTAAAATGTTCTTAATTTAAATAATTTTTACTTACTTAAACATAACTTTTTTGCAGTGAGAGTAATCCCTGGTTTCGTTTGATTAAATAAGGTGTTTCAAATCACTAAAATCAGACAGCTGTTACAATTGCATTCAGAGATATCATCAAAACAAATAATCACCAAAAATGCTCTTACCTTCTGCTGAAACACATCGTGCAGCTCCTGTAGTGATGGTCGGACCTGCCTGTGCCCGCTCACACTGCCAGCGTTCCTGTAGAAATCAATGTTGGGCACCCGGTCCAACGTATCGTGCCCAAACGCGCTCACCACCGATGGTCGAACTGCGCGTGCGGGCTCCTCGTAATTTGGAGGCTCATCTAGCGTCGGATCATACGCTGCGTTGACATGCTCTCCTCCGTTTGACTTATATTTCTCCATTGGGAAAACTTTAAAAAAACTACAGCTTTCAGTCTTGAGACATTCAGTGTTTCAAGAGATATTGATTTCAAATACTTGTAAGTTTAGGCCTGGTTTTCTCATCTTAGCCCACCTTTATACTCTCCATCACAGGGTTGAACATTGCATACATTTAACGCCGCTCATTGGTTGAAGCAGTGGTCCAACCCTCCGAAAACTGAACCAGAGTTTTCACGTATGTCCTTGCTCCATCCTCTGGGACACAATAGCGTTGCTTAACTATTAACCGGGCCATAAACTCCACAGCTTAGAGATAACAGCGTTCATTGCCTTTGGTTGTGGGGAATTGATCACTAATATTGCTGAAGTAAACTGTAGGCCCTGCACATGTTGTCCTGTGTGGAGTTTATGGGGCAATAGGATTTCCTCAGAATTCGCGAGCCTTTGGGATGATTCATGGAAGATCCCACTGCAATGCCCAGACTGGAAAAGTTTCAAGGTTAAAGTGCAGATGACTGGTTTTCTTCTTAGGGCTTAGTGTGGATACTACCTGTAGTAAACACTTATCATAGTTTTACATCAGTTAAAAGGAAGTTGAGAAGAAAGGACAAAAATACAGGAATCACACTGAGTTGTAAAACTTAATACCCTAAGCCTCCTATGTTATTGATATGGAAAATTCCATCCAAAATGAAGGGACAATTTAACCTACACATTTAACCTACACACAAGGAAGGAATTTTTCTCACTACATTAATGCAAAGGGTCCATATTGCGCTATTTTCTGATCTAGGTTATAACGTTTCTTCATCAAAAACATACAGTACCTGGAGTTGTATTTTGTTTCATCACTTTTGTAACACACAAACCCTACATGTTTAGGCTGATTTCTTCTCAAAAGGAAAACACTCTGTTCCCTGAAACTGCCAGTCTCTGTTGTTCTCTCTTTTTTTTTATTTTTTATTTTAATCTTTAAATTTATGATGATTATTTATGTTTTGATTTGTGATTTTAATGGTTTTCTTATTTTGTAAAGCACTTTGAATTACTTCGTGTACGGATTGTGCTATACAAATAAACTTGCCTTGCCTAAAGGTAAAAAGTAGCTGCTAACTTGAAAACTACCACTACGTGACATCACAAAGTGGAACAGAGCATTTTGAGCATTGGAGATATAGAACAGACAGGATTAATGAAACAAAACACAACTCCAGGTTTGTTTTAGAGGAGGTAGCTACATTCACAAATGACTTAAAGCTCACAAGAGTCAGTTTTGGGTAATATAGGATCTTTAACAACATAAAGGTTTTGTTATTTATTTGTTTTAGTCTAATCATAACTATCATGTAATTTAACATTATAGTAGCTGGGTGGGTAACTGTTATGGAAGTACAGCTGTAACCTGTCACACGCACTTCTTATCTATTATCTATGTATCTACGTAATGAAGATAATTAGAACATGGGAAGTTGCAGTGACTAACCAAAAGTATTCCATTGTTTTTTCCCGCTGGGATTGCCCAAACAAATGAGCTGTCTCTTGTCTTACACTGAGTGGCATTTTAATTTAGGCATTTAGACATTGTTACACCTAAAGCCTGTCTGGACTTGGAAATGGTACACGCCACCTTGTTTTCTTAAATAAATGAGCGATCAATAAGTTTAGGGCAGATCTCTTTTGTATCTCTTAGTAAACAGAATGGCATTTTACGTTCACAAACTATACTCGTCATCATAATAATTATTTGATGTAGAGTGCATCATGTTTTGTCTGAAAATATCGACAAATAGTGATATTGCTTTAATGCAAAAAGGACTTGAATACAGGCAGGCTGATCAAGCTCTGTAAAAAAGATGGCCTTAACAGAAATTAAGGCAATATAAAAGTAAATAAATAAAATAAAAATCTGTCCTCATATTGATCAGTCACTTTTTTGTCATTAAAATGTAGTTTGTCTTATTAAAACCAAACAAAAATTGCTTTCAGTATCAGTTTCTCTGAACATAAACAAAACAGAATCATACTAATTGACATTTAAACTAAAAACAGTTCAATTTCTCGAATTTCACAGCGAATTGGCAACATCTCAATCTCGATTTGCACAGTGAAGAGAACAATAACGTGAACCACTATGGAGCCTCCCTGAACGACCGAGGGATTATACAGATATAAGACCACATCGTAATATAAAAGAAAGTACTATTATTTAAAGGTGCATTGTAACTTTTCCAGTGGAGTGCCCATCAAATACTTTCCTCCCTGGATATGTTATTGCTTTGTCTAGAACAGGGATCTCCAACCTATAGCTCAGGAGCTACCGGTAGTTTTCCACCCCTTTACAAGTAGCTTGCCAATTCTGAAATATATGCATTGTACTAAATAACTCAAATTTGATTAATTACCCCTGTAAATGCGTTATTTTGAACTTTGTGCACTAATAAATGGATAATGGTTTAATGTTTTATAGGCATCCAGCTGTACATCTAAGGTTTGCCGACTTATATATAATCAATTTCTTGCAACTGCACTTTCATTTTGTAAAGGTAGCTCACCGGACACAAAAGATTGGAGATCCCTGGTCTAGAATGTTTCACAGTATGGTACTAAACTTTCTATCTTCACAGAGACCAAACCAGACCAAGTTACAGGTCAGATCTGTGGAGAGGCGACCCCACTTACAGTCAGAATGCTTGAGTTTCTAGGTATTTTTGAGCGATAAAACCACCTGTAATTTAATAAATGCAAGGTAGAGCTGGTTAAAGTCATACTGTGGAACATTCCAGGCATAGCAATGACATCTCCATAGAAACAAGAAGGTGATGGGCCCTGAATCAAAAAGTTACATGTTGAAAATCACACTATATTGTTTAATGAGAAGCTGTTTATTATTATCACTGTGGTACTGGAATCAGTTTTGAGTATCAAGCCTATTCCTTAGTATCGAAATCGAGTTTGAAATATCGTATTGTGTCAACGCTAATTGTAATCAGTCATGCTTTTGTAACCAGGGCAATTCAGTTTACAGCAGGAACTTTAATCATGAGGAAAATAAGAGTTAATGTGGCACCATGAGTTATAGAAACCGCCGCGGGACAGAGCGGCGCAGCACCTGACTCTTGGAGCGGCTCTAAAGGGGCTCTTAGCAGGTAAACTTCCTCATTACTGCGCAGCTCTGTGATTTATGTGGACCGCCCGATTCCAGACGACCTTGGATCAGGAGAAACACACAGACACGTGTTTTAAGAGAGGCTTTAAATTGCACAATGATCAGAACATTAAGGTCATGTTCATGTGCATTGTGCAACTTTTCTTCATGTTACTGGTTTGTCTTGAGTGTTTCACAGTATGGGATTAAACCTTTCTATCTTCACGAAGACCAAACCAGACCAAGTTACAGGTCAGATCTGTGGAGAGGCAACCCCGCTCAGTCAGAAGGCCTGTTTTTGTAGGTGTTGAGCCAAAAAACACTGTAATTGAATAAACGTGACATAGAACTCATACTGTGGTACATTCCAGGCAGGTCATTATGTTACAGTTTGTACATTTTAAACTGTAATATTAATTTAAAACGACTTAAAGATGTATTGTGTAACTTTTCTGGTGTAGGGTCAGCAGATTTTTTTTCAGTATAGACTTTATCGCTTTGCCTGAAATGTTTAACAGTAGCATAAAACTTATCTATGAAGCATTCATTCAATTACAAGTGTTTTTATTGTGTTTTATGAGCAGAGTTGCCTGTCCACAGATGTGAACGTGACTTGGCTTGGTGTTGTCATTTTTTTGTCGCCATGGAGATAGATATGTTTAATGCAATACTGTGGGGCATTCTGGACAAAACAACAACATCTCCATGGAGATGAGGAGGTAACTGACCCTCCATTAGAAAAGTAAATTAAAGAAGTCTGCTGTAGACATCATCACTACAAATAGCTGTGTAGTTGTCTGTACCTCCGATGGATAGCTGCACATCGCATCGCAAGCTGCAGATTTTTCTTCATTTGTATCAAAATGACTACACAACGCTGCTGAATCCTGCGTATATTACTGATAAAGAAAAGAAAATATGAAGAAAGAAGAAGTAAGAGCAGTGGGTGTATGCTGGTAGTGGTGAAAATTAGGACCTGTTTACACAAGAACACTTGCGGGTAAAAACGACTAAATATTTTATCGGAAAGGCCTTTCGTTTAGACAGTTATAGTGTTTTAGGGGCTTAAAAATGCAAAAATCTGAAACCACCTACCAGAGTGGAAAAGTTGAATATGCCCTGCCTTAGCGTTTCTGTCTACACTGCCCAAGACGCAAAACTCTGGTCAGATCTGCTCACGTCACATACACATTTACGTCACATACATCACCACCTAGCCGCCGGGCATGCATACCCAATCGAATTCCACACACTTTTGCGTCACTGTATGCACGCAGATTTCCTTGTATAACACTTGTATAATCATATAAACGTAGCCTAAGAGATTAAAGATTCTCCAGACATGCACGAGTCTTCGAAATCTGACTTCAAGAGGCTAAATGAGAAAGAGGAAGCCACTGTAACATGGTTAAAAGCTCTGTAAAATCAATTTCATTTTATAGGTCTGCTTTATGATTGCTTATTATGTGTGTGACCACTTAAGATTTGCAAACAGCTTTACGAGCATATATCTGAGTATTATAGTCATCGAGTCACTGTTGTTTGGAGATCTTTAGTGCTTCAAACTCTCTTAAAGATGGTGGTGAAACTTTGCAACGAAATAAATGTGCTTGAAGTGCTATGTGGCAATAGGCCTGTCACAATAATAACCATATACTATAACTATATCGACTTATCGTTCAATACATTATAGCGGGAACAATATATGCTGGGCGACCAGTATTTATCGTGGATGCATTTTCTTTGCAGTGTTGAATGCAATGTTTTTTGTTTTTCTTGCAATACGATAAGATGGAGCTTTAATACGTGACTCCTGTGGTTAATCATTGCTCAGTGCAGCTCATGCCTTTGATACGGTCTATTTTTAAAACAGTTT